AAGTCGGTGTGGTGTGCTGGAAACCGACGTAGGGGTAGGCCTGTAAAAGAGGGCCCCCCTGAATGGATGTGTAAGATGGTGAGGTGGGCAGTGGTGTATCCTGGTTTTGTGCTGCCCTAGGCAGGACAAAACTCGGATGCCCCCCTCCCCCCGCGCCACCCCCACCCAACCCTTCCCCCTGCCCCACCTTCTAAATACAAACACAGTCAGACATACACACACACACAGTCACATTAACTTTTTTTTTACTTCCACCCCCCATCCCCCCCTTACCTTTGGGTGTGCTGGGGGGGTCTCTCTCTCCCTGGTGGCTACCAGTCGGGCTGGGCGGCGCTGGCTGCTGTGCGGGCGGCTGGAGAGGGAGCACTTCCCCTGAGCGGTCTTTTCAGCTCCCAAGCGCGCCGCAGAGTGAGGCTGGGAGCCGGAATATGACATCATCTTCAGGCTCCCAGCCTCACTCTGCGGGCAGCGCGCGAGGGAGCTGAGCAGACCGCTCAGGGGAAGTGCTCCCTCGCCAGCCGCCCACACAGCAGCCAGCGCCACCCGCTCGGCATGTCTGTTAGCTGCGAGGCTAACAAGGCATTTGCCCTGGGCATTTGGGGGCAGCGTTTTTTGCCGCCCCCAAAAAATGCCGCCCAAGGCAAATGCCATGTTTGCCTTGCGGCTAATACATCCTACCTGGAGGTGGGTGGGGTGAACAGCGTGCGTTTATGTAAGGTAGGAAGGGGGGGTAGCGTTTATATAGGAACGCTAACTCCTCCCACAAATACAGGCCTTCGGCCTTTTACCTTGTGGTCGGTTAATATCGTTACTGTGAAATATCTTGTGATTGGAATTAAGTCGGTGTGGTGTGTTGGAAACCGACGTAGGGGTAGGCCTGTAAAAGAGGGCAAAAGGAAATGCAAGAAAAACCCACTTATTGCAATATAATTATCCCATAAGATTCGTTTGCCTTACCTCTTATCCGTTGTGAAATGTTTCTGTATAACGTAGCTGATTCCCACTTAACCTAATTTATCATGTGTACCGGCGTACTGCTACTGGATGTGGTACTTGTATTGAATGGATGTCCTAAATAGGAGTCAGGGTCCCAACCCAATCTAAAGCATGTGGAACCGCATTTAGAAGTAGTTAGGGGATTATTTAGTAGAGCGAGTGCCTTGAAAGTTGGCGTGACATGAGGTAGTGTCTGTCTGTACCTTCTGAAATCTTCCTTGAGGAGACATGATTTGCCTGTCTGATTAGCTGTGATCGTGAAGTTCTGTGCTCCGGTGCCCTTGGAAGATTAAAGGCACAGAGGTTTTATGACTGGGTTTGTGTGGTACGGATGCTGTCTAGGGAGTCTGATACTGTCCGGAATTCCCATCTATGGATGTATGTTATTGTGGAGTGATGAACCAATTACTTATACCTTGATATCCTTATGGTAAGTGTTTTAAGAAGACTGGGTATGGTTTGAAAGGCTTGTCAGAACGTGTTGTATGAAAAAGTTTGAATGAAAGGTGGCAAAAAATATGGCATTATAGACTACAGTTTGAACGGTATGCTTGTGGATGTTGTATTCTTAGTGAAAGCCAATAACGCTATAGGTGATAACTTGTTGTCGTGTCCCAATAGCCAGGCGACCGGATAAGGACATTGAAATGTGAACAGCGTGCGTTACGTAAGGTAGGAAGGGGGAGTAGTGTTTATACAGGAATGCTAACTCCTCCCACAAATACAGGCCTTCGGCCTTTTAACATATATTCTGCCCTGTGGAGCTTCAAAAATGTGTCACTGAACGCTGCTAAAGGGACACTTCGGGTGCCAGTATCACTTAATGTGATTTATTTATTTATTTATTTTAATTGGCTTATTTTATTTATTTATTTATTTTTTTTAATTCTGCACAGAAACATAAATGATTTGCAGAATAAGCCTTTATGCTTCGCCTCACCCCCTCATTCCAGGGAACTTTCCTTAGATTTAATGTTTCTCTATGAGAATCGTCTAGTTAACGGGTAGCTGCGATTGCTGCACTGGTACCGTAGGTATTCTTTCAAGAGTGAACTTGTGTGTAAAGGATTATTAAAACCTACATATTCATTCAACAAACGCAGATTTTAATGTGTCAAACTGCTGCCAAATTCTTGGTATGTTTTTGTTTTTATTTAATTTATTTGTTTAACACACTTCACATCTATAAGACAGACTTGACATTCAATTATGAAATCACACACCCTAAATACTAGTGTAGTGGCTAATTTATTTTTCCTAAATGCATTTTACTGTGTAAAGAAAGCTGCAAGGACCGTATAAAATGTGTAACAAAAAAGCGTGAAGTACTGTTAGCAAGACATAAATACAATCTTTATGGCCGTATACCTACTGCACTTACTGTATGTACCTCACTCTACTGTAAAGTGCTATATATATATATATATATATATATATATATATATATATATATATATATCTCCTGTGTGTCTACTACTCTTTAAGAAAAACTCCATTTATTTGTCGTTTTTATATATATATATATATATATATATATATATATATATATATATATATATATATAAAATTTATTTATTTTTTTTTTATAACCTTACAATTGGTGGATATAGCCATGAAGAAGACAGGCATGTAATTAGTTTTCTGCATTTTACCTTTTCGAAGCAAATGAGATGGGGTTTGGGAGAGATGCTTTTAAGTCCTTTTTCTCTTACCCCGGGGAAGACTGTCTTTACTGGGGAATACACCAATCAGAATCCTCTGTGCTGGCGCTGCAAGTGATGTTGATCAGACGGTCAGCCAAAGATTCCTTGTACCATAACCACTGTTATTAATGATGGTGCTTATTGTCTTCCTAAAGGGACTCTCGCACATCTTGTAAGAATATTCGTACTTAAGTTAAACAATTTAATTGACAATTTTAATAGACTTGCTGAAATTTTCATGATTTTGCAAAAAAACTAAACTTAAAAAAAAATAATAATTCTGCATCTCAAACCTGAAAAATGCAGCTTCCAGGAAACAAACTGCAAAAGCCTCTCACATACCATGTCCAAATCGTGTCTCTGTGAGCTAATGCATTGAAAGCTGCTATAAACCTGCCTAACAGGGCTGTCCACTTTAAAGCTTTCAAATTGCAGGCAATGGCTGAACTGAAAGCATATCAGACTTTGAAGAAAAGAAGGGATAACATTAAAAGTGTGTGTGTGTGTGTGTGTGTGTGTTTTTTTTTTATTTTTTTTTTTTATTTATTTTAATGTTTCCGTTTGGTTGAGGCCTGAGAATCCTCTAAATGTTTCTCCACTGCATATCACCTAACATTGAGGGGGCTGCAATCTGCACAGGAGGTCAGTGACGCAACTTGATGCCCAAAACTGGCATCTTAACCAGGTAGCCTGGCGTGAACACACGGGCAGTAATTGCAGATTGTGCTGCTTAAACGCTGTCTGCATGATCCTCTAATGCCGTCAGCTGATACAGCCACTGTGCAAGCTAAGGACAGTGCCCTGGTGTTCGAGGATGCAGGGTGAAACGTTGTGAGGCCTGTGCTGCACTCCACGTAGTGCCTGCTCAGATCTGCTTATATGTGATTTTTGTAGGAGAACCTTGAATGGCTGATAAATGCGGGGTTGTGTTTTTTTTTTTTTTTTGGAAAGCGGGCAGCGTTCTGTTTTTTTTAAATTGATTTTTGTTTGTGCAACGCATTAGGATGATGCTGACCCAACTCCAGCTTTTAGTCTCACAGCTGCCTATGAATCCCCATCTGGAGCTTGAGATAAATGGTGCAGTATATCTCAATATACAGATGTCTAACCCTACATGGCTGCCTTACTGGTTTTGGGGGGGCTTTATTTATTTTAAAAAAAAATGTTGTTTAAATATTTGCTGCTGCGATATAAAGTATTTCTAGAAATGACCACTTCTGGGTCACAGGAACTTTGTTCTTTACCCCACGATGGGAAAGTTTAGCAAGCCTCCTACTTTAATCATTTTAGTTCCGTAACAGATTCCTTGATGTACTGTACTTTTTTTAATTTAATTTTTTTAACATAAATTTTGAGGGTTTTTTTTTTTTATGCTAAAGCTTTTTTAATTTTACTCTAGAATAACAGACAAAATTCCCCAATGACTTTGTTTTTACTGTAAATGTGAACATGTGGGTTTTTCTCTGATGGAGAATTGGCTAAAAATAAGTTGATGTAAAATGTAAGGTTATTTTTAAGCACATGTTCCTTTCCTGAATGTTTTCCTGTTCCAACCACATATCAGTATGTTTATTCATTTCTTATGTTCATACGTTGACTGAATTTATATTCCAACCTCTCTTATTTTCATAGTTACTCATTATCAACTGTCGTGATGCCACCGACATATATTGCTGGATAATACATGGAAAAGGTTGATTTAGCAATATCCACAATGTGATAAGTGTCACTGATGGTTTAAAACCACTTTTCTGCTAATTCTCTCTGATTTGATCTTTCAAACATCATTTTATTTGACTACCATCCAAGTGGAAAGCTAACGGTGTGAAGTCTCACCTTGTACATCTTGTGATATGAATATTTATTTTTTGTGAGTCGCGTTGAAGCCTAGAAAGTGGTCAAGAAGAATGAAATGGTAAAAACCGTATCAAAGTCATAACCCATTCCTTAGTAATAGCTGGTTCTCCTGTTTCCCATGTACCAGTGTAGCTAAGGGGATCGGACCTTGACATTGTGAGGAGACCGGCATATAGTGATGTTGGTGTGTGGGACTGGTTTAAAATAGCATTATGGGTGGAGCTTACAGGCTATATATATAAAGCGGACATTTTAATTAATCTTCACTTTCCTGTTGTCCCTTCCTCCCCTTTAATTTCTCCCATTTTGGTCGCGGCGGGGGATGGCGAGAAATGTTGGGGGCTTGGTTGGATTGATATGGGGTAAAATGTTTAGTTCCGGGAAAGTATGTAGGCCTTTTGGACTGGTTTTGGTAGGTTCGGGCTTGTTGGTAGCTCAGAACCTGGGTGTGTAGGGGTATCTCGGTATACCCCTACAATTGTGGAACTGTGAAAATGGATGCCCTTGGTGGCAATGTTTTTATTTATTTTTTTATTTTATTTTTTTTATTATTATTATTATTATTTATTTATAAAGCGCCAACAGATTCCGCAGCGCTGTGTTCAACTTTAATTATATGATGTTTTATAAGGAGGAAAGGGATTTAGGGGTGATTATTTCTGATGACTTAAAGGTAGGCAGACAATGTAATAGAGCAGCAGGAAATGCTAGCAGAATGCTTGGTTGTATAGGGAGAGGTATTAGCAGTAGAAAGAGGGAAGTGCTCATGCCATTGTACAGAACACTGGTGAGACCTCACTTGGAGTATTGTACACAGTACTGGAGACCGTATCTTCAGAAGGATATTGATACCTTAGAGAGGGTTCAGAGAAGGGCTACTAAACTGGTTCATGGATTGCGGGATAAAACTTACCAGGAAAGGTTAAAGGATCTTAACATGTATAGCTTGGAGGAAAGACGAGACAGGGGGGATATGATAGAAACATTTAAATATATAAAGGGAATCAACACAGTAAAGGAGGAGACTATATTTAAAAGAAGAAAAACTACCACAACAAGAGGACATAGTCTTAAATTAGAGGGACAAAGGTTTAAAAATAATATCAGGAAGTATTACTTTACTGAGAGGGTAGTGGATGCATGGAATAGCCTTCCAGCTGAAGTGGTAGAGGTTAACACAGTAAAGGAGTTTAAGCATGCATGGGATAGGCATAAGGCTATCCTAATTATAAGATAAGGCTAGGGACTAATGAAAGTATTTAGAAAATTGGGCAGACTAGATGGGCCGAATGGTTCTTATCTGCCGTCACATTCTATGTTTCTTTGTTGTTGGGATTTATTGTTTATGTAAGATTGGGTCATTGTCGGGGGGAGGGTGTAGGGGGGGTTAATAGTATAAAGGCAGGATACTGGAGTTACATGTCAATGTTGGCATGGTGTTGACAATGACCTTAATTTTTACTTGTTAAAACTTCTTCTCAATGAAAGCTGTGATTTTTAACCAAAAACGTGGTGTAAGTGTTTTTATGGGGATTGGTGTTTTGGGTTAAAGGACCACTATAGTGCCCTGAGGGTGCCCCCACTCCCGTGGCACTGAAGAGGGAGGAAGGGTTTAATCCCTTACCTTTTTTCCAGCGCCGGGCTCCCTCGACGCTGGGACTCTCCTCCCTCTTCTTCCGTCATCGGCTGAATGCGCGGCAAGAGCCGCGTGCGCATTCAGCCAGTCTAATAGGAAAGCATCAATGCTTTCCTATGGACGCTGGCGTCTTCTCACTGTGAAAATCACAGTGAGATGCGCGGAAGCCCTCTAGCGGCTGTCAATGAGACAGCCACTAGAGGCTGGATTAACCCATAAGTAAACATAGCAGTTTCTCTGAAACTGCTATGTTTACAGCAAAAAGGGTTAAACCTAGCTGGACCAGGTACCCAGACCACTTTATTAAGCTGAAGTGGTCTGGGTGCCTATAGTGGTCCTTTAAGTGACTATGCACATGTCAAGTATTCATAGCAGAGGCAGGAAACCTCTATCGACAAAGCGTAACCATTCAAACAATAGTACATAATTAGGCAACTACTTGGCTTGTTCGATATAAAGCTGCTTTAGGAAAGTTGTCTACTAAATGTCTGTAGAGTTAATATCGCAAATACGCAAAACGTATGGTAGACCGCAAGAAATACCTTGACATTCTACTTGTTCTAAAGCAAATCTCAAAGATTAAACCATTTTTATAACTGATGCCAGGACCCAGAATATACCTTTTTAATTAATATCCGTGCCTAGAATTGCCAAAAATAACAGTGCTTGTGTTTTTTTTTTTTTGATGATAAAGTTCTTTAAAAAAAAAAAAATTGTTGTTGTATTTTTGCATAATGCCATATCAGTTCGGTATATATATATAATTTTTTTTTTTTTTTTTATTGTGACATCTTTTATCCTATTTTAAAACGCTGACAGTTTAGGTAATGGGGGAAAAAGCTAGTTCTGTGTAGATCATAACACCCACTTTCATTTGCTTTCACCTGTGACTTATCAAAGAACCTAAATAGATGTATTTTAATAAGTAAGTTATTTATTGTCACAAATGGTGCGTTAAAATGTTTATTTTTTATCTCAATTTTTTTTAATTCTGTGTAAAAAGTGCTGGTCTTGTTTAAAACCCTTTTGGTTAATACTCTGCATTGCAGAAAAGCGAATTCTGTAGGAGCTTAAATGGTTAAAGGTGCGGCAGGTAATAAAGGGTGATGAGCAACATTTATCCTGAACAAGAGTAACTGGGTTCAGCTAGGACTTCAAACCTATACATTTCTGGAATTCTATGGGTGTTGGTGTTTGTGTGGGGCTTTTTTTTTTTTTATTATTATTTTTTGAGGTACAGATGAGGTACACTTTTTTATTTATTTTTTTTCACGATCATTTCAAGTTATATTTAGTCTAGTACCAAGTCTTCTCATTCTTTATTTTGTTTTTATTTTATATGCTTGTGTTTATTTTGTTATTGACAAAGGCACACTATGTTGGCAATTTTTTGTTTTAAATGTCCTTTTTTTTTTTTTTTTTAAGGCAAACCTAATAGAACAGTCATGGCATTGGAGAGGATAGCAGTTTTTATAATATTTGAATATTCAAGAGGGCAAAACATGCCACAGCGGTAGTCTAACCATGAAGGGAGTAAGTAGTGTAAGACAGACACGAGAGTGATAATGATAGGGTACCACTTTACCATGAAATTTCTAGGCATTACCATGTGTCAAAGATGGCTCAAAGCAATGCAAATGTTTTGACTTATACATTAGAAACTGAACATAAAGAAGGCACCATGGCTCTCGGACGATACATGGGAGTCGCAGAAAGTAGGTTGCAGATGTGCCACCTGAGGTCTAGCCGATGCTAAATTCTGGAATGCCTCTGAGAGAAGTGCTGAGGTTGTGGGAGGCAGCAGTGAAATGGGTACGGTGCAGGGGAGCCCGCTAGACTCAGGCTGGTGCATAGACCAACATCTCTGTGCCACAGACCTGGTGGCTCGTGTAGTCAGTCCTTCCCAGTGAGGGAGAAACAGAGGAGGCCTTGATGTTGTAACTCCGTTAATTGCGGTCGGTCTCCCATCCATGTGTGATGCTATGGGCACTTATCCCTGTTGGCCTTCGGCCTTGGTGGGGTATGGAGACTTGTGCTCCGAGAAAGGAAAGGCCTAAGGTATGCCCACTAACTGCCACACAGCATTTCACCGATCTCCCTCCTGACACTGAGAGGATGCATCTATTCTACATGCTTCCAGGGAGGCCTAGAATCAGTTGAATATGTCGTCCAGCCGCTGCAGAGATTGCTGAACAAAATTTATCCTCTAACTGGAAAGGCTCCATACTAGGGCGTAGAGGTGCAGGCGCCATCTTCTTAGAGTCATTCTGAATCAGGAGTAGGTAAGTTGTGGTCCAAGCTTGCTTATCAGAGGTGGTAAAGAATCTCATTCATGTGCAGGGGATGACATTGAGGACCGTGATAAACCCCCAACAGTCTGGGGAGAGAACAGGGTTTCCATGTATATTGAAGGGTAGAGCGCCACACGGTGCAGACAGTCTGCCACCTCACCCAACTGACTTGCATGCAAAGCCTCACCGGGATCTCTGGGGATTGCAGAAGATTCAAGCGGAGATACTGCTCCAAAGAACCCCGGTTGACTTCAAGATTGGGTAAGTCACGGAATATCAGCGTTTGAGCGTACCGACAGCCTATTAATCGGTTTACTATCGAGAGTAAAATATGTCCAGCCACCATGCCGCTCAGGTCCTGCCCCCCACTTTTTTACATCTTTCCTTTTTCTTTGAACTGGCCCTGTATTTAAAATGCCAGGAGACCATTGCTCTAGCTTAGATCTTTCTAGAACTTCTAAAACATCCATAGACCTCTATAGGGGTTGTTCACTAAAAAGTTAATGGAGAACCAAGTTGTAAAATTTAGGTCAAAATGTATGTTTGGGGTAGAATTTTCACAAAGCTTTAATAATATTATTATTATTACTATTATTATTATTAACTAATTGTTTGGTACACTGACCCCTGTGTGTCATCAATGGAGGCAATTTGTGAAACCGATAGGAGGTACTTCCTTTTTTCTACCTGTGTAAATTTCTGTACTTGAATGTGGAGCTCTATCTGTGAAACACATGCTATTGAGCTCAGCAGAGTTATGTGTTTTATAAAATGAGGTCATGTATCCCATGAGTCACATACCGATCTATTCTATAACAGAAATCATCCACCCTTTAATTCCTTCAATTCCTTCTCTCCTCCTAGATATCTATCACATTCATTCTTTCATTTATCTTATTTTACTTCTTTGCATATTCTAGCAATACGAAAAGATGGGATTTTTTTTTAATTGTATTTATTAAATAAAAACACAAAACAACCCTGCAAATTCAATGTATGAATTACAAACTTTTTAAATATTTTCCTACTAGTATAGGGTTAAAGGGGAACAGTCACTTTCCACAATTTTTTTTTTTAATTCATTTTTTTTTTTTTTTCTTCTAATGCATTAAAAAAAAAATATTCTTGTTATATTAATAATAAAAAACATTTGGGGCGGTGGAATCTGACAGCCGTGCTGACCGGTTGCACTTCTTGAGTGCTCCATATGGACTTGCTCTAAAATAGCCTAACTGCATACTTTTTATCTCAAAATACATTAGCTGGACATCCCGGTGTCGAGATCCATCTGCTGCCTACTCACAGGTAGAGGGAGGTGGCTGTTCCCTCTGCTTGATGCCACAAGTTTCTCTGGAGATCACTCCTTCACTCTCTACTCCTGTCCCCCCCCCACCACTCCCCCTCATCCAACGGTTTGTAATCCCCCTTCTGACTTCATTGGTTTTAATGTCTCTAGACCCATAGCTCTCTCCCTTGCGTATCTTAGTATACCATTACATTAGCTCGTTCGGGCAAGTTGATATGGTAGGTTTCTAACTGGCCTGTGGCTCAGAACCTAGGGGTGTGGGGGTATCTCGGTATACCCCCTACATTAGGTCGTTCAGACAAGTTGATATGGTAGGTTTCGAGCTGGCCTGTGGCTCAGAACCTAGGGGTGTGGGGGTATCTTGGTATACCCCCTACATTAGCTTGTTTGGGCAAGTTGATATGGTAGGTTTCGAGCTGACCTGTGGCTCAGAACCTAGGGGTGTGGGGGTATCTTGGTATACCCCCTACATTAGCTTGTTCGGGCAAGTTGATATGGTAGGTTTCGAGCTGGCCTGTGGCTCAGAACCTAGGGGTGTGGGGGTATCTTGGTATACCCCCTACATTAGCTTGTTCGGGCAAGTTGATATGGTAGGTTTCGAGCTGACCTGTGGTTCAGAACCTGGAGGTGTGGGGGTATCTCAGTATACCCCCTACATTGGCTCATTCGGACAAGTTGATATGGTAGGTTTTGATGTTGAACGTTAAGGACCAGAGCAGTTTTGACACTTTTGTGGTGTTTGTGTTTAGCTGTAATTTTCCGCGCTCTCATTTACGTTTCCCATACAAGTTTTATATATTGTTTTTTTCAGGACAAGAAGGGCTTTCCTTACATACCATTAATTGTATCATGTCATGTATTTTATTTAAAAAAAATAATAAAATATGGTGAAAAATTTTAAAAAACAAACATGTTTTAGGACTTTTACTTGAAAAATCTTTTACTTATCTACAAAAGCTAATGAAAAAAAACTGCTAAATAGATTCAAAATTTTGTCCAGCATTTAAAAATACCCAGTGTTTACATGCTTTATTGCTTTTTTTTTTTTTGCAAGTTATAGGTCTATAAATACAAGTAGGAAATTGCTGTTTCAATATATATATATATATATATATATATATATATATATATATATATATATATATATATATATATATATATATATATATATATATATATATATTTTCACATTTATCAATAGTGACATTGTAACACCGTTATCTGTCATAAATCCCCGAATCACACCTCACATGTACATATTTTTTTTAAAGTAGAGAAAATGGGGTATGTCCAGTCTTTTTTAGTAGCCACCTAGTCACAAACACTGGCCAAAGTTAGCATTTATATTTGTTTGTGTGTTTAAAAATGCAAAAAACGCTAACTTTGGCCAGTGTTTGTGACTAAGTGGCTACTAAAAGGCTGAACATATACCCCATTTGCAATACCTTGGGTTGTCTTCTTTTGCAAATGGTATGCCATCATCGGGGTAATTCTCATTCCTGGTCTACCATACGCTCTCAAAGGCAACCTAACCAATCTGACAGATTTCAATAAAAAAAAAAAAAAAGTAAAATCAAGCCTTATATTTGACCCTGTAACGTTCACAAACACTATAAAACCTCTACATGTGGGGTACTGTTATACTCAGGAGACTTCGCTGAACACAAATATTAGTGTATCAGAACAGTAAAATGTATCACAGCAATAATATCAGTGAAAGTGCAGTTTGTGTGTGAAAAATGCAAAAAACGTCACTTTCACTGCCAATATCATCACTGTGATATGTTTTACTGTTTTGAATCACTAATATTTGTGTTGAGTGAAGTCTCCCGCGTAAAACAGTTCTCCCCCGCCCCCCCCCCCCATGTACAGGTTTTAGGGTGTCATAGAAAGTTACAGGGTAAAATTTAGTGCTAGCAAATTAAATTCTCTGGACTTTTGGCCTGTGTTGGCAGGCAGGTCCCTCAAATTGCAATCAATAAAATTACTTAATTATGTAAAAATATTACATAAATACGCACGTAGAATTTAAATATAGATACATATTTATGTAATTATGTATATGGATATGTATGTTTCGTATTATTTTTATTTATACATATATATCATTACATTCAAAGTGTATTTTGATATAAATATATATATTAATATCAAAATACTGTTATAATAAAAATATATATATATTTAAAACTTTTTACTTATTTATTTTTATTAACATATTTATAATTTATAATATATATATATATATACAATATAGTGTGTGTGTGTGTGTGTGTGTGTATATGTATGTATATGTGTGTGTATATATATATATATATATATATAGTGTGTGTAATTTAAATTAAAAGTGTGTTTTTATATTAATATACGTATATAAAAATACACTTAGTATGACATTATATATAGATATTGTGTGTGTGTGTGTGTGTGTGTGTGTGTGTGTTTTTTTGCAATTAGCATTCTCACCACCTCAACTAGTTTCACCTGATATCTGTTTCTAAAAAGGCAGTCTGTTTTTCAGCTGGGGCAGAACTTTTCCTGTGCTTCACCCCATGGTTGCACATTTTATGTTTTGTCTTAAATTCCAAGTACTATGTTGTCATAGGTTTGAGCTAACTGACTGTTGGAATGGAAATTTTAAAGAGTATGCTTCCTAATATTGGTTCCTGCAGAGTTTGCATCAAACAGGTTTTAAATGCAGTTGCAGCTATTCTGTCTGCTCTAGCCTCTGCTTCCCAAATGCGGCTAAGGAAAGCCTATAGCAGGTAAGGCTGTTGGCTGGCATTGGAACTTTATAATATTGCTTACTAATATTGATTCCTGCAGAGTCTGCATCAAACAGGTTTTGAAATGCAGTTTGCAGATATTCTTTCTGCTCCAGCCTCTGCTTCCCAATTATGGCTAAGGATGGCCTGGATCATGGGTATTGTCTTATGCAATATATCTATGTAATCAGTCTCGCTTCGGCCAATCAAGATGGTAACCTGTGAATGAACTAGTCTCCATGGAAAATTATTTCTTCCTCATGTTACTGGGCTTGAAGCAAGTTCTAGTACAGCTGCAAGCTTATTGATCAAGGTGTAGTTCCACCAAGTTCAATTTGTTCCCTGCACTGCAATAGATACGATATGACTGGGATGGTTTACTGCCTAGGTTTGTCTGCAGTTTTCTTTTAAGAAAAAGCTTATGGCAATTGCCACTTGAGATTCTCTCACTATGCAAAATGTTGCCATCCATAAATTCATTGAATCTCTACAATACTGCTTCCTCAGGGGCACCTAATTAATTTTTTTACACCCGCCCTAAAGGTTAGGGTGTTTCTACAGCATACAGGTGGATGCTAATCAATCTTCTTATAAAGAATTCCCTTTTCAAGAAGTGTGCAGTTCTGGTGTTTGTCAAGGAACAGTTCAGGTGTAAATATTTTGACAAGGGTTTTTGACTCTCAGAGAATGGTAATTCCCTGAAGAAAAAAATTGTGGTTCTCACTGTCCTGATCACCTGAATTCTCTTTTCTACTTCAGTAGACCAGATACTAGGGAAATAATATTGGTTCCCGTCTTGTCTTCAGCTTCTTTAGGCATAGCACTGTTTACAGGTCCTTCAGAGGCCAGATACAGTTGCTAATAAGATTTTGCAGTAAAATCCTATACTTCGGTCAGTCCTTTCTGAACCAGGCCAGACGGTTCTTACTTTTTGTTCTAGTTCTCAAATCGATCGTTTAGAATTTTACAACTGATGCTTCAGGTCTCAGCTAGGTTCTCATAGTGTTGAAGGGAAATTAGCTGAGATAATTTGTAAAAACCTATCCAACTACATAGGACCGAAGGCTAGCTGGCTAACTCTTATCCAGATCTGGTCAGATAGTTCTACATCGGTAGCAATTATGTACAAACAAGGTCGTCTTCTTGTTTGAAAATTCTTGTTCCAGGATATGCTTGTTAGTTTTTCCTAGGTCTATTCACTTATGCATAGAACTTAATATTCCTCTGTTTAGCTGTAGCATTGAGTAGTCAACATTTAATACAAAGCAGATTGGTTCATATTCCCTGATCTTCACCCAAACAATAGGAAGAATTTGATTATCCAGTTATGGAACTGGGACTTCTAGATCAAACAGCATGAAGTGTTTTAATAGGACAAGCTTGGACAGACCAGTAAGCTTTGGTTACCTTTTCTTTCTTGGGAATTCCAGTCTAACCTATAGTTTCTTCCTGGTTCCCTATTCTCCAAGATTCTACAGGGTGGAAAAGGTGAGAATGATAGTCTTCCTCCCTTGGTGACAAGTAGCTGTTTCACAGTTCATCAAAAATTATCCAGAGGAATCTTTGGGGACCTTACCTGTAAATAGGCATCCTGGAATTCTCAAGGGTACCACTTCTCAACTTTGTTGTAATTCAAGCTGACGACCTAGTTTATGTATACCAGATACTGAAGCGTAATGTTTTGTCTCAGGAAATTATTGACTATTGACTATTTCTTTCACTATAAATGGATCTTGTTCCAAGAGTTATTCCAAATATGGAAGGTGTTGTGTGTTTTTTTTTTTTTTTTTAAAGATATTGGCTAATAGAAAAGCAGGCATCTGCTTCCAAGTTTTAACCTCTTTTTTTTTCTTTCTTTCCTTTGGATGGGCTTTGCGGATGGGTTAAAGCCAGAGATCCCTTAAGGTCAAATTTCGGTTATTAGTTTATTTTCAGAGGTTTGTCTCCAAATCACCAGTATCTGCTAGGCTCTTTCGTGGTTAGTTCCTATCTTCAGGGAATCCTTTCCGCAGGGGATCTTCTTTTGGGGTTTTTTACTCTGCTGATTTGAGTCTACACTCTAGGTCTTTGGGGGTAGTCGCCCAAAATATTTTTGGGAAGAACTTCTTCAAGTTTCCATTTTCAGCAGGAGAAACTGGAGTTAAGTTGGATTCTTTAATTCTTCCAAATCTTCCATCTAACATTATTTTTCTAGCTTTTCCCAACAGCGTTCTAGGGTCTTGGAATTTTAATTCAACTGCCTGGGCATTTAGTTCTCGTCTACGTTACCTTAAAGGTCTGCATTCGTTTGGGTTTTTTCTTATCTAAGCTCCTTCGATCACAGTTATGTTCAGATCGGTTGCCTGAGGGCTTCTGCTATACATTCTCTCGAATTCCTAACAGCCACGAGGTGATCTCTTCACTCATTTTGGTCTGTTGATCTTGGAAGATACAACTTTGGTTCCCCCCCCCCAAATTTGTTCATAGTCTGAGTGGTACGGTTATTCGGCTTTTGTAATTTCTGTGGATGTCTTGGGTAGGAAGCAATGTATAAGGCCAAAGGTTAATTGGGGGAGGTTCTTAAAAAGTTTGGGAGATTGCCTGCCTGTTTTTTCCCTCCAGGTGATGAAATCCCAGTTGTAAAGCACTGCCTCTAATCTTCTGGAAAAATAAATTTACGGTAAGTAAAAATTTGTTGTTTTTTTCATCTTGGCAGGGAGACAGAGACATGACATCAGAATACTGGGTGTTACATGTTGCCAGATTAAATATCATAATATATCGGTACAAAATGCTTACAGTAGATACATGCAATACAATTTATATTGATATGAAACTCACATAGGCAAAGTTGTCTCCGTCCGCCAAGGGTTTTTCATTTTTTATAGACATTAACTTTATAATAAGACATATTTGACAAGACTTGCTGGTTCGGCCTCTCGACAAAGCAAGCATCTGCAATAGGTTGCTGATATGCCCGGGTTATTCACTATGTGCAGTACAATGAACCTTGGCAGAATCGGGCCAATGCCTATGAGTATGTCTTGGAAGTAGGGGTTTCCTAAACAAGAGAAGGGAAAGATAGATATGCAAAAGAAGAGGGGATGTGGGATATCTGTGTGTGACGAGACCAATCTCGCCACATTGCATTGGAGAAGCCTGGTTGCTCGCCTGCTGCCTTTGGACTATGGCCCCCTTTTAAAAGACTTTATTTTTGCCTGCAGAAAAGCTGTATTCGTGCTTTTCTGCCTGGGGTTCAGTAGATTTGTTTGAATGTGTTATACCCCAGATAGGAATCCCATGGAGCCCATTTGTATGAAACTGACTGTAAAGACTTTGGCTCCATGGCGATTAAACTGTATTCGTGTGGTCTGAGCGCCATTCACTTAATAATGTGCGCTCAGACCTGAGCTATCTGGGGATATGTGAAATGTCTGTGTTTTATGTATAAATGTGACTTTATGTATTTTAAAGTGTTTTGTGTCTTTTTGCAACCATGTGCTTAATGGAGTCTTGTGTCTATCCTGGGAGATAATTGAATTACTTATCTCCAGGATAGAAGACTCTGAAACTGGTTTGGGCCAGAAAGCCATGCTTCATTTAGTCACAAAGGACTTTTTACTAACTTTTGAACCCCTGGTCTGATTCAGGCCATTTTTTAATATGTTGTTCCCCTGAATGGATTGATTGTGAATGTGTAATTTTATGTGAATGTGATGTATGGTTTTAGAGTTATGAAAGTTGGGTAGAAAGTATGTTTTAACTGTATGTATAACTGAGTTTCCTCTCAGGATAAGGGGAGGGAATATGTGGGATGTAACTGTGATGTTATTGGTTGTTTTATACCTCCCTGTGGGCGGTCCTGTATTTGAAAACACTGTAATAAAAACCAGGCTGGGTGTGCCAGCACCTCAGACCACTGCTTGACCCTCAACACGGAGCCTTGTCTCGTTCTTGGGGGGATTCACTGTATGCTGTTAGAGACTGATTGCCAGGAGTGTAAGCTGTTCGCCTGCTTTTCCTGTTCGTCTGCTAGCAGCTATTTGGGAGGTTCCAGTTCGGGAGTTGGAGTGCTATTTTGTATCCAGTTCGTGAGTTTTGGTGTTCTGCAGTAGCTGTGCCTGTATCTCTGGGAAGGGGGCCGATCGCCTAAACGGTTTTTACCCCTTGTGTGCAAAACGGTCCGTTACACTGTGGTATTAAATATTTCTCGTACAGATCCGTGCTATGGGACGGTGGGGGGGGGGGGGGGGGCGGGCAACCCACTAAAACTGCCTTGCACCAGGATGGGTGGTTATCTCAGGTCTCACCTAGTGCGCTGTCGTCCCACCGGTCCCAAATCTTGTGGAAGGTTTTAGTGGACCCCGTACTCTGGCTGTCAGGTTGTTCATTAGTCTTATCTCTTTAATTCTAGCTATAATTTCTGTCACCCCTGGGGTGGTTGGCCATAGCCAAGCTGCTGCTGCCTTCTTAGCCGCTAGCGTGATCTTGTGGATAAGCTTCTGTTCAGTTCTGGTCCACCCCTCTAGCGACCTGTTGAGCAAGTACACCCAGAGATCTAATTCCGGGGTCCTGGAGAACACCTGCCCCAGGAGGTCTTTAACTAGGTTCCAAAATCTAATCATACTAGGACATTCCCACCACATGTGTAGATAAGAACCCTTGAGGCCATAACCCCTCCAACATACATCCGTTGTGAATTTGTGCATTCGGAACAACTTTACCGGGGTAGTATACCACCGGAACATCGTTTTTGAAGGATTGCTCCTGGAGGGTAACACATACAGAGGTGGTAGCACTGGCCTCCCATATCTCCTGCCATTCCACCCCCTCCAGTACTTCTCCCAATTCCTGTTCCCACTGGTCGGTATACTTTAGTCTGCCCCATTCTCTCGCCTCCAAGCAGAGATGAGTGTACAGCAGCGTGATCATACCCGAGGGCAAATTCTGTCAGGCATCAGTGCTCAAAAGTCAGTGGTTGTAAAGCAGCACTTCTAAGGTGTGGGTGTTTTTACAAAATCTTTCAGTTGAATATATCTAAAAAGAAATCGCCTGGCGTGAGGTGCCTCCCCTGTGCGAGGTTGTCGAACCCTACTATTTCGGTACCTTTGTATGATTGGCATATTCTCTGGAGTCCTGTTTGCTCCAAGTTCCTAAAGTCATGCCTGGGGTAAATGCCTTAGGCAGGGTAAGATGTGACTGCACGCTCCGCTCACTTCTACCCCCTCCAAGTACCCCCCTTCTGTTCTCTGTTCCCCTCTCTTCCATGTCTCTCCCCCCTTCCATCGATCTCCTTTTCTATCCATAACTGTATCTCCTACCTTTTTATTCATACATCCCCCCCCTTCCATTCATATTCTCCCCTCCCAGTGTGTCCCTTCCATCCATGTCTCCCTCCCCCCTTCCATCCATTTTTCGCTCACCCAATGCCATCCACATCTCTCCACCCTTGCTACCCACCTTCATCCATATCTCTCCCCTCTTTCATTCGTATATCTCTTCCCCCCCCCCCGCCAACCTCCTTCCTCTCATCCATATATCTCCCCCTTCCTCAATATTTCTCCTTCCTCAATATCCCTTCCCTTGCCTACCTCCCCCCCCCTTACTCAATATCTCCCCCTCCTTGCCAACCTCCACCTTACTCAATATACCCTTTGCCTCTTCCTGAAATCTACCTATCTATGCAATCCTCGTGAGCACTCACAGAGCCGGCAGTCCAGTAAAAGGCTGTTTTCACTTGCCCGCCTCCCCTGCTGTTTTGCCTGTCATGGCAGGGGAGGGGGTGTCCGGTGCGAGGCGGCGCGCTGCCTGTGTCATGTTGAGCTTCTATGCAGACCGCGAGGGGGAGGCGCTCCCCCTGTGTACTGTGCATTTAGTTCCTTGATATAGCCGCACGCTGCCTAGGGACGCAAAAATCACTGCTCACACTGACAATTGATATTTGCGCGCGCCCCTGGCGGGCGCCAGTCTCACCAATCCCTCGGTATGCCTCTGGTACTATTTTACTTGGGAGACTTCGCTTAACACAAATGTGTTATAAAACCGTAAAGGCTAAGTTTGGCCAGCATTTGTGGCTAATACAAAAGACTGGACATACCTCATTTTGAATACACTGTGTTGTCTATTTGTTTTCAAATGGTGGGGTTAACTTTCATTTCTCGGCTGCCATACCGTCTCAAAGGCAACATAGCCAATCTGGCAAATTTCAATTGGCAAAAACAGAAATGAGCAAATCTTATATTTGACCCTGTTACTTTCCAAAACACCATAAAAACCTGTAGATGAGGCGTACTGTTGTACTCGTGAGACATTACTCTACACAAATATGGGGTTTTTTTTGTATTTTTTTTATTATTATTTATGTATTTTTAGAGCAGTTAAATGTATAATATGGATGATATCATCGGTGAAATGGTAGTTTGTGTGAAAAATGCAAAAAAAAAAATATAAACGCAAATTTTGGTCAGGGTTTGTGACTGGCTACTAAAAAAGAAATTTTGTATATGTATATTTTATTGCAGTAAAATCGAACAGTATTATAGAAACATAGAATGTGACGGCAGATAAGAACCATTCGGTCCATCTCGTCTGCCCAATTTTCTAAAAACTTTCATTAGTCCCTAGCCTTATCTTATAGTTAGGATAGCCTTATGCCTGTCCCATGCATGCTTAAACTCCTTTACTGTGTTAACCTCTACCACTTCAGCTGGAAGGCTATTCCATGCATCCACTACCCTCTCAGTAAAGTAATACTTCCTGATATTATTTTTAAACCTTTGTCCCTCTAATTTAAGACTATGTCCTCTTGTTGTGGTAGTTTTTCTTCTTTTAAATATAGTCTCCTCCTTTACTGTGTTGATTCCCTTTATATATTTAAATGTTTCTATCATATCCCCCTGTCTCGTCTTTCCTCCAAGCTATACATGTTAAGATCCTTTAACCTTTCCTGGTAAGTTTTATCCCGCAATCCATGAACCAGTTTAGTAGCCCTTCTCTGAACCCTCTCTAAGGTATCAATATCCTTCTGAAGATACGGTCTCCAGTACTGTGTACAATACTCCAGTTAAACTGTCACATTCAATTATGTTTCATATATAAATATGTTATGAAATGAAAGCCCTGTTTCTCCTGTACAAAATATGTAAGAAGTGTTGGGTGCACTTAAAAGAGGTGAATTATGGTTGAACAACATATAGCGCAAATTCCAGGTTTTGTTTTGATCACAACTTTTACAATTGGCTCCGTCCTTAATGGGTTAATAATTTATAAAATATTGTGGGGTGTTTTGTTTTTAACTAGAAATGACACTCCTAAAATTATAAACCTGAAAATACTGTTGGTATACTGACTTAAAGGACCGCTAAAGGCACCCAGACCACTTCAGCTTAATGAGGTGGTCTGGGTGCCAGGTCATTCTAGGATTAACCCATTTTTTTTATAAACATAGCAGTTTCAGAGAAACAAACTGCTATGTTTATGAATGGCTTAATCCAGCCTCTAGTGGCCGTCTCATTGACAGCCGCTAGAGGCGCTTGCGTGCTTCTCACTGTGATATAACATTTTATTTATTGCATCTTAATGTACCACCTACTGTATACTCTGAAATTCATATTTGTCGTTGTACATGTTGTTGTATTTTTGTTTTGGATTCTTGAAGACTGATTTGACATGTTATGTGCTGGCTATGCCAAAACCCTTTCTAATAACAATTACCTTTTTAAAAAATAAAATAAAAAAAGTAAACCCCTTCACTACAAAATCTGATGTACTATCTTTCTGTGGTACAATATCTTTGAAATTCCATTGTGTCAAATAATTATGATTTTTTTTTTTTAATTTTTTTTTTTAATTATGATTTTTTTAATAAAAAATAAAATTAAAAAAAATATATATATTATAGAGATTATCTTTGTGATGACATATCTGCTGTAGTAAGGCATATCGTTTAACTGTGTATTGATAGCTGAATGAATTTAAAGGGACATTAAAGCCATTGTCTTTATCCTGTGCTGAGGCTACATTGGCACTACTGACCTCTTCTCCTACTACAATGTCACAGAGGCCATGGTCGATTTGATGGTCCAATCCAAGGCTCCTCATTCAGAAATCACTATAGAGAGAGACTGAACTAGTGCTTTTGTATGGGGGGGGGGGACAGTGCTTCCACTGAGGTGGTACCTCTAGTAGCTGTCAATATAAATATTGCAATTTCTCAAAACAAACACCTGCCGGTTAAAACTAAAGAACTATTGCACGCAGACCACTCAACTGAGATGATGTGGTTGAGTGGCTTTAGTGATACTATTACCAATAGAGAGTTTGTGTGAATGTTGGAGCATTCTATATATTCGAATAATCAGAATAAATATTTTTTGTAGAAATGGAGACATTGATCTGTTCACGTATAAATTTTATTTTTATTTTTTTTTATCTGCTATTTGCTGATAGACCAAATTATGTTGTCTTCTTCTTCCAGGGCCAGTTGGGTGGTAGTGAAAGTGCAGGATGCCACCAGGAGTTTATTGCCCAGTTGACTTCTGGGCCAAAGAGGAGAAGCAGAATATCTCGGTGGACTTTCTGCTTCCTAATGGCATTTACCTCAACTTCTGGGTGCCATGCAACGCCAACCTGGGAAACATCAAAAAGGTACGAATGATCACAACATTGCCGCTGTTCTCTCTATTATCCTGTAAAACAACCTGAGCAAACGACTGCATCATGGAAAAAGTTTACGTTACCTCTAGATAGGATTAGGATATGTTGAGGAAGATTATCTCCTACAAATCGTGATATTTTGTGACCATGTGGCTAAATATATCTAATGTTCCCTTTTAAGCCCTCTGCGCCCACCTGTGAAATTTACAAGATGGTCTTTATTACACCTAAATCCTTAAGCTTCTAGCAGTATGGAGGGCGTGGTAATGAGAAGAACCATAATGGTGCTTGTAGGGAGCACTGCTCACAGCATGTGCAATGCAATGGTTCTAGTTTTATAAAAAGGTCTCGTATACGGTATGTCATTAGAAGGCTATATATCTATCTACTCCCGTTTTTAGTCCTCTTATTTACAGTTAGTGTTTGCAGTCTGTCTGTCTCTGTTCCTGAAGTTAAGTCCTCGCTGCTGTTTTGGTTTGGATTTTCCAGCTGCTATGGCAACGTGCACAGCAGGAGCCACTGTTTCACATGCTCAGCCATCCTTCATCGTATGTCTTCACCTGTATCAACCAGACGGCCGAGCAACAGGAGCTGGAGGACGAACAGCGCCGACTCTGCGACATCCAGCCCTTCCTGCCCGTCCTGAGACTCGTAGCCAGAGAAGGGGACCGGGCGGAGAAACTGCTGAACTCTCAGATAAGCCTCTTGATTGGCAAAGGTCAGGACCAGTCCATATTTTTATTAATTTTTTTTTTAAATGGTCACACCGGTGCTCAGCTCTGAGTAGAACGCTTTGAGGGTCTGTACTTTCCTGCTTTCTTGCCTCTTTCTCAGATGCATCAATATGCATTTGGTGCCTTGACATCCCTTTTTAAGGACTGCTCTGTCTGCAACCCTCTATTAGTTTGTTTTGAGTAATGGATGTGATTTTGTTATTTGATTCTGATACATTCCCACTTGTACTCTGTGCTGCACTGATTCAGTAGTAACTGGCAAGATTAGGTTTTTCTTGTTAAGTTAAAGAGCCTAAATTTTTATTTTTCTTCTCCCTCCCCCTCCCCCCCCCATTTCAGGTTTGCATGAATTTGACGCTCTAAATGATCCAGAAGTAAATGATTTCCGCAGTAAAATGCGCATGTTCTGCGAAGACACCGCAATGCAAAGACAGCGAATGACTTGGCAGAGCTGGATGGAGACAAATTTTCCCCTCCAGCTTGAATCCTCCTCCTCAATCTTTACGAGAGAATCCATGCCCCCCAAAATGCTCATGATTAACGTCAAATTTGAAAGTAGCGAGGTATGTGGCTGGGCAGCAATGCTCTGTAAAATAATTCAACATACTGACTGTTCCTAAACCACTGTCCATATAGGAAAACCTGAATATTGTTGAGCCTAGGATTGGAACATTTACTGCCATTTCTGGGATTTCTAAAACTGAAGTCCTATTTTGGTCTCCAGTACCATACAGCCTGCAAGAGCTGTTTATTAATAGCCTTATGTCAAGGTATGCCGATACATTGGAATTGGCCAATTATATTCCTGAAACGTTGTCCTTTTCCACCCAGAACTCTGGGTACATTCTGTTTGATAACCCTTTACTTCTGATTTAGCATGACATAACTAAATAGCCATATATACGACGAGAAGTTATGTTTATATAAGGGAAGAATAGTAACACATGGGCAGTAAAGACGTTTCTTGATAAGAGTCTGAAAAATATATTTATTTTTTCTTAAACCCAAAAAGTAAACTTGTATTACTTTCTTTTTTTTTTTAAAATCTTTATTTTAATTTGCTATCGTATACAATTAAAGGGACACTATAGTCACCTGAACAACTTTAGCTTAATGAAGCAGTTTTGGTGTATAGAACATGCCCCTGCAGCCTCACTGCTCAATCCTCTGCCATTTAGGAGTTAAATTCCTTTGTTTATGAACCCTAGTCACACCTCCCTGCATGTGACTTGCACAGCCTTCCATAAACACTTCCTGTAAAGAGAGCCCTATTTAGGCTTTCTTTATTGCAAGTTCTGTTTAATTAAGATTTTCTTATCCCCTGCTATGTTAATAGCTTGCTAGACCCTGCAAGAGCCTCCTATATGTGATTAAAGTTCAATTTAGAGATTGAGATACAATTATTTAAGGTAAATTACATCTGTTTGAAAGTAAAAAACATTTTTTTTGTTTTTTTCAATGCAGGCTCTGTCAATCACAGCCAGGGGAGGTGTGGCTAGGGCTGCATAAATAGAAACAAAGTGATTTAACTCCTAAATGACAGTGAATTGAGCAGTGAAATTGCAGGGGAATGATCTATACTAGGGGTCAGCAACTTACGGCACTAGTGCCATGCACGGCACTCGAGGTGTCTTTGCACGGCACTCAAGGCTACAAGAGCCAACCAAACAGGCTCTGGCCTATCAGGAGTCTCAGTGAAACTTCAGATGTCTGCTAATACGAAGAGGTGGTGAAGGACAATCCTCAATTTATGCATTGCAGCACTTAGAGGAAGTGATCTCAGATCACTTCCTCCCAGCACTTGTGAATAGGAATCCACACTGTAGTAGAGCAGCTCACAGCTGATGTTGCAGCTCCTGTCCTTGAGCTGTTCCTGCCCAGGCTGGTCCCCACTGGAACCCAGGGAAGCCACCCACACTGCTAGATATACAGAGACCTGCAGAATAACCCTCCCCTCATACAAATAATACAAACAGCACACAAACATACACACAATTCCCACAAACTCAACACCACTAACAATCCACATACGTGCACACAACCCCACATGCAGCCTCTCACATGCAATACCCCAAACAGCCCCCCACACATACACACACTACCAAACACACAATGTGACATATCCATCCACACACAATTCCACAAGCTGCCTCCATACACGGCCCACATTCATATGTATCATACACGATACCACAAACTATTAATGAACATATACAATATATTAGCTCCTGTACGCACAAATACAACAATACAAAGCAATTACAGTATAAATAACTCAAGCAGAATATGGCCGCACACACACCTCAATTTAAAAAAATAGGATCGGCAGGAATTTGGGGGCCCCAAGCAAAATGGACATGTAGGCGCCCCCCCGCCCGCAAAGCCTACAGGAACCACAGCGTAGCCATACAGTTTAAGTTCACCCACACTTTATATAAATAAAAAATGTTTACAGTGCAAATACTGCTGTTGCATATAATGTGCATAAAATTTGAACATTTTCAAGAATTGAAAATTCCCTGTGTTCTCCTCATCCCCCCTTCTCCTCACCCCCCCTTCCTGTGTTCTCCTCATCGCCTCACCCTCCCCTCCCTGTGTTCTTCTTACTCTTCCCCCCCCCTCCCTATGTGCTTCTTACTACTCCCCCCTTTGTTGTTCTTACTACTCTCATCCCTCACCCTTTCCAACAATCATCGGTGGATCGTATGTTCAGCTTATATATTAAGAGGATTTTGTACATTTGTTCCTTGGAGACTATACATACCGAGACCTTCGCGCTGCCTCGCACATATCTTGCCACTCATCATCCACAATCTCCTCCCCCAGGTCTCTCTCCCACTGTGCCACATATCGCAGGGGATCCCAAATCTTGGAGGTTGAGTGTAGCTCAGTATAAATATCCGTGACAAGTCCCTACCTATATCTTCCCTCAGAACATAATCTCAAATAGAGTGAGTGCCCCTTGACCTCACGATCTCCTCCCCATGGGCAAAGTCTCTGATTTGCAGATATCTGAAGTAGTTATGGTTAATCGGTCCGCTGTTTCAACACGTCCTTCTATTCCTTTTTAAAACAAAATTTACCTCCTTTTTATTTAATACTCTTTCTTGTATTACACCGTAAATTTGTTATGCATATATACAAGCAAATGCCCTTTTCGCTTAAAGGAACACTACAAACCTGTATTCCTTTTAAAAACATACAGTGCCTTGCAAAAGTATTCACCCCTTGACTTTTTACCTATTTTGTGACATTACAGCCTTAAGTTCAAGGTTTTATTAATCTGAATTTTATGTGATGGATCAGAACACAATAGTCTAAGTTGGTGAAGTGAAATGAGAGAAATATATACATAAAACTATTTTTTAGAAATAGAAAACAGAAAATTGGCATGAGCGTATGTATTCACCCCCTTTGTTATGAAGCTCATAAAAAGCTCTGGTGCAACCAATTACCTTCAGAAGTCACATAATTAGTGAAATGATGTCCACCTGTGTGCAATCGAAGTGTCACATGATCTGTCATTACATATACACACCTTTTTTGAAAGGCCCCAGAGGCTGCAACACCTAAGCAAGAGGTACCACTAACCAAACACTGCCATGAAGACCAAGGAACTCTCCAAACAAGTAAGGGACAATGTTGTTGAGAAATACAAGTAAGGGTTAGGTTATAAAAAATATTCAACTCTTTGATGATCCCCAGGAGCATCATCAAATCTATCATAACCAAATGGAAAGAACATGGCACAACAGCAAACCTGCCAAGAGACGTCCGCCCACCAAAACACACGGACCGGGCAAGGAGGGCATTAATCAGAGTGGCAGCACAGAGACCTAAGGTAACCCTGGAAGAGCTGCAGAGTTCCACAGCAGAGACCGGAGTATCTGTAAATAGGACGACAATAAGCCGTACGCTCCATAGAGTTGAGCTTTATGGCAGAGTGGCCAGAAGAAAGCCATTACTTTCAGCAAAAAATGGCACGTTTTGAGTTTGCGAAAAGGCATGTGGAAGACTCCTACAATGTATGGAGCTCTGGTCTGATGAGACTAAAATTTTACTTTTCGGCCATCAAAGAAAACGCTATGTCTGGCGAAAACCCAACACATCACATCACCCAAAGAACACCATCCCCACAGTGAAACATGGTGGTGGCAGCATCATGCTGTGGGGATGTTTTTCAGCAGCCGGGACTGGGAAACTGGTCAGAGTTGAGGGAAAGATGGATGGTGCTAATTACAGGGATATTCTTGAGCAAAACCTGTACCACTCTGTGCGTGATTTGACGCTAGGACCGAGGTTCACCTTCCAGCAGGACAATGACCCCAAACACACTGCTAAAGCAACACTTGAGTGATTTAAGGGGAAACATGTAAATGTGTTGGAATGGCCTAGTCAAAGCCCAGACCTCAATCCAATAGAAAATCTGTGGTCAGACTTAGATTGCTGTTCACAAGCGCAAGCCATCCAACTTGAAGGAGCTGGAGCAGTTTTGCAATGAGGAATGGGCAAAGATCCAAGTGGTAAGATGTGGCAAGCTCATAGAGCCTTATCCAAAGCGACTTGGAGCTGTGATTATCGTAAAAGGTGACTCTACAAAGTATTGACTTTAGGTGGGTGAATAGTTATGCATATTTACTTTTTCTGTTATTTTGTCCTATTTGTTGTTTGCTTCACAATAAAAAAGAAAATCTTCAAAGTTGTGGGCATGTTCTGTAAATTAAAAATGATGCAAATCCCCAAACAATCCATGTTAACACAAAAAATGCCAAGGGGGTGAATACTTTTGCAAGGCACTGTATTCCACATTCATTTATTATATAAAGAAATCAAAATTTAACAATAGAAACGAGTAGGCCCTTGGCCCCTGGACCCTTCAAAGTGCATTAAAATGTGAACTTTAACTTTTCTCAATCAGCGGGTTGGTCTTGCTGCGGCTGGTTCCGCCTCCACTGCTGAGATAATCAATCTTGATGATCTCTGTCATTCCAGTGCTTTCCCATAGAAAAGCATTGTGAGGCTATGCATCTCTATGGGGAACGTTCAGTGACTACATGCAAAGCATGGAGACTCTAAATGCAAGCAGCAATGACACCAGAAACCCCTCTAGTGGCGGTCTAAGTGATTGTCACTAACGGTGTAACTAGACCGCAATGTAAATACTGTTTTCTCAGGAAAGGCAGCGTTTACATTGAAAAGCCTGCAGACACCAGAATCACTGCATTAAGCTGTTTGTAGTAACTTTATTATTATTTTATTTATATAGTGCTGTACAATGGGTGGACTAACAGATGTGTTACTGTACATCCAGTTACAATAACACGAGAGGTGGAGGGCCCAGCTACAGTGAGTTTACATGTTAGAGGGAGTGGGGTATAGTGTAACCCTGCTCAGTGAGTTTACATGTTAGAGGGAGTGGGGTATAGTGACACAGTAACAGAGGGATTGACAGTGACATGTTAGAGGGAGTGGGGTATAGTGACAAGTAACAGGGATTGAGGGCCTGCTCAGTGAGTTTACATGTTAGAGGGAGTGGGGTATAGTGACACAGTAACAGAGGGATTGAGGGGCCTGCTCAGTGAGTTTACATGTTAGAGGGAGTGGGGTATAGTGACACAGTAACAGAGGGATTGAGGGCCCTGCTACATGTTGAGTGGGGTATAGTGACAGTAACAGAGGGATTGAGGGCCCTGCTCAGTGAGTTTACATGTTAGAGGGAGTGGGGTATAGTGACACAGTAACAGAGGGATTGAGGGCCTGCTCAGTGAGTTTACATGTTAGAGGGAGTGGGGTATAGTGACACAGTAACAGAGGGATTGAGGGCCCTGCTCAGTGAGTTTACATGTTAGAGGGAGTGGGGTATAGTGACACAGTAACAGAGGGATTGAGGGCCTGCTCAGTGAGTTTACATGTTAGAGGGAGTGGGGTATAGTGACACAGTAACAGAGGGATTGAGGGCCTGCTCAGTGAGTTTACATGTTAGAGGGAGTGGGGTATAGTGACACAGTAACAGAGGGATTGAGGGGCCTGCTCAGTGAGTTTACATGTTAGAGGGAGTGGGGTATAGTGACACAGTAACAGAGGGATTGAGGGCCCTGCTCAGTGAGTTTACATGTTAGAGGGAGTGGGGTATAGTGACACAGTAACAGAGGGATTGAGGGCCTGCTCAGTGAGTTTACATGTTAGAGGGAGTGGGGTATAGTGACAGTAACAGAGGGATTGAGGGCCTGCTCAGTGAGTTTACATGTTAGAGGGAGTGGGGTATAGTGACACAGTAACAGAGGGATTGAGGCCCTGCTCAGTGAGTTTACATGTTAGAGGGAGTGGGGTATAGTGACACAGTAACAGAGGGATTGAGGGCCCTGCTCAGTGAGTTTACATGTTAGAGGGAGTGGGGTATAGTGACACAGTAACAGAGGGATTGAGGGCCTGCTCAGTGAGTTTACATGTTAGAGGGAGTGGGGTATAGTGACACAGTAACAGAGGGATTGAGGGCCTGCTCAGTGAGTTTACATGTTAGAGGGAGTGGGGTATAGTGACACAGTAACAGAGGGATTGAGGGCCTGCTCAGTGAGTTTACATGTTAGAGGGAGTGGGGTATAGTGACACAGTAACAGAGGGATTGAGGGCCTGCTCAGTGAGTTTACATGTTAGAGGGAGTGGGGTATAGTGACACAGTAACAGAGGGATTGAGGGCCTGCTCAGTGAGTTTACATGTTAGAGGGAGTGGGGTATAGTGACACAGTAACAGAGGGATTGAGGGCCTGCTCAGTGAGTTTACATGTTAGAGGGAGTGGGGTATAGTGACACAGTAACAGAGGGATTGAGGGCCCTGCTCAGTGAGTTTACATGTTAGAGGGAGTGGGGTATAGTGACACAGTAACAGAGGGATTGAGGGCCCTGCTCAGTGAGTTTACATGTTAGAGGGAGTGGGGTATAGTGACACAGTAACAGAGGGATTGAGGGCCCTGCTCAGTGAGTTTACATGTTAGAGGGAGTGGGGTATAGTGACAGTAACAGAGGGATTGAGGGCCTGCTCAGTGAGTTTACATGTTAGAGGGAGTGGGGTATAGTGACACAGTAACAGAGGGATTGAGGGCCTGCTCAGTGAGTTTACATGTTAGAGGGAGTGGGGTATAGTGATACAGTAACAGAGGGATTGAGGGCCTGCTCAGTGAGTTTACATGTTAGAGGGAGTGGGGTATAGTGACACAGTAACAGAGGGATTGAGGGCCTGCTCAGTGAGTTTACATGTTAGAGGGAGTGGGGTATAGTGACACAGTAACAGAGGGATTGATGGCCTGCTCAGTGAGTTTACATGTTAGAGGGAGTGGGGTATAGTGACACAGTAACAGAGGGATTGAGGGCCTGCTCAGTGAGTTTACATGTTAGAGGGAGTGGGGTATAGTGACACAGTAACAGAGGGATTGAGGGCCTGCTCAGTGAGTTTACATGTTAGAGGGAGTGGGGTATAGTGACAGTAACAGAGGGATTGAGGGCCCTGCTCAGTGAGTTTACATGTTAGAGGGAGTGGGGTATAGTGACACAGTAACAGAGGGATTGAGGGTCATGCTCAGTGAGTTTACATGTTAGAGGGAGTGGGGTATAGTGACACAAAGGGTAAAAGTAGGTTGTTGGCAAAGTATTCACTGAGGGCTTAGTAGGTAATTTTGACAGTTGCAGTAGAGGAGTCATGGGGGGTGGGGGATAAAAACCTGCTAACAGTTTAAAGGACCACCATAGTGTACGTTTTCCTGGCACTATAATGCCCTGAGGGTGCCCCCACCCTCAGGGTCCCCCTCCCTCCAGGCTCTGGGGGGAGGAAGGGGTTAAACTTACCTCCTTCTCCAGCGCTGGGCTGAAGCACCACTTATCGTACCAAAACTCTTGCAGGTAAAGCAGTTGTTGCTTGTTCTTGAATCCTGGGGCTATTTGCATTGTGTTTGGCATTTCCGAAATCTTGTCCTCTTTCAGCAGCTCAGAGTGTGCTTGGTTTTGGTGGAAAAGTGTTGCGTCTGACCAAAGAGGACTTGGCCGCCTCAGTGGAGCAGGGCTAAGCCAGGAGATGCAATGAGGATGTTCAGAGTTACCCCAACTACCATGACCACTTTAGTGACTTTTGGCACAGCAAGAGTTACTATTAACACAAAACAGTGAGATTAAAATATTTATTTAGTATTTATTTATCCATCTGTTGGATATAAATAAGAATACCCAAGGGTTGTGATTTATGCAATTTTGGATAAATCAAAAATTATATTATATAAAAAAAAGCACATTAACAGAACCTACCATGGCAACCAATTTCCGTTCTGCAACATTTAATCTTTCCGTAGAGTGATTCAGGATGTCATTTTTATATGATGACTTGTAAATCTGTTATTAACCCATGACACCATGCCGGTCTCTTTTTTTTTTTATTTTTTTTTTTTTTAGGAGAGCTTCACTTTGCAGGTGTCCTTGGTGGATTTTCCCATCACCCTTGTAGGAATGGCTCTAAAGAAAAAATCCAATCTTTTTGGCCAGCGATCGTTGGGGCGTCCAGAAGAGTACACCCTGCAAGTCAATGGGATGTTAGAATACTTATATGGAGACTACCCTCTTTGCCAGTTTACAGTGAGTATGCAGCTTTTTCTATCTTCTGGGACAAGGGTGTAGGACACAATAAATGATTTTGAAAACTCTTAAGGAAGACTGCTACTCATCAGTACAGTCCAGGAGGCAAAGAGACTGCTTCTGTCCTGTGAAGGTCTTCAGAAATATTAAAGGGACACTATAGTCACCAGAACAACTACAGCTTATTGTATGGTATACAGCTTATTGTATGGTATACAGCTTATTGTATGGTATACAGCTTAATGTATAATATAAAGCTTATTGTATGATATACAGCTTATTGTATGATATACTGCTTATTGTATAATATACAGCTTAATGTAGTTGTTCTGTGAGTATAATAGCTCCCTTCAGGCATTTTCATGTAAACACTGCCTTTTCAGAGAAAAAGCAGTGTTTAAATTGCCCCTAGGGACACCAAGTGGCCACTCCTCAGATGGAAAGGGGGGCGGGGCCAAACACCACTCCTCAGATGGCCACTGGAGGTGCTTCCTGGATCAGTGTTGCACAGTAGGCAGCCCTGCCGTTCAGAGTCCCCAGAGACACTGAATTTTCCTCATAGGGATGCATTGATTTAATGCGTCTCTATGATGAGGTGCTGATTGGCCGAAACTGCATTTCCCCCCCCCCCTTCCCCTTGCATCCCCCCCTCTCCCCCCTTCCCCTTGCAGTTTTTAGCCAATCCAATACTTTCCCTGTGGGAAAGCATTGGATTGGCTAAAAATCTGCCATTTTGATGTCACCAAGGGGGCGGTACAGTGCCTGCGGATTCATGGAGAGCTGAAAAGGTGAATTTTAACCCATTCTGAGGGGACTAAGGGGGTCAAACCACCAAAATGGTGGGTTTTCACAATAGGGTGTTTGTGTTCCTGACCCTATAGTGATCCTTTAAGGTAGAATAGAAAATATTGAAAGTGTTTTGTGTGTTAATTTAATTTTTTTTATTTCTTATTTTACCTGATTTTAGATTAAACATTTTAAGCTAATATGTATGTGCATTCTGACCTAAGTAAATGTTAATGTTTAAACTATACATTTCAAAACTTCAATAAAAATGTGAGAAAAAAACACATTGTAGCAAACTGAACACATTATTGCAAAATGTAAGCTTTAAATTACTAATTAATCATGTAGAACGGGCAGGTTTTGCATGTTGTCCAACATACGCACCATCCCCTGCTTTTGCAAGGGGCCTTCCAGTGACACAGATGGGCTTTAATCCATATATGATTGTAGTGCTGAAGTAGCAGAATTCAAGTGAAGGGACTGGCCAACATTTGTAGACCTGTAATTTTTATGTAGTTACATGCAGTAGATGAGACTAATTTGGCTAGAATCTAAAGTGATCCATCGTGAACGATCGGTTGGTTTAAAGCAGGCTTCCCCAAACTCCAGCTCTCCAGATGTTGCTGAACTACAACTCCCATGATTTTCAGCCTATCTATTTCATTCAAAGAATCATGGGAGTTGTAGTTCAGCAACATCTGGAGGGCCGGAGTTTGGGGAAGCGTGCTTTAAAGGATCACTATAGGGTCAGGAACACAAACATGTATTCCTGACCCTATAGTGCTACACCCACTATTTAAGTGGCTTTCCCCCAACTCCCCCTATAAAAGTTTTAAACTCCACTTATTTCCAACGCCGCGCGGTTGCGCCAACTCTGCCCCTTTGTGACCTCATCAAAATGGGCGATTTTAACCAATCCAATGCTGTCCCATAGGCTAAAATCGGCAAGGGGGCTGGGCCAAATGCCATTTTGGCCAATCAGGACCTCCTCATAGAGATTCATTGAATCAATGTATCTCAATGAGGAAAATTCAGTGTCTCCATGCCTACTGTGCAGCACTGAGCCAGGAAGCCCCACCAGTGGTCATCTGAGGAGTGGCCTCTTGGAGGCATCCATAGGGGCAATGTAAACACTCTGCCTTTTCTTTTAAAATACAGTGTTTACATGAAAATGCCTGTAGGGAGCTATTATACTCTAAGCTGTAGTTGTCATGGTGACTATAGTGTCCCTTTAATCTCTTGGTTTGCAACTTTCATCCGGTTTAATAATCTGCTGGGTTTTTTTATTGCAAGAGGTCATTGGTCCTCTTGCAATGACATTTTCTGTTCCCACAGCAGACTATGACAATTCCTTTTTATACTATAATTGAGGATTAAACATTAGTAGCTGAGCGTTTATTGTGCACTATATAAAATGTACTTTTTCAGGAGAGGCATGTTCACATCTGCCATGAAGTAAAATATAGCGTACAATCTTTTCACAACTGGTTAAAAGCAGATTCCAAGGGTACCAAATTTTGTTTAAAAAAAACACAGATCATAATCACTGATGGCAAATGGCCTTATCTACTAGAAAGAACTGTCATTCTCTTGTCATGTTTTTTTAAAGTTCTTGTAAGTCATAACGAACATACCTCACGTAAGTCTGCCTCTGAGTAAAGTAATTTTTTTGGGCAAGTCTACAATAAGCCATGGTAGCGGCATGCTTACTTACTGTATTTTGTAAAAAAAATCTCATCGTATATTTTATATAAAAGACACTTTAAAATCTTTAGAGCTGTGTTTTATAGCTTGTGGTACCTTTTCTATTTATGTATTTGTGTGTGTAGTGTTGTGTGTCTTTATCTGTGCATGTTATTCTGGTGTAAACTCTGTTAATGGATGAGATTTGTTCTGATGGTTTTATGTCTTTTCAGTACATAAAACAATGTCTGCTCCGGGGTTGCACACCCCACCTCACTCTAGTCTCTGTGACCTCCATCTTGCCTGACCAACAGGCGTCGTCCACTACTTTGAGCTCCAAATCGCGCCACAAACCCCCACCTCTGCCAAGTAAAAAGGTAAGAGATTAATGGCACTTGGCCTTGCAGAGCCCAATCATCGTAAACCCCAACATTGTCCTCCCTTTATGAGCTGTCTGTCACTCGCCCTTCATAAACCTCAACGCTGCCCAGCCTAGAGATTGATTTGATTTATAAACTTCAAATTAAGCGCAAATATCTCTCCTTCAGGTAAAATTGTTTTTAATTATTTTCTTGTTTAGCAGCTTCACTCGTCACTGTGGAAACTAGACAGCCCCTTTTACATCAACCTCCTTCACGCAAGCAATATAAATGCAGAGGAAGGATTGAAGGTTTGTACGTCTGTTTGGTTTTACTAACTGGATGTGTTTATCTGCTTCAGCGGAGGATCTGTGATCATGGGGTAAAACTGAGATTGCCTGACTGATTTTAAATGTTGGTGGATGGATGATGCAGAAGTCAAATTTCAATATTTGTGCCGCTATAGAGTGGCTGCCAGTTGTTGTGAAGATCCCAAATCTTTAGTAAAACCTTTCCAGTACTGCTTGGGGAGAAAGGGGGGAATACTAGGGGATCACACCCAGAGAGTCATAGGACCAGAACCACTTCCGCTCAGAACCACCAGTGTAAGACTAGGAGACCACGCCCATAGATTCATAGGACCAGAACCACTTCTGCTCAGAACCACCAGTGTAAGACTAGGAGACCACGCCCATAGATTCATAGGACCAGAACCACTTCTGCTCAGAACCACCAGTGTAAGACTAGGAGACCACGCCCATAGATTCATAGGACCAGAACCACTTCTGCTCAGAACCACCAGTGTAAGACTAGGAGACCACGCCCATAGATTCATAGGACCAGAACCACTTCTGCTCAGAACCACCAGTGTAAGACTAGGAGACCACGCCCATAGATTCATAGGACCAGAACCACTTCTGCTCAGAACCACCAGTGTAAGACTAGGAGACCACGCCCATAGATTCATAGGACCAGAACCACTTCTGCTCAGAACCACCAGTGTAAGACTAGGAGACCACGCCCATAGATTCATAGGACCAGAACCACTTCTGCTCAGAACCACCAGTGTAAGACTAGGAGACCACGCCCATAGATTCATAGGACCAGAACCACTTCTGCTCAGAACCACCAGTGTAAGACTAGGAGACCACGCCCATAGATTCATAGGACCAGAACCACTTCTGCTCAGAACCACCAGTGTAAGACTAGGAGACCACGCCCATAGATTCATAGGACCAGAACCACTTCTGCTCAGAACCACCAGTGTAAGACTAGGAGACCACGCCCATAGATTCATAGGACCAGAACCACTTCTGCTCAGAACCACCAGTGTAAGACTAGGAGACCACGCCCATAGATTCATAGGACCAGAACCACTTCTGCTCAGAACCACCAATGTAAGACTAGGAGACCACGCCCATAGATTCATAGGACCAGAACCACTTCTGCTCAGAACCACCAGTGTAAGACTAGGAGACCACGCTCATAGATTCATAGGACCAGAACCACTTCTGCTCAGAACCACCAGTGTAAGACTAGGAGACTACGCCCATAGATTCATAGGACCAGAACCACTTCTGCTCAGAACCACCAGTGTAAGACTAGGAGACCACTCCCATAGATTCATAGGACCAATACTAGTATAAACGCTTCCTTCATATGTCATTTTTCACAATGTTTTTCTACTGGCTTAGAATTTACTGAGATAATAGTCTTGCATGCAGTGCTTTGCATTTTGGCTGCAGTTCTGTCCATTTTTTTTGCTTACTGACTGCTCTCTATTGCCTAGAGCTCCAATGGCAATCTAGGATTAGCTGTGACAGGTGTTGGATACATTGTAGCTTGAGCAGAGCTACCTGGGGGTAGCTGCAAATGCCGGAGGAACTTTGTGCATTTAGTTATTTATTTTCTGTTTAAATCCTTATATAGTACATAAAAACATGTGCTGTGGACCAGTTTTAGACTGTAATATCCCTTTTTAGTTGTGGGAATAATTGACAATATTTTTTCTTTTCTTCATGTGATCTGTCATCCTGGCATGGACGGTTTTCGGTGCACCCCTAATTCACTATTCTGCTTTCTCTCTTAGCTGGTGGTCCAGAGTGGTCTTTACCATGGCAACGAACTCCTGTGCAAGACTGTGGAAAGCACGGAGGTACAAGCGTCCTCCGATCCGGTTTGGCAGCAAAAGCTGGAGTTTGACATCTCGATGTCCGATCTTCCCCGCATGACGAGGCTCAGTCTGGTTCTCTATGCCGTTGAAAAGTCAAAAAGGGTCCGATCGACCAGGAGAAAACCCAAAAAAGGAGTGAGTATTTTCAGGTTTCCTCTAGTAAGTAAGACCCATAGCATCTTTTGCAAGCAAGGGACTTCCATTTACTAATTTTTTACTTTTTCTTTTCCTCTCCCCATCCTCCTTGTGGATAGGATTACCCCATCGCCTGGGTGAACATCATGGTTTTTGATTACAAGGACATGCTGAAGTCTGGGGAATACTCTCTGTGCATGTGGTCCTCCTTTCCAGGTAATATCCCAGACAGACTAGTCCATTTAGAGAAAACTGAACGTACTGTAATGCAACTCCCATCACCTGCAGTCACCGACAATCTGTTGGGGAGTGAGGAGAGTAGCAGTCTAGCCACTTCCTGAGAATGCAGGTTGCCCAGCGTGTTTTAGAATATAGAAAGTCGTGACCTCTGTTATAACTAGATTCCATTTAGGCCGTAAGATGCTCTATATCCTTGTCGTCCGCATGGGAATCTGCCACTTGAGTGCAACCTATATCTGTGACACAATATAAGATGTAGCACTACTTCTATTGAGGAAAAGCTGAAGCCCCCTTTTGTGTGGATTTTTGTTTTCTGTATATTGGATAAAGGCTGTTGAAGAGGAGCCATAAATGGTTTGCTGCCACCATCCATGCAACCCATGTTGGCAAGTTATGTGTATATTGTTACAATACTTCTAAGCATTATTTGGTTATATACAAAGTATCACCTGCCAGGAACATCTCCGTGGGCCCTTAAGGTGTACTAAATGTCAATCTCCTTCAAAAACACATCCATTCGCATTCAATGTTCTTATGGCAGGTTTGAGGGCAGACGGCTATACTCCACAAACATTTCTTTATCATGTTAAATGCAAAGGCAGCCAGTCTTGTTTAACACACATTCTGTGACTACAGCAAAGCAAACCTTTTAAAAGTACCAGTCGCTGCGAGAGCCCTATCTCTTCTGGTGGGCGTATTAACTTCTAACAGAATATAATGGGAAAAGATCGAAGTCTGAACGAATTTCCAGAACAGAACTGTCCCATAGCTACCCCTAAGCAACATGAGCCTAGGGATTTTAAATATTAAGATTTAAGGAGTTTTTCACTAAACCTATTGTGCTGAGTGGCAAAATGTGCAATTTTGAAATAAATGGTTCAATTCTGCTATAATCACAGCGTGGCTGTTTCAGTTCACTACTATTCAGTAAATAACCCTCAGTGTTTTTGTTTTTACATAACGTGTTTGTGTGTTTGTGTGTGTGTGTGTTCTGTGCTGATTTCCTGCTCTTGAGATCCTTTTTGCTCTGTTTGTGGTAGTCCACAAAACCAATGCTTCTATAGAAGTGAACGCTCAAACAATTACTCAGAAAAGCCACTACTGAAAACAAAGCAAAGCCTTTCGTACTCTGCTTATGTGTCTGATATTTGTGTCACACAGGACTGAGTGTGGTGCCGTTCTAATTGATTCCTAGAGTGTTACATACCCTGTGCATTTAGAAGTAGAGTACTTTTATAGACCGTAGTTATCACACTATGGCAAACAGGACCTTTCCTGCACGTGTGGGATCTGTGGGGATCAGATTGTGATGATGAATTTGAATGATATTTCTATTTAAGTGACTAATAGGACTGCTATAGAATTGTCATTTGAATTTTGATTTCTCTTTATTTATTGCTAAAGTCTTCCTTATTTTCCAGATGAGAAGGGGGAGTTGCTGAACCCAATGGGCACTGTACAGGGTAACCCCAACACGGAGAGTGCAGCCACCCTGAGTATCAGTTTTCCTTTGTACGACTATTCAGTCTTTTACCCGTCTATTGAGAAGGTAAATTGTTAGACACTGCAACCGTACATCACGACAAATTAAAGTTCAAAGAATATTCCCATATTTTATTTTTACTTTATAAACCTTTCAAATTCAAGGAAGAATTTTTTTATTTTTTTATTACATGTATTCTCTTTAATGACCTCAATGGCAAAAACCCCTCCAAATGCAGAACTGTTGAAGGACGGATGTGATGGTTCTTTAGAAGATTTTATCGATCTACAAGTTAGACATATTGATGATTTTATCTTTGTAACATTCCATGGACAATTTGTGTGTAATCCTCTCTAGACTGTAGGACATACATGAGATCTGGTGAAATGTCACTGGTTACTATCCAGCCTAAATAATTTATTTTTACCAATATAACGAATATTAAACTAAAGATCAATGGTTGGTATATGCAATAAAAGCATAGTAACAGACAAGAAAATTTTATACACCATTGTGTAGCAAGGAAAAATTAACCCCATATGAGAAACAAATGTAAGGCTCACTACATAGATTGCATAATCTATAATATAGAGATATACAGGTTTTTTTTGTTTTTTTTTATCTGCTATTCTCCCCCCACCCCCTTCCAGACATGGGACATGGCCATGGTGGCAGATTCCCATTCCCAAAATCTTTTTTTTTCTTTTTTTTTTGTTCCGTTCAGTAAAAGGGTGGGCAGGGGGGGTTTATGCATTGTATTTTGGCCAATGTATATTTTTTCCAACAGTAAGTCTACACTGTGTGTAATAAACCGTGATGTTATTAATTTTCCTTTTATTTTATTTTTTAATGTATTTCTGCTTTACAGATCCTGGATCTGGGGGCACGGTGCAATGAGGTTACATATCCAACCACTGAGGAGGTAATTTTTTATAACACAGCCTGGAGAATTAACACAGACTTTTGCAATTCCAACACAATCCAAAGATTCAATTAAACAAAGTAGGGACATCGTTGTCTTGGGGACAAATTTGAGGTTGACAAAAGGAGTTCTGGCATCACCTTTGTCCAATCCCAGCTGCCATCACAGGCGACAGCTCTGAGATACAGACCTTCTTCCTTCAAGCCGGCTGTAGTGGTTAGGATGCAAGGAGTACCCTAGCACAGTTTGCCAGTAATGCGGAAAACCGTTTAGCAATATTTTCCCCTCATACCTGGGTCTGTTTCTGGCACCAAAGCTCCCTAATGGTCCGGTGATGTACTTCTGGCTTTTGCAGAGCCGCGGCCATTGACATTCACTGGCTGAGAGTCCGCTGACCCCTCTCAGCTATTGAATGCAATGAAAGTTGCACAGAATTGACATTAGCCAGCCCAACACCCCAGTGAGGCTGCCAGAGTTGGTGTTGCTACTCCGCAGCGGTGGGGTTATAGCGAAATGCTGCACAGAGACTGCAGGCACCATAGCCTCTTCAAATCACTGTAGTGCTTACAATAACTTGTTAATGAACATTCTCTTCTGTTAAGATGACTTTGTGCAGGGAATGCATTGCTTTGGTGGAGCAAATGCTAGCCTGTCTCTGTGCCCTGGTCCATATATTAATATGAAGTGGAATTTGCACGCATTGCCCAGAAAATTGAATTAATTGGAGTCTCTTACAAAATGACAAACCGCATGTTTCATCCTTTTTTTTAAATTTTTTTTTTTTTTCCTTCTTGCAAGCAGCAGATACAGCTGCACGAGATCTTAGAACGCAAAGGACATTCTGAGTTATACGAACACGAGAAAGATCTGGTGTGGAAACTGCGTCATGAGATCAAAGATCGTTACCCAGAAGCCCTCTCTAAAGTGCTGCTTGTCACCAAGTGGAACCGACACGACGATGTGGCACAGGTTAGATCTTTGTGGTACTGCTAAACTGTAACTTATATTTGTATATATGGTTTTGTCAATAATAGAGTATCCTTTATAATTTATAGTGTGCTATATAGCTAAAATGTCAACTTGTCCCTGCCAACTGATCCAGCTAATGGTCAGAACCAATATGTATGACTCGCACATTTTCTCTCTGTTCTGAGAAATTATATCCTTTGTAGATGAGGTCTCCCTTTAGCCACAGTATTAACTCATTTTTGTGAATTTGCTCCCCCAAGACGTAAGTGTGGATATCCAAGCAAAAAATACCAGCACATACATAAAAAAATGTGTCCATTTATTCAGGTGCCCAAAGTGTAGGTTTCATATTTGTTTGTGGTTGGCTTGGCTACTTTAGTCATGTGACCTGGAGTTAATTATGTAAGCCTCTTTCTAATTTCCTGTATAAGGATATCTATTGATCACAATGTGTATTGTATTGGCTTGATAAAGACCCTGTATAAATGGATACTCATTTTTAAGGATGTTCTGGAATTTCTTGCTATACTACTTAAGACTATATACTGATTTGGGAGGAAGCGGATTCCCTGCACCCTTGTATGAGTGGTAGCAGCTGTTCCAATTCTGTATTGTGAGTGATTGTGGGTTTCGTGAAAATGTTCAATCATGTCATCACTGCACTTTACATGAACAAAATGAAAAAAAAAAAAATGGTTCACACAGTTATTCCATGTTGGGCACCCCGACCTCTTCTTGTGTCTCCAACAGATGCTGTATTTATTGCAAAACTGGCCTGAGCTTCCTGTTCTCATAGCCCTAGAACTTTTAGACTTTAACTTTCCTGATCGCTACGTGGGTACTTTCACCATCAACTGCCTGAAGAAACTCACGTGAGTATTTATTTGTTTGTGTGGGATGGGTGGCTGATGTCTGCTGGTCAAGGGGGGACAACTAATGCGCTCTGCTCATATGTCCTTTTCAGGAACGAGGATTTGTGCCACTACCTCCTTCAGTTGGTGCAGGTTCTAAAGTACGAGTCTTATTTAGACTGTGAATTAACAAAGTTTCTTCTGGAAAGATCCATAATCCACCGAAAGATTGGACACTTCCTCTTTTGGCATCTTCGGTAAAGTAGAAAACAACCAGATCTGTGGAAATTATTTTGGTCAAATTGGGACAGTCAAAGTTACAATTTCACATTTTTAGAATGTAAAACTTTTATTGTAATTTTTGGATATGAATCGGTTTTCCACAAGGCCAGAAAGGAGGGTTAATCTTTTCTTACATAGAACCGGTGTAGTTTGCGTTAAAATGTATTTCTCATGAGACACGATGACTGTTCCAATTACTTGTCTAATTACCAGATTTTACTATTAACATGATGTAAAGTCATGATTTTATTAATGACTTGGAGGCGAGTGTTATGTGTTCTTTCTTTATTTACTCCGAGCTTCAAGGAAGGAAGTATCCGAGAATCATAGAAAAAACTTTCGATAGCATAGTAATACTGACACCAATCAGGATCCAATACTATACATATGTGTGTAGTGCTCCTGGACTCATCCTCTTTCTCATTCAAACTCTCAAAACAAACACACATCCGGAAATTCAACGAGGAAAAACAACTTCAGCTGCCAACTCTTGAAGGTGTATTCAAGCTAGAAGAGAAGAAAATATATGGTAATATCGAAAGCTTGCGATGCTTAGACCACTACTATCAAACTAGTCAACCATGTTATTCAATCGATATAAGTATCATATAAGTTATATTTATCGGGTGCACTACCTACCTGCGTGCCATGCATGACATTTGTACTTACCATGTCGTACCAGCCAAAAGGCCCAATAAATTACCTGTAAATTAACCACCAACACGGGTAGTGTGGGTGGGAATAATACTCGCCTCCGTGTCATTAATAAAATCGTGACTTTACGTCATGTTAATAGTAAAATCTGGTAATTTTATTATAGACACGGAGGCTCCTATTATGCTATTTTAAAGCTGAGCAACCATCATACTGGAAATGCGTTGCACCGGGCGAAAATATAAATTACGAAATGTAGATTCAATCGACCTATCAGCCGCTCGTAGGATGTCTTCTAATCTACAACCTATCGTGGAAACCATAGCCCCACAAATGGAGTGGGAAAAAAAAAATCGAATTGTCTATGCCTGCAACGCCCAATAACCACTTGATCCAACGAGCTAAAGTAGGAGTAGATGCGGCACTCGAAAGAAGATGAATAATGGATGGAGTTGATTTGAACAGAGCGAGATCGTACGGCGTTCGTATTCCTTAAGACCTACTGGGCACAGGTTTGGGTTGTCTGGAAATGACTGGTAAAATAAACCTCCTTAGTCGAGGGTTTCGTCCTATGTGAAAGATTAAAGGATACTCCGTTCAGAACAAAAACGCGTGCTTGCTAGTCCAATGCTCTGACATCAGCAACACGTTTACATAAACGTAAACAAAACAGCATCAACAGCTTGACCGATAATTGTTTAAGAGAAAGTTTGTGATTCAAGGACCAAGACTCGAGAAAATAAAAAAATTAAATTAACATCCCAAAAAAATATCGAGCTGAGGGGGTCGAGAAAAACTGATGAATTTAAGCAAACAGATGAGGTCATGTTTACCTATTGGAGTACCATCCAAACCAATATGTCTTGCAGATATAGCTGATCTGTACAGGTTTATAGTACAAAAAGCTTTTCCCTCTTCGAAGAGCGGAGTCAGAAAGTCACTTTCTCCAAGCCAACCTGTAGGAACATCTGGTGCCCAAGCCTCTGCCAGGAGATTGAGTGTCTGCAAAACATTCTCGAGATTCCATGATCTCCTGAAATGAGCCATGGCATCAGATGAAGTAGACCCTGGTCTATCAACTCGTGATGAACTCCCTCTGGATTGGTCAGAAGGTAGGACATGTCCGGCAATATACGTGGAAAGTCTATCGACATTTCCAATAATTGTGGGAAGCAAGGTTGCGACCTCCATATCGGACTTTAGAATCAGGGTCCCTTTGGAGTATCGAAGGAATGCGAGGGTCCGAGAGATGAAGTTGAAAGGTGGAAACGCGTGATTCCTCCCCTTGGTCCAGTCTTGTTAGAATGCATCTGTCGCCAGAGCATCTGAGTCCGGTCTCTAACTGAAAAACCGAGGGAGTTGGGCATTCAGCTGAAATGCGAAGAGATCTATGTGGAGAAGCCTCCAAAGTCGAGAGAGACATTGGAAAATTGTTGGGCGGAGGTGCCAATCCCCTAAATCTCGAAGGTATTGATTTCCAATCCGCCGTTGCATTGTCTCGTCCTGGGATATATGCTGTGCTTCAGACAATGCCAAAAATCTCAAGCCATTACTGCTGTAACTTTCGATTTTAATTACTCCTAGTTGGTTGATATAATGTACCGCTGAGACGTTGTCCATCTTGATTAGGATAGAGCATGAGATGCCTGAGGGAGTCATGCTGCGAATGGCAAAGGATGCCGCTAGCAGTTCTAGACAGTTGATGTGTAGCAACGTTTCTTCGTAGGACCATCTGCCACCAATGGAACCTGTCCCGCAATGTGCACCCCAGCAGTGTAAGCTGGTGTAGACCCAAATATTGCCCGTCAGTTCCACGCCTCCATGTGGGCTAGCAAGCATGTCATCTCCTCTCTGGAGTCCTCGTCCAGTGTAACACAGGTTTCGTAAGAGTGTCCGGAACACAGATACGAAGCTTTGTGGCATTGTAGGGCATGATAATGTAACGGGCCCAGGAAGATAGCTTGTATGGACGATGCCAATAGTCCTATGATCCTCGCAAGTTGTCTGAGGGAAATGGTCATACGATGCATAAGTCATCTGAACTCTTTCTTGATTGAAATCCTTTTGTCTTTGGGTAGACACAACCTCTGTTGTACAGAGTCCACCTGAAATCCCAGAAATTCTATGCATTGGGAGGGTAGAAGGACTGATTTCTCCCAATTCACCAAGAATCCTAAGTTTTGGAGGAGGTGGGTCGTCAAAGACAGGTGAACACTTAGTTGGGATAGAGACTGAGGAAGAAGAAGAAGTATATCATCCAGGTAAACGATTAATCTGATGCCTTTTGTGCATAGGAAGGCAATCACCAGCTTCAGTACCTCTTGTGAGGCACCATGGGGCAGAGGACAGGCCAAATGGTAGACCTACAAATCTCTACTTTGTTCCTCACCACTGAAACTGCAGTAGGTTTTGATGTGCTTCCGCGACAGAGATTGTCCGATAAGCATCCCGTTAGACCATCCAATCTGATGGTAGCAGGATGTCCCGAAGGCAATGTATACCCTCAATTTTGAAGTGGTGGTACTATATAAAAGCATTTAGGGGTCAGAGACTGATTATTGGGTTGAAACTGGTTGCTTACAAACACTTCTGTGTCCCACGGAATTTGTCGAATAGCGTGTTTTGATGCCAAATCTGCGATCTCTGCCAAGATAAGTGTGGTGTTCATCGGGCATGTTCAGCTCTCGAGGGAACTGCACCTGAATAAGGTGAGAGACTAGCTCCAACTGATACCCCTTTATCGTATTCCATACCCAAACATCTGAGGTTAGGAGTTTCCAAGCATGATAAAACAGTGCCAATCTGCCCCCCACTTTTACATGGGGAAAAACAGAGCTAATCGGTACTCACCATAAGGCTGAGACTGACGTCTGCGGCCGTTACAGGGGTGTCCACGAGATGGGAAGAACTGGGTATAATTTCGTTCCAGCACCAGTCTCTGGGTATTAAAGGAACCTCTGCCGGCTCTGAATGAGCCCCGAAAACCACGGCCGGATAGACTGCTCCTACCTTTACCGGCCCCTTCAAAAAAAAAAAACAGATCCTTAATAAAGGATTTGCCAAAGAGTAAGAATTTTGCAGCTGGCCCAGCTCATTGGATGCCATACTGACCAGTTTGGGCTCAATTTTCAGAAGTATCGCTTTGCGACGTTCGGTTGACATAGCTGTATTGGCATTACCCACCATGCAGACAAACCTCTGCAACCAACCTTTTGTTACGTCAAAGTCGCTCTCACCTGATTGGGCGGATTCCACCAGTAAATAGAGCATCGAGATGGGCCTCAGGGTGTCCAGGAACTTGTCCTGGCAGTTCCGAAGGGAAAAGCCTAGGCCTTTCCTTGATTTCCAACCTGACCTATTCAAGAATTTGACCGACTGAGGGTCCAAGTCAGGGGTTTTCCCCACTGAGTCTGGAAGGATTGGCCGCGGGCATTCTACCCGTAGCTTGCTACGCCCCTCCTTGGACAAAGGTTTCCGCACTCTTAGCGCGAGGTATCTTGCGATGTTCTCAGGAGGCTCCCATTCCGCTGAGCAAGGGTGACGCAGGTCATCTGGGTAAAACCGGTTACTCTAGGGTACTGAAGACCGCTGCTCTTGCCCATACCAGTAGGCTCAGAGCCCTGAGCCGTAACCTTCCTGGTCGCATTGATTGGTTTCACATCAGACCCAGAATTGGAATTGTTCTCATAATATTGATCCATATATGGATCATCATATTCTTTATCATCATATCCTTCAAACTCTGGTCCAAATCTGACAAGTCCTCGTGGTCACGTGTCTGCTTCCATGATCAGCCCGTCCAGGGGCTCTTTTGCGTGGTGGTATCGCACCCGTCTCGACAGCATGAGGCATGTCATTCAATACAGGCCGAACCTGAAGTTCTGGAGGGGAAATAGTATGTCTGCTTTTAACCAAAGCTTTGTGGCCTGGTTGTGCCACATTAGTGGTTCCCGTATTTTGTGTGTTCTGAGGGCCACTACCCGGAGTCTGCGGCAACGCTTGGGTTATTGTGTGTGATAGAGGGCGACATTACCCCCATCGCGGAGTCCAAAGCCTTGTTGATGGATTGCGCCATGGTAGAAACAAGGAAGGATTGAAATTCCTCCGATTTAACATGAGGCTGGCGTCATCCTTACTACCCCTGCCTGAAGGGGAAACCCCCGGTGTGGGACACACTGAACCGCAGGTCTCTGTTTGATCCTACATCGTAGCATTTCAATCACTATCTGCCCACAGGGAAAGATACTTTCAATCACAATCTGGGTCGAATTACTAGGCCCAATAAACCAATGCTGCTAGCAGATAGCTGAAGGGTTAAATAACAGTACCCATAGTGTTAAGGAAAAAAATCCTTGCTAAAAGGACAAAAAGGTGTCCGGATTGAGTAATCCTCCACACCAACACTCACATTTGAACAGCAATAATACACAGTATGGTTCTGGGAGTGCGCCAGGAGGGTAGGAGAAGCAGTTATCCACCTTTGACAATGATCCACTGACATTCCCACCGAAAAACTCAAATCAAAATGGCCGCCGTGAGTGACGTATACACTCGCGGCGACCAACCAAAAAGATGGCCGGCGCGAACTGTGCATGCGCGACAGGTCAAAATGGAAAACTGTCCAGCTGTGGGTCTGACCATGCAGGGAAGGGAATAAGTGGGGAAAAATAAAAAGAAGCCAATATGTGAGCGCTAAAAATCCCATACAGATGATATGGCAGCGTTTACAAAATACAATACACAAAAATGTGAAAAGCAGAACAATAATTACCACAAAAACGCGCTAAATAAATCTGTAAATATAAAGAAAAACAAATAATGGTGCAGACCATCTGGCAATGGTAATATGGAAGGAAGAGTTATAGGAAATAAACTCACATGTCCCAGAGCCCTATCACCCCTGGCTCTGGGTTTGTAAGGCTTCTTGGAAGAGGGGATATCCCCACACTGCAGAATGATCCAAAGGATATATCCACTGGTGATTCCGTTAAACTGTGTGTAAAAGAGAAGGGCAGGACCTCCAATTGAATAATATCACAATTCGATTTATTGTTTAAAAAAAGTAAAAACCCTTACTTTGAATGTGGTGGGTATAAACTCGCAGAGTCACCCACATAAAAGCATAAAACAGATATACACGAAAAACGCTTCCTGGTTGTAGTCCGGTCACGTGATCGCTTCCGGGTCCGCCCTCCAATGACGTCTGTGTGAAGCGTTTCGCCCGCCTCCACAGGCTTCCTCCGACGACGTCAGGGGGTTCCAGTCATCCTTTTAAGTTCATAGTGCCGCCCTCCTCTCATTCCATTGGCCGGGGGGCGTGGTTTCGCACAATCTTTTTTTTTTTTCTCAATCATTATTCATCAAACATTCAACTGCACATATGTGGATTGCATTCCACTGCGATAGACTTAACCCCTTATAACAACCAAACCACACTTAGGGGCAGATTGATTATATTCTAACACACACTAAAAACTCCAGAGATAGGGATGGAGTGTTTTTAAAATAAGTATTTGCATTGTCTGTTCTAGATGATATTATATGTACAAATGCCATCCTTTTTGGAACTAATTTTATGTAAGGTCCTGTTTCATGTCTAAAGATATAGTTTAATGAGGTTAGAAAATCCCATTAGGATTACCATGCCGAATAGTCTGGATATGTCTCATATATACATTTGAAATATAAGTTGCTTAGAGTAGTAACTATGATGAATAGCACTCTGGAGTTTTTAGTGTGTGTTAGAATATAATCAATCTGCCCCTAAGTGTGGTTTGGTTGTTATAAGGGGTTAAGTCTATCGCAGTGGAATGCAATCCACATATGTGCAGTTGAATGTTTGATGAATAATGATTGAGAAAAAAAAAAAAGATTGTGCGAAACCACGCCCCCCGGCCAATGGAATGAGAGGAGGGCGGCACTATGAACTTAAAAGGATGACTGGAACCCCCTGACGTCGTCGGAGGAAGCCTGTGGAGGCGGGCGAAACGCTTCACACAGACGTCATTGGAGGGCGGACCCGGAAGCGATCACGTGACCGGACTACAACCAGGAAGCGTTTTTCGTGTATATCTGTTTTATGCTTTTATGTGGGTGACTCTGCGAGTTTATACCCACCACATTCAAAGTAAGGGTTTTTACTTTTTTTAAACAATAAATCGAATTGTGATATTATTCAATTGGAGGTCCTGCCCTTCTCTTTTACACACAGTTTAACGGAATCACCAGTGGATATATCCTTTGGATCATTCTGCAGTGTGGGGATATCCCCTCTTCCAAGAAGCCTTACAAACCCAGAGCCAGGGGTGATAGGGCTCTGGGACATGTGAGTTTATTTCCTAAGTGGGGAAAAATACCCAGAAGTATGGGGCAGGAGTGAAAAGGGTCCCATAGACACTAATAGGCAGCACTCCCAGACACCAGCAGGACTTTATAAACCGCAGTAATTAGTGAGCAATAAAACATTACTCCATACATAAATCTACACAAAGAAATACACACACACACACACACACACACACGTGTGTGTATCTATATCCCTCTATCACTCAAGGATTAGCAAGAGATGGAGTACTTAACGGGTCTGAGGGAGCAGCAAGAAAGAGGTGTCAAGGAGCACCCCACCCATATGGACCGTATTGGATCCTGATTGGTGCCAGTGTTACTATGCTATCGTTATGTTTTGGTTTTTTTTTTCTATGATTCTCTCATACTTCCTTGCTGCTGGGAGTAAATAAATAAAGAGAAAGCATAATACTCGCCCCCATGTCCAGTAATAAAATTGCATTTTATGGTGTAGCACAGATCAGGGCTGCATGAAAGACATTAGAAAGAGTCTGGGGCATTTTCTTTGTCTTAATACCTTTCTATGTCCGAGGAACAATGTAAAAGCTAGCCACATGTGTTAAAACAGCATTCTGACCTTGTCTCTGGGATGGTTCCATTCACTGAAGGTTTTTTCCAAATGTTTATGGCCTTTATTTGTTCCTCCAGGTCAGAGATGCATGTTCCTGCTGTGTCTGTGCGCTTCGGACTCATTCTTGAGGCCTATTGCCGGGGCAGTAATTACCACATGAAGGTGCTTATGAAGCAGGTAAGAAATTCAGGTTACTTCTTTTGTCTTTGAAGAACTTTTTATACTGGTTGTGTGTAGAATGAAGTCATTTTTCTGCTTTTTATTGCTGTGATGGGCTGTTTGAGGTACCGCTAGGTAAGGGCCATACACTGCCAAATTATGTTAGAACTGAACACTTTATGCTTTGCTCCACAGTTGGTTCCTGTGCAATAGATGGGCAAATATTGTACAAAAAAAGCGTTTTTGGTTTACTTTTTTGGTTTATTTTTTTATGAAGCGCTGTTCTAAAAGTAGAGCAATTAGTAGGAATAGTCCATTGTAACAGCTCCACATTTACCAGTTTATAACAATTCTGTGGGAATTTTGAAACCGTCTTTTAAAGGTCCTCTCTCTCACCTTCCGCATGATTAAAACAAATATGTATATAAATCAAACCTGTTTACGTTTGTATCAAAAACTGTCTAGATCTTCTGAATCCATGTGACCAATCAGGTTTTCTTGGCTGATGATGGGTTTGTTCTGTACTTGTCTCCATGAGCAATGGCTCTTCATCGGCTGTGTTCAAACCATGCACTATCTGACGGTTACTCAGAAGGGGCTTGATATTAAGATCAGAACATGCTTTCTTATCCCAAAACCTTGTGCTTTCATAGGGGGAGGCTCTGACCAAATTAAAGGGTCTGAATGATTTTGTGAGGTCCAGCGTACAAAAGACCGGGAAACCAATGGCAAAGGAAGCCATGCATGCGTGTCTAAAGCAGGAGAGCTACAGGGATGCCCTGTCACACATCTACTCTCCACTGGACCCCAACCTGATCTTAACAGATGTGTGGTAAGTACAGAGCCTGTACGGAAATGAGGTGTTTTTTATTTTTTTGCAAGTATTTATCCATTTTCTGTTTAAATATCTGTATGGCCTCTGAGAAAACCACCTCTTCAGGCAGATAATTCCACATCCTGATAGTTCCTACTGTTTTCTTTCTGTATCATTAAGAATGGGATTACATGTCTAGTAGATAAAGGAAGTAATATTAATCATGACGGGAAGATATTGTTTGTATATTGACCCTCTTCAGTCTGGCTTCCGCCCTCTCCACTCTACTGAGACTGCTCTTATCAAACTTACTAATTACCTAATCGCAGCTTAATCCAAAGGCCGCTACGCCATACTAGTAATTCTTGACCTCTCTGCTGCCTTCAACACCGTTGATCAGTCTCTCCTTCTTCAAACCTTTCAATCACTGCCTCTCTTGGCAAACTTATTGCCTCATTTGGATTCCACTACTACTTGTAAGCTGATGACACCCAGATACATCTCTCCTCCCCAGACCTTTCCCCTGCCGTCCCGCAATGTGTCACTGCTTGCCTTTCCTCCATCTCTGACTGGATGTCCTCCCACTTTCTAAAACTAAATCTCTCTAAAACTGAACTCTTTGTATTTCCTCTTAATACCGATCCTCTTCTTTGGCTCTCCCTTGAAGTGAGTGGTACCCACATCAGTCACTCTTTGCAAGTGCACTGTCTTGGTGTCATACTTGATTCTAGCCTCACATCCAGCATGTTACCAAATTTGTACATTCCATCTTAAAAACATAGCCCGCATCCGTCCCTTTCCTATGCAAGATGCTACTAAGGAGTTTGTCCATGCTCTAGTAATTTCCCGCATGGATTATTGTAACCTTCTCCTGATTGGTTTTCCCAAAAGCCATATTGCCCCGCTACAGTCTGTAATGAATGCTGCCGCCAGACTGATTTTTTTTTTTTTTCTCTCTAGTCGGTCCTCTCTCACCTCATCCCTGTCAGTCCTTACCTTGGCTTCCTGTATCCTATAGGAGACAATTCATAGTGCTAACCCATACCTATAAGGCACTGAACAATTCTAGCCCCTCTTAGATCTCTTCTCAGATCCCTAGGTATGCCCATTCTCGCTCTCTCCGCTCTGCCCATGACCTCCTGTCTGCTGCTCACACCCGGACGGCCAACTCTTCTTGCGGGTGGTTCCTTTCCTATGGAATAGCCTGCCTACCACCATCAGACTCTTCCATAGTCTTCAATCATTTAATAAGTGCCTTAGAACCCATCTCTTTAGGAAAGCTTATGGCCTCCCAGACTAACCTCTACCTCACATACCTGTCTCTTGCGCTCTCCTAAAGGGCAGTGCACTCTACTCTCTCCTCCAGCTCTGCCTCACTCCCACCTTATTTGATTGCCATTTCCTGTCCTAATGTGTTTTATACCCCACCTCCTGTAGACTGTAAGCTCGTTTGAGCAGGGCCCTCTTCAACCTATTGTGTAAGTTTTCTTGTAATTGTCTTATTTATAGCTAAATCCTCCCTCTTTTAATATTGTAAAGCGCTCCGGAATCTGTTGGTGCAATGTAAATGGCGATAATAACATATTGTAATTTGGCATGAGTTATAGGATTTTGAAGGCTACCCATAAAGCTTGCTAAGCATAATGGCAAATGTAGTTCACAAAGATCTTCAATGTCAAGACTTTCCATTATTGAATTAAAAGGGCTCAAAAGGCTGGAAAAGACCCACTTTTTTATGTATTGTGTGTATATATAATGTATTTACAAAAAAGATACTCCACACATTGCGTCTTCAGCCGTGAGGGCGAAAGATGGCGCTTTAAGAAATGTTAATTTCACATCTTTCATTATAGACCAATACAAATAATAGTTGATGTTAAAAAGGCATCCTATAGGGTAGGGATTGACCTACGGGGGGTTGGGGGTGGGGGGAGACACTATGGGACTGGGGGGAGGGGTTAAGGAACACTATGGGGGAGGTGGAGTTGGTGAGGAACTGGGGGGGGAGAGGAACATTAAGGGAGGACACTAAGGTACAGGGGAGGGAAGGGAAAAGGAACACAGGGGTGGGGGGGGGGTAACCACTAAAAGAGAATGGAGAGGAACATTAAGGGGAATGGGGGGGGAATTCCTACCGCACATTTACTCACAAACACACTGAATCCACTACACACACACATTCTTGAAAACCTAAAAAAAAAATCTGGCTGGCATATGTACAGAAAATGTACAGAATATCGGTATCAGCTGTCGAAACCCTACTATAGCGCATGGACACGAAGATTTTTAGGGTAACCCAAAGTCTGCCAGAGTTACACAGGCCCCCCCCACCAGTGCATGCACAAGCGTGCCGGGAATTCTCTGAAAGGTGGGTATGCAAGAGGAGTGACAATACTACTTTAAATAAAACTGTTCCTTTCTTAAAATAGATACCTTGTCTGATAATAACAGAGATAACAAACTGGCAGTTTTTTGAGACTTCTATAACGTGTGCTCAGTTTTCTTCTCAAGGGCAGGAGTGTTGAATTGTCATTCGTTCCACATGGTTCATTTTGTGAAGTGTTTGGGTCCATGGAGGCAATCTTTAATGTCTTAAAGTTGCAGAACAGAATGCTGAAACTTCATGAAGAGATGTTTTCTTAATAGTAAAACTCCGTAATCCTGTCTTCCTCTGCAGCGTGGAGCTTTGTACTTACATGGAGTCCAAGATGAAACCCCTTTGGATTGTTTATAATAATGAGCAATCTGGGGGTAAACGTGTTGGGATCATGTTTAAGAATGGCGATGGTAAGATGGCCTCTTCGTAGAACGGGGTACATGATACATTGTTGCGATGTGCAGACAATTTGACTCACAGCATGTTTTCTGATTGGTGCAGATCTTCGTCAGGACATGCTGACCTTACAGATGATTAAACTGATGGATATTTTGTGGAAAAGGGAAGGTTTGGATCTCCGGTGAGTCAATCATTGTCCCTTTTAATATGTGTATGGAAAGGAAGACGATTGCTTGCAATTTCCATCCCTGAATTCACTCTTCTGTTACTGATCTAGAAGAACATTTTAACCCCTTAAGACCGGAGGGCGTACTATTACGCCCTATTCTAAGCGGCTCTAAACGCCGCCGGGCGTAATAGTACGTTCTCCATTTTTTTCCTACTTACCCGGTCGCCGGCGATCCCACGCCGGCGATCGCGGTTCGAGGGTTTCACAGGGAGCCCCCCGCAGCACGTCCGACCCCCTGGAAGCCCCCCGGCCATGTGAGAGTGGGGTCCTTGCGAGGACCCCACAATCACATGGCCGGGGGTAGCTGCCTCCTGCATTGCCAGCAGGGGGGCTGCCTGTAATGACAGGTGGTCCCCCTGCTGGCTGAAGATAAAATTAAATTAAGTGTATTAAAAAAAATAAATAAAAATTAAATAGTTAGAATATATATATATATATATATATATATATATATAGATAGATAGATAGATGGATGGATACACATATACATACACACACGTACACAGTCTAGGTGTATTTTACTATTAATATATATATAATTATATATATTATATTATATCAATATCAAATTACACGTAGACTGATACTGATTAAATATATATATAATTATTGTTATAATATAAAAATAAAAATGTAAATACGTTAAAAAATACAATAATTTTTTTTTTTTCAATAATAATTAAAAAATATATAGATGTGTTATTTCGTTCTAATTGTATTGTGAAATTAATATATATATATTTATATCAAAATACACGTAGAACGAAATAATATATATACGTATATATCACTTATATACCTATATAAAAATATTTTTAAAAAATTATATAGATATATATACACATACGTGTATATATATGTGTATATATATATGTGTATATATATATATATATATATATATATATATATATATATATATAAATTCTACATATATATTTATGTAAATTTTTTTTCATAATTAGGCATCTTAATTAATTACAATTAGCGGGACCTGCCTGACAACCCATGCCAAAAGTAAAGGGAATTTAATTTGCTAGCACTATATTTAACCCTATAACTTTCCAAGACACCATAAAACCTGTACATGGGGGGTACTGTTCTACTCGGGAGACTTCGCTGAACACAAATATTAGTGTTTCAAAACAGTAAAGTGTATTACAACGATGATATCGCCAGTAAAAGTGACGTTTTTTGCATTTTTCACGCACAAACAGCACTTACACGGACGATATTATTGCTGCAATACTTTTTACTGTTTTGAAACACAAATATTTGTGTTCAGCTAAGTCTCCCGAGTACAACAGTACCCCTCATGTACAGGTTTTATGGTGTTTTCAAAAGTTACAGCGTCAAATATAAGGCTTGCGTTTCATTTTTTTCACATTAAAATTCGCAAGATTGGTTACGTTGCCTTTGAGACCATATGGTAGCCCAAGAATGAAAATTACCCCTATGATGGCATACCATTTGCAAAAGTAGACAACCCAAGGTATTGCAAACGGTATGTCCATTCTTTTTTAGTAGCTACTTAGTCACAAACACTGGCTAAAATTGGTGTTTTTTGCATTTTTCACACACAAACAAATACTAACACTAACTTAGGCCAGTGTTTGTGACCAAATGGCTACTAAAAAAGACTGGACATACCCCGTTTGCAATACCTTGGGTTGTCTACTATTGCAAATGGTATGCCATTATGGGTGTAAATTTCATTCCTGGGCTACTATACAGTCTCAAAGGCAACGTAGCTAATCTGGCCAATTTCAAATGTAACGTGCTATATTTGACCCTGTAACTTCCCAAAACACCATAAAACCTGTACATAGGGGGTACTGTCGTACACGTGAGACTTTACTGAACACAAATATGTGTATTTTATTGCAGTAAAAGCAAAGAGTATTATGACATTGACCGTTAAAATGTCATGTAGAACTAAAAACTTTTCTCCCATTTTTTTTTTCATATTAAATTATGTTTCATAGCTAAATATTTGATATTAAATGAAAGCCCTGTTTCTCCTGAATAAAATGATATATAATAAGGGTGGGTGCATTTACTATGAAAGAGGTGAATTACGGTTGGACAGACATGTAGCGCAAATGCCAGGTTTTGTTTACATTTTGTTTTGTTCACAACGTGTACATTTGGCTCCGTCCTTAAGGGGTTAAACTGGAGCAAGAAGATGTGTTAATATTTCACAAAAGTAGTGCAATGACCCATTTGGTTATTTACTAAAGTGTGGATTTAAATTTTTAGGGTAAGAAAAGCCAAATTGGAAAAATTCTCAAAGTCTGCTGTATTGCCATTTTGATCTAAAATGTGAAATTCTCTTAGAATTTCCACTTTCATTTCACCCTTTAGTGAGTAAAACTTTTTTTCTGCTGTGGGGTATTAACTTTGTCCAACAATTTGTCGATCAGTAGAATGTAGGAAGCCTGACGATATCCCTTCTAAGGGTAACTAATTGAAATAACACACAGGATCACCTGTCTTTAGATGTAGGTTTTCTGAGGTCTTTGCCGGCTTTGCTTGTGACGGTTTGTGGAAGGCTCTATGTACAGTTACAATGTTAAAATGTAAACAATTTTCACTTAAATATTAAAAAATTCTCATTTTATTCCCTTTGCTCAGAGTGACTCCTTATGGCTGCCTGTCAACAGGAGATAAGACCGGACTTATTGAGGTTGTTATGCAATCCGATACAATCGCAAATATTCAGCGCAACAATAGCAATATGGCTGCAACTGCAGCGTTCAACAAGGATGCCTTATTGAACTGGCTAAAGAGCAAGAACCCAGGGTAAGGAAAAGACTTGGTGCGGGGTTATAGTACGATTTGCCCACATGAAGGTCAACTCGTCTATTTCTTGCAATGCTATCAGGCTAGTATAATTTTCCATATAATGCTCACGCAACTGAAGAAATCTGGTATAAAATAAAAAAAGCTAAAGCTGGGGTTAGAAATGTATCCTCATTATTTTGGGTTGTAGAAGTAAACAAAAAATATATCAGAGGCTTGAACCAAATCCCAGATAATTGGTGGGATACATTTACAAACAAAGGTCTTAGAAATAAAATAGATGCACTCCCACTCTCCAGTATTTCAGATCTGTTAGAAAACATAAAAATAGAGATCTGGATATCAAGAGGGATAAGGGAATTTAAAGATATAATAGTAGAACATAATCTCAACCCCTTTAATCAAATTAGGAAGGAATTTAATAACACCCCCCCCCCAGTGAAACGGTTAATTATCTGCAAATTAAGAGCTTCTTAACAGAACATCTATATAAAAATAAAGGGGAGGGGACAGGGCCTGACCGCTGAGCATCACCAGCTCCTGCTAACTGGGACAAAAAAAGCTGATTCCACTGGCGGGGGTTATCCCGGTCTACCCTCACTCAACCTCACAGCTAGGCAGCAGGACCACAACACGGACACAACGTCCTGTGGATCCTGGTGAGGCATATAAACTGGCGGAGACCTCCCACACCACAGCCATTTGTAGCACCAGGACGGAAACGGAGATCCGACTAGCCGCAGTTTTCAGTTCCTTCTGGGAGAAGCTAGAGGCCTGTATGCGACTTTCCGACCCGGAGACCCAGCCAGAGGGTAAGCTACAAAGCCCGGCACAGGTCAGAAACTCCCACAAGCTCCACACGCATGAAAGGCCAGAGCTGTAGAGGTGCCATCTCGAGACTAGGCTCCTGGAGCCTCATTAACAGCAGCGGCAGCTGAAATCTGCTCTCAGGGCCACAGGAGCGACCACAATAAAGTGCCCAAAACTACATCACCGGCGAGCAGTTACTCAGAATGAGCCCCGTAAGAACACAGCGCTACCGAATTGTGTGAGGAGATGGCGGGGCGCGAGGCCCAAAATGGCGGCAACACCAGTTCGGACCAGCAACAACCCCCAACCAAGACATGGGGCACTTCCTGCACTGCAACCCACACCCTCAGAAGATCACCACTGTCTGCAAAGGAAAACACCTTGACAAAGTCCTGGACGCTCCTTGGAATAAGACTCGTGGGAATGGCACTATGGATGGTGTTGAAACGTGGGGATGGCGAGATTCGGCTGTGCGGGTCTTGTGCCTCAAGCTACGAGACTATGCTTTGCCATCCCATGGTATCGGATGATCAGGCCACAGTGTAAGAGCCTCAGCCTACATGTTTATTAACTACTGGGGAACTTTCGCCTTAACCGCGGTTTCAAATTATGCTCGTGGTTTGCCTTAATATATTATTTGTCATGTTTGCTTTATATGAAGGAGTGCCTGTGATATATAATAGCCTTCTATCTGGGTTTTTTTTTTCTTGTACATACAACACTGATGCTATAGAGGACTCGGCTCTAGTGGTTTTTCTCTCTAGTTTCCCTAACATGTTAACCAAATCTATTAATATTTTTCTAATCCAATTGGGGGCTCAGATACATATTCAGCATGTTATCAGAGGTTGGAAATGTAATATCAAGGAAGTTTGTGGCAGTACACATTCACAAACAAATTTTTGGAAAGAAATTATTAGGTTAATATATCAAATAACAGAAACAAAACTACCTCTTAATCTTGAAGTGATCCTACTAAATATGAACTGGCCAAATATGACCAACAAAAATGAATGTTAATACTTCACATAATCACAGCAGCTAAATAACTTTTTGCACGAAATTGGAAAACAGGGAGAATTCTATGCATTAATGAACTAATAAAATAAGTTATATGGAAAGGGGTATCCTGGTGAATTCAGGAAACAAATCTAAGCAAACCGACTGGGACACAAAGAATTGGATCAGAATAACCAATAGAGAGAGAGAGCACATGCTCGGTTTCAGAGAAGGGAAGCATCAGATCAAATGAAGGGAGAAGAAAGAAATAAGAATAGAACCCCAAAACTGGCAGATAAAGAGCACAGCACATATTGAGATTATACATAAGAGGGTTTTTTTTTCCTTTCGCGACCCCCCCTTTTCCCTCCCTTCCTCCCCTTTTCCCTCCCTCCCTCCCCTTTTCCCTCCCTTCCTCCCCTTTTCCCTCCCTTCCTCCCCTTTTCCCTCCATCCCCTTTTCCCCCCCACCCCGCCCTCAGTATCATCCAAACTTTACATATGGCAGGTACACACCTAAAATAAAAAAAAATCAACTCGAGTGGTGGTAAATATCAACTGGTGGCAGATAGTCAACAAATCAAATACAATGTTACTAATAAATGCATTCTAACACTAGTTTGGATACGTGACTAGGTTTCAGATAAATGTGTTTGTCTCCATTTGATGTGGGAGAGACTTCATATTATGAGGCAGATATCCTGAAACCATGTTTTTCCATTTAAAAGAAAAAAATATTCGTTTATATGTAAGTCACCCACCTTATTCTGTATTGGCATCACTAAGCATTCCCAGTCTAGCAGAGAGGACAGTGTGAGGATCAGATAGAACCTTCTACAAATAACTTGGTGAACGAATTGACATTTGGTTGGGCTGCTATGGAAACTAACAGAAATAGCAATATTTGGCTTCTTTTAGACCAGGGGTCAGTAATCTGTGTGTCCCTAGATATTTGATGTAAACTACGGTACATCTCCCCGATCCTCTAGCCAGTTATGTTTTTGGCAGACAGATTAAAGAAGGATCATTGGACTTGTAGTGCAAAGACATTAAAAGATACCTTTAAAATATCTACCGGTCACATGCCTTTCATGCCTTAGAAGGTTGTTCTGAAAGATGGCACAGTTCTCAGGGGTATGTCCTGCTTCATTAAAGGGACGCACTTTCTATCAACATTGTATATCTGAGGCGAGCTGCTCCTCACTTTATCAGATTCCCGATCCTATAAGGCTTTGCACCCCATACACACTATCATTTACACGTTTCATAATAGCGGTATTTGTTAAGTCTACGGCTGATCACTAACCCTCCACCCTTTCACATTCTGCGGCAGTGAGGCTCTGGATCGTGCAATTGAGGAATTCACAAAGTCTTGCGCTGGGTACTGTATCGCAACGTACGTTCTTGGAATCGGAGACCGGCACAGTGACAACATCATGATTCGGGAAACTGGACAGGTGTGTTACAGGAATGGTACTTCCCACAAAACATAACATAAAATATATTTTGCGTTTAATGTCTCCTGCTTTATCTCTAGTTACCACATCTTACTACCAAAAAAAAAAAGGACCCAGTTTTACTTCTCACTACATTGCTGTAATGTACTAACACATGTATTTAAAGATTTTTCCTTTTCTCTTAAAAGACCCATTTAAATTTGTTTAGAATTATTCTATATCTAGACAAATGAGCAGGCTCTCCAGGCTAACTGTGGCAAGATAAATACAAGACTGGGATACAGCCAAGTTCTAAAATGCAAAAAATAAACCGTACATAGTGATGTATAGTTAGTGTAAAATACGACAGTTCTAGATTGCACTCACTAGATGGAAGTTCAATCTGAGACAATTTTAGTTCCCTATTACCCCCCTCCAATGTGAAGACACCTGTTCGATACCCATACCCCGGATGTCCCTTCAACTGAACATAGGACAGGAGTTGCAGTGGACCGGTACCGAATGAGTAGTAATGCCTTTTTTGATATTGTGTTCCATTAAATCGTACTTTAAGGTGTCTTATTTTTTTGAATCTTTTTTACCTAAAGTCCATAAACAATTTTATTTTTTCCACTATGATGTCCCATTATTTGTGGCATCAATTCGAGCACAGCTAATTTATCAGCTTTTATTGATTCAAGTCCCCAAAAACATACCCAAAGTGCCCTTTTCTATGTAAAGGACACCAAAGCTATTTTACAAGAACTAGACCATATCGAATGGAAAGAGGAATATAGCTTGGCCACCCATGACGTCACCTCATTATATACAGTCATTCACCATCACTTCGGTTTTGAGGCAGTCAAGTTTTTCATAAGTCAAGATTCAGACATCAATCCAAAACTTAGGAGTTTCATTTTATCAGCTATTCAGTTCATATTAGAACATAACTTATTTTTCTAAGAGGGTAAATGCTACCTTCAAATCACAGGCATCGCCATGGGAACCAGGTTCGCCCCCAGTTATGCCAACATCTACATGAGGAGGTGGGAAGATCTTTTTGTGTGGTGCAGGCATGACTGGAAGGAGAGCCTGGTCCTTTGGTGGAGGTATTTCGATGACGCCATTGTTATCTGGAAGGGATCTCGTGAGTCTTTTAAAACATTCGTACAATACCTCAACCAAAATTCGTTCAACTATAAAATTCATACCAGAATGGGATAAACATACCATTAATTTTCTAGATCTTAGTCTGTTTTATGAGGGGAACAAGGTGAAATCAAAATGTTAAAAAACAAAACAAAAAAAAACTGACGAAGGGGCGGGGTCTGGACATCATGGCGGCTAGACGTGCATCGTGTGAGCTCCGAGCTCAATTCTCGTACTAAGCCTGATTACTGCACGCCAGCCAGCTAAAACGCCACTTATAAGACTCATCTGCTTCTGGGGTCCACCAGTGAATCCCGGGTACGCTGCATATCAGACATGGCATATCAGACAGCGGTTGTTGAAGTGAGGCCTAGCACGGTCGCCGGACGGGTCGAGCGGCCGACCCCCGTACCATGCGACGCTGGGACCTCCCAAGCTTGCCTCTCGGCCTTGTTTCCCCCCCCCCCCACGCCCCCTTTGGACCGGCGGGGGACATCCCAGTTTACCCTGGCTCATATCCTGCATTAGCGTGAATCACATAAGCCTAATCTACTAAAGCTACAGCCCAGCAGACATACAAAATGGCAGCTCGAAACATCCAGCGAGACTCAAACTCCCAGCAATCCGAGGCGGCACCTCTCTCTCCTGCGCAGCTAACAAAGAACAGGCTGGACGAAATCTTTGACCGCTTCTGGTCTGCGCTGGAGGCCCGCCAAGCTGCAGCAAGGCATCAGCAACAAGAGGACGACCAGGAGGCTGAAGGCCGGCTGGTGAGTGGGCCCCCTCCGATCACACGCACCTTAAAAGCACGCAACAAGGGGGCCAGGGGTAGAGCCCCACGGCATCATCCACACAGGCGGAGGATCGCACGCAGTCAGCGGCCACCTACCACCAGGACCTCTCGTCTACCCCCTACAAGGGTGGACTGGGATCTCAGGAGCACCCATGTCCGTGGGAAGAAGATGCAGGCCTGCAGACCGGCCTGGGGTGGGAAGGATGCCCATCAGAGCCACCAGAGCACCGTGGCCTCCTTAGCTCTCACTGCACAGGACATTCGTTTCCCATCTTCGGGCATAGGCTGAACACAGGCTCGCTGCTTAAAGCAGTACCACCAATATGGGACAGACTACAAATAGCAGATGCCACCGATGGGACTCTCATACGCTACCCAAACATGCCAACTTGCCAGAGCCCCCTATATGGATACACACGGAGGCAGCCTAATATTCATGTTTTTCTCATTTGCGTTTTCTTGTTTAGTGTTCCACTCGCTTATAGGTCATAACATTATCCGAACCTCTGCCGTATATTCTCGCATGATATATAGATACAGAGCCAGCGGTCTTTAACTCTCATAAATCAACCAGGGATCAACCTACTGCCTAAAGTGTAGTCAAGTATATACTCTTGAGAATACCCTACCTTATCCTGTACCTATTTCGTTATAAGCTTGCATAAATCATTGCGACTGTACCTGCTATACAGGATCTTTTACTCACCCAGCTTAGCATGTGAGGTAATCGAATAATCGTATACACACGGTTTGCACAGCTAGCCAGGAATCTCATACCAGCTGAACCTTTGTCAATTCTGTTCCTACCCTTATGCATCTACTTGAATGTAAAAATTTAAAATTTGTGCCAGTCCTTCAGTTTACCCCATTGTTACAACTGTTTCGTCAATGCATGAGGAATGCCGTTGGGGTACCTCAAGCGAGCATAATTTGAAATGCATTACCAAAAAAAAAAGAAAACTGACGAGAACAGTTATGTCCACAGGAAAGGTTGCCACCATAAACCGTGGCTAAGAAGTATTGCAAAGAGTCAACTGACTAGAGTACGGCGTAACTGTTCCAACATACAGGATTTTAAAATACAGGCAGGACATATTAAAAAAAAAAAAAATTAAAAAAAATTGTTTAAAGATGGTACGATAAGAACACTATCAAAAAAGAGATCAGAATTATTGCTCAGAAAGATAGAAATGATCTATTAATGGATTGACCAAAGCGTGCTCCGAATGAAAAGTTTAGACACTTGTTTGTTACTAAATCTAATACTGATCACTGGAAGATAAAAAAAAAAAAGCCTTAAATTTTGGCCCATATTACTCCAGGACCCGGTTATAGGCAACGTTTTACCAAATCGACCACCCATGATCTAAAAATAAAATAATAAATAAACAAACAACAAAAAATAAATCTTCTAGCACCCAGTTACTCCAAAAAGGGCATTTCCACAGTACATAAAAATACACACGCTCTCTCTCTCTCTGTCTCTCTCTCTCTCTGTCTCTCTCTCTCTCTGTCTCTGTCTCTGTCTGTCTGTCTGTCTCTCTGTCTCTGTCACGCATCTATATCTGTTTTTCATTCCTTCATCCATTCTTTTTTCCATCCTACTGCCATCACCCTACCCCCCGATAGGGACTACATTCTTTCAATCTAAGTGTTGCTTGCCATATTGTACCTATGAAAGGGAGTTCCATTGCTCACCTTTTTTCTTTTTCTTTTTTTTTTCTTTCTTTCTTTCACTTGTGTACACAGACGTGGGTTTATGCACCCATGTGTATACATATACACACACACACATACAGACACAATGCAGGTTTTGCGTTTGTTATTTATATAGGGCTACCTTACATAAAATAGATTTTCCCCTCTTTATTATTCTTGTTTTCCTTCTTCAGTAGATTCAATTCTTACTATGCTGGTTTCACTTTAAGATCGTATCGTTCCGGCAGCTGGACTGCTTAAAAGCAGTTCCAGCTTATTCGGAACGCATGCTGTCAGAGATGGAACGCAAACGACGTTCAAGAACTTTAAACCGGAAATACCTCATGGAATGCAAGTGCCTTCCTGTGGAACGCAAGCCGAATCAGTTTGGCGAACTGGCGGGAAATTTAACCAGCGATCAGAAACCTCTGAGAAGAAAACCAGCAAAGACCTACGAGGAGAGTTTGGCCCTCATTAGCTGGATCTGATTGGCACATAATTTAATTAATCCAGAGGATCCTCCAATCAACATTATGGACTGGTATTATTTAAAAGGGACTAAGGGGGAGTTGGGATTATGCATGACTGATTTTATTCATTGCAGTTTCTACATATCTCTAAAGGAAGTCCATCCCTGAATAGACGAAACTCATTAGAGATCATCATTTTTTACTTTTGCTAATTGCATTTTGTTTTAATACTTTTATACCAGGCTATTTGTGTCTAATAAATATTTTAATTTGATCCCTGACTCGGTCCTTTGAAGTTCCTGTACTGAACATTGCTGAACATTCATTTTGGCCCAAGGTGGAGAGTGGATCATTACAGCCCTCTTTTGGGCTCCAAGGCACTTCTTGAACTTCCATCTAGTGAGTGCAATCTAGAACTGTCGTATTTGACACTAACTATACATCACTATGTACGCTTTATTTTTTGCATTTTAGAACTTGGCTGTATCCCAGTCTTGTATAATTCTACTTATGTTATCAGAGGCGCTGCTGGGGAAGGCCTCTTGGGAAGCTGTTTTTACCAGACTGAGTTAAGTACTATTTTTCTACCCAATACATATTTGGTCTTGGAGTGGAGCACCATTTTTATCATAACTGTGGCAAGAGTAAGATTAAGGCCTGGCTAGTAGGATAGGACTGTACATTTCATACCCTGCTAATGTTATTTATAAATAGATTTACTTCTAATATTGGAGTGTTGCTGTGCATATTTAGATTATTGGGACCTTTTTTAAATGTTTAATAAAAAAAAATAAAAGTTGAACTCCTAGTGTGGAGCCAATATTGGCGTTTAGATTACAGCACTTCTACCCGTGATCAGTGGCATTAAGGGATATCTGGGGTCTGTTCACTGGGATTCAGAGTAAATGTTGCAAATACTACAGATCTGCTGAGCTGGGATTGTACTTCTAAAATGTAATTGTGTTGTGTTTTCTGCCAATCTGACGTCATGCTGATAACTAAAATGTACAGGAACTTCAATCCATATCAATGTTCTCTGTTACTAGGTGGGTGGGATGGGAGGTAATGGTTCCTAAACCTTAGTGTGCCGAAGTCTGGCAACAAACTGCAAGCTCTGCCATGTTGAAGGTGTCCTGCAAGCAGTTTATTTTCCAGCCGGTTGCCCATCGTTGATACATGTTGTTTTTCTTTACCCTTATTTTAGCTGTTTCACATTGATTTTGGACATTTCCTGGGTCATTTTAAGGCCAAATTTGGCATCAACAGAGAGCGTGTCCCCTTCATATTAACCCATGATTTTGTGCACATTATCCAACAAGGGAAAGCAGAGAACAGTGAAAAGTTTGATAGGTGAGTTTTTTTTGTTTTTTTTTTCATTTGATGGTCTGAATCCTTTACCCCGAGATGGGACGTTCCGTATTCCAAATCTGTTACCACATTTCTTTTAGATTCCCTGCAGCAAAGCCTATGTCACGTTACACAATGAGTAATTGTCATTCAGACGTAGCACTGCTGCTGCTTAGAACACAGGGCATTCCATAGTGGCGTAGGGATCTCATTAGTCCTTAGAGGGGTGGTTTTATAAATTGCACAGAATCAAACCTACAAAAGTCTTGCATGTAATGCAACTTATGGATGCTTGAAAACCTGTTTTAACGAAAAGCAAAATGTGTAGAAGACTGTAGGACTGTATATAAAATCGAAGTATCTGCCGCATCTGGATCCAGTAAAATTCTAACTGCACAGACAGCAGCATGTACAGAGATAAACTAACGTTACCCAGCAAAGTTCTAAATTATTTATTTATCTTTTACTGAGATTTAAAAAAAAAAATATGTAATCTACATTTAGCATTTGGTTAGAACAAGGTCCGAATTCTGGGAAATGAACCCAGAAGCAGTAAATGATTTGTTCATTAAATGTTTATTTTAAAATATGTTCAGCCATTATCTGTAACAGACTGTTTTAAGATGAATTTTAAATTGGTCAATAAAGTGCTTAATAGACAATTGTATCTTGTGGCCCGTCAATAAGTCAGATTGTCGGCTAGTTAGGAGTCCCTTCCTTTCTCACCATCGTAGAAAATCAAAAACAAGACGTGAATGTTTGGTGTGTGATGTGATTATTATATACAAGGTTGGATTTATCACATTCCTTTCCTGATTGATATATACATTGATTGGAAAAAATCTGGATACATTTTTATAGTAAAATCTGTTGCTTTGGTTTTACTATGCAATTAAATCAAAATCCTGTTCCGCATTGCTTTTTAACCCCATGATAACAGTTGTATCTGCTGAAACAAGAGTATTACAATTGAAATGAAAATGCCTTCTCCATAATCTTTCACAGGTTCCGGGAGTGCTGTGAAAGAGCTTACATGACCCTACGAAGTCATGGAATCCTTTTCCTCAATTTGTTTGCACTTATGAAAGTTGCTGGGTTACCGGAGCTTAGCTGCTCGAAAGACATCCAGTACCTCAAGGTAAGATTCTCAGCATCTCACGTGGCGACATGCCACACATAGTAAAACCACTGTGTTAAGAAAACTAGATTGCAATGGAATTCCTACCGCACATCACGCTGACCACATAGCAAACCTCAGTTGGTTATACCATCTAACATGAACAGAGCAGCTTTAACAATAAAATTACACTCGGCAGTTGCCTAGGGCCCAGGTATTAAACCGGGACCTCCGAACAATGAATTTGCTTGGCTTCATTAACTGTCCCTATGTGAAGAATGAAGAGGGGGCTCAAACTGTTTACCTGCCTGGTTCCCCATGAGATAATAATCCTTTTCTTGACTTGAATGTTTAGTGAAGAGTTTACAACTGGTTATAAATGAGCTGAAGTGGCCAGTATTGTTCCAAGTTTATATTTTGTCCCTTTATATCAATGAGGTTCCCCGCCATGTTTTTTTTTCCACAATTCACTGTCCCCACAGCCCTTGTCCGAGACTTGCAGTTACAGGCTGCTAGTCCCACTTTTAGTCTCCGTGTGTTACCAAGAAATGTATCAGGACTTGTAGCTATGAAATGGGAATCACTGATTCTGCGAATTAGCAAAATGGAAGTCATCTGGAAATTGCAAAAAACCTCTGGTACCATAGCTTCAACAACTCCTCCTGGTCTCTCACTTCTTGTTAGGAGATAAAGCTGATCCTTTCAGAATGGTACAACTTTGTTTTCCCATAATCAATTGCACTATGGTTTTTTATTACAATGAATGACAACAGCTTAATTTGTACGACGTTATAAATATATATATTTTTTTTCATGTGAATGAAATGCTTCTGCAATTCTTTTGTGCCATAAAAAGTAACTGCAGTGACACACTAGTGTGCTTGCTCGTGCTATTTTTTTCCCCAAGTGTTTGTTCAAACATTGTCATATTTTATTAATAATTTAAAAACCCCTGGCACATTAAATTAGTTAGAATGTACATTTTTGTAGCCGGAATGTTCCATTTTAATAATCTCCCCAACCTTTTTTTTTTGTCCCAGGATTCCTTAGCCCTTGGAAAGAGCGAGGAGGAAGCCTTGAAGCATTTTCGGTTGAAGTTTAATGAAGCGCTCCGGGACAGTTGGAAAACCAAACTGAACTGGTTTGCCCACAATGTTGCCAAAGATAACCGTCAGTAACTGGGAGTGAGAACAATCATTATGATCAAAGAGTCTCCCAAAGGAAACAAAGTGCCATGAAAAAGTGGGGACAAATGCTCCTGCTCCGACGAATCGGAGAAAAGAACTCCAACCAAGTTTCTCCTTGGCTGTGAGCAATGGGAATTCTAGTCCACTGGAAAGCCACAAATTGATCTTTGGAATGTATTGATTGAAAACGTTAACCCACTTTGCTGCAGGCCCTCACTGCTGGAGTTAATTTATTCTGAAGCAGAATGGGTGGATTGGTGTAGAACACAGTTTGGATGGTCCTGTTTGAGGTGTGGTATTAAAAACTGACTTCATTGCAAAGAGAAATGCAACAGGGTCCAGCTTTGCTTTAAAGGAACAAAATACATTTTGGATGCGACTAGCATTGCACAGGCACTTCGCCACTGGGCTGTTTAGATGTTCCAGAGCTTCTAGTGGCCTTGGCTTGTGGGATTCAAACCATTGGTTTTCCATCATGCAATGGTCAAGACTTGCTGTAGAACTTCCTAGAATGGTTCTTGTACCATAAATCATGCTTGTATAATCGGAGGCGGTAAGGTGATCCCTAGAATATCTGAAGTTTAGTCATTAAAAACAAACTCCTGAACAATGAGATGGTTAAATGCTGGACAACTTGTGTTGAAGGGAATCTCCATTCAGATTCTCAGAACAAAGCCTGCACAACACTTTGCCAATCAGTGTATCCTGCAGATGTTCAGGGGGCTTCCATGCTGCAGTTAGAGACCTAGATTGGAAATGCATTGCACACTGTTCGTCTCTTAACGGGTTAAATGGACTGTAATGCACTAAATTATGTACAAAAAATAAATGCTTTTGATTTGTATTCCTAGAAGTTAAGGCTCGATCGTGTCAAAGATAACAATCCGGCTCATTGTTAAAGTGCAAAAATGACTTGGTGACATGTCACGAAAATCTGTACAACTTGAAACCCAGCTCCTAAGAAACCAGATTACATGATCTGCAAGATTATTTTATACCGCTGTACAGGCACCAAAAAAAATAATGGTGGCTGGATGCCAGGCATTCTGGGACAGGCAGAGTGTATAGTTTAAGCTACAGATTTGCTAGCACAATACATTGATTGCACTTAAAGCATGACTTGGCCAACTGCACATCTGTAGAGACCGGGTCCTATTACCCCATCATTAATTGCTCCTACAATGCAGCAGCCACTGTGGGTGACTGAATGGGACATTCCTGGAGTAGTTAATGGTCTATGCATGAAAGCAAGTTACTTACCTTTTGACTCACGCTGCCCATTTTAAAATGACCAGCCTGTTGTTTTTTTTTGTTTTTTTTTGCAGCTATACTGATATCTATGTAACCTCTTGGGTAAATGTACACATTTTAGTAGAAGTGCAATCAAGATGTAATAAACAGTCACATGAGATCTGAGTCATATTAAATATGTGATCACTCTAGAACGAATAGAGTTAGGAAAGGGAATTTAATCGTCCATGAAGCCAGCTTTTTCCAATCTATTTAGGGACTTGTTGACAAAACGCGTGCTCCAGGACTGAAATCGTTTACTCAAGCAGGGAATTACACCTTTTAGGCCATGTGGGCAAATAGAAATGTTTTAAATATTCTATTAAAACTTGTATTCCTTTAGTGACCAACCATTCACAAGAGAATGATACTGTTCAGTTTACTCTTTGTGCACCTCCATGCTCCCTTTGGGGTCCCAGTGAACCAGTTCGGAGTTTCCGTAAATCTCACCGCTTTGATTTGCTTTCTAAATATACCAATCGCATCCATGAAATTTTGGGCTCCAGGTGACATAGGGGACAATGTTTATTTTTACTTATACTGGTTTCATGGGGATGTAGAGCAGATGCTTGCACGGTTTTAGATGATGCAGGAGAGTCTGTTGCCTTTTAAATCCATCCCAAGGCCATTAATAGGCAGTCGCAATAAACAAACTTGTAAGTATGTTAATAAATGTACATTGTGCATGTCTGTATAAAGACAAATGTTATGTGGCTTAGAAGATATATTTTTTTTGTTTGTGGTACTATTTTGAAAGAATATATTTTTACTTTCCTTTTTTATATAAAAAGTTGTTTTATGTAACCGAAGATGTGAAATGTGCAGGCAGGCTTAAAATTTAAGTTTGACTTGACAAAGGGTTATTCACCAACGTGAGCTTTAACACTGACTTTCAAATCTTAAGTCAAAATAGCTGTAGTGATAATAGCCTCACTTTAAACAGACTGAGGATTTTATGACTTTAACTAAACTACATTTCTGATTTAACTTCCTGCAACTTACTTAGTGGATAACCCTGACCGTGTGTGCTTACCGCCACCTACAAAACTACCATTTTCAGTGAACGTGGCCTCTTCTTGTCTGTGGGAGTTTATTTTTGAACTGTATGCACTAATTGGTGGCATGTTGCCATGGAAAAGTGTACTTAATAAATTGAAATAAAGTGTGCCAGTAACGTGACATGTTAAAGTGGCTTGATTTTAAATCCCCAAATGAAAGCTTTTGATCTGTTGATTTATGCACAAAAAATACTTTCACTTACCTGATTTCAGCACCTCTTTCCCTTGGCACTGGGTCAGGCTTTGCCTTCTCACATGCGCTGTGAGCACATTAAGCCCTCCTACTGTATTGGCTCTATGATTTGAGTGAGAGGACGTCCAGAGTCAATTGACCAAAGGTCCACTGAGGTCCTTGATGCGCCTCTAGTGGCTGCCTGGTAGACAACCACTGAAAGCTGTCTTTGTGCTGCAGTGTTAACTTTTCAGTTTCTCTTAAACTAAGGGCAACAGGGACACTGTACCCAGACTATCTCAATGAGCTGAAGTGGTCTGGGTGCTTAGTGTCCCTTTTTAAGCCATTGTACCTATCAATATAAAGGGGCCATTTATTCACTGGGATAGGTACCATTCACCTGCATTGAAAGAGATAATGCTGCTCTGGATAGTTAAGTATGAGCATTGCAAGATATCTGAGGTTACATGTAACACAGCCAGACTCAGATTTCTGAACATAGAACCTTTACAGAGAGGACATTTAAAATCTTTTTTTTTTTTTTGTTTCCCCTCTGTCTTCCGTTCCTTATGCCGCTTGAAGGGACACTCCAGCCTCGTAAAGCAATTTTAGCTTGAAGTGTTTAAGTATGCAGGCGTGAAACACACATTTCACTAAAAATCAATTAACTGTATTACACCCACTCTGTCAGACAACTGGTCCCATTGGCTCAGTGGAACTAAACTCATGAGGCAGCAATTGCCCAGTGGACCTGCCTGGCAAAGACTTCACTGAGCTGCATTGGGAAGTCTGATTGGACAGCCACAGAAAGTCTGGGTGGAGTTAGAAGGGGAAGGCTTGCAAAGGCTGCAGACAAGATCTGCAGCTATTGCAAGTTAAAGATTTCCTCCAATGAAACAATGCAGTACATCTATTAACCCCTTAAGGACCAAAATTCTGGAATAAAAGGGAATCATAACATGCCACGTGTTTTGTATTTCAGCAGTGGAGTATCACTTTAATAATTACTCCTCCATGCTTACATACTACCCATTGCCAAAGCCCAAGCTCTACTTAAGAAAAAGTATTTCCTTCATTATGCACAACTATAGAAACAAAGGTGAATTTGGGGAAATAAATAACAAAGAGACGGATACAAAAAAATAATTTAAAAACCAAAACCTGGCAAGTGATCTGCTTTTAAAGAACTGTCAGATTACAATGCTACTGTCCAATTTGCCAGGGGAGACATGGATGTTAAAGTTAGGTATCATTCTTTAAGCAGGCTATAGCCAATACCAGGGTAAGGTGCATTGCTTCCAAAAAGATTAACTCTGAGGCTGGTCACTGTACAGAGCTTGGTATTGAAGGGGCAAATTTAGGGAACATTCAAAGGGATAGAGCTGTATACAAATCAGATTGCTGGAACACTTGCACTATGTTAGAGTAGAAAATGTCTTCCCGAAGCAGATTAAAATGAAGCAGAGCAGAGTCATGATGGGAGTCCGTATTATACACAACAGTCCATCAAAAATGGAAACAAAGGAGACTTTGAGTATTTAGAGTTGGGCTGTACATTTGAAAATTCACATTGAATAACTCAGCTTCTAGTGTTGTTGACGAACAGATCCCTCCAATGACTGTATTGACCTTTAAAAGGAGTATACTTTGATCAGACCATCCTTTACAACTACTATAACACAGACAACTGTGAAAGTTGGGGTTTAGAACCAGAAATTTATTGTAGCTTATAGACTGTTCAAACTGACTTATCACCAATATACAAATCTGAAAAGTTATAATCATTGCAGCTACATACAGCATCAGAAAGTTCTACCGATAGTGTTTCATGTCGCAATTTTTTAGTCTAATTACAGCAGCTATGGTGATATTAAATGGTAGGACAGATCTACACATCAACTTGACTACAGGACAACTGTCAGAAATAAGTTAAAATTCCCCAGAATACACAAGAGCTAGCAGTTATGTTCATAGCATTATCACATAAATCATTAAAACCCATTTCCCTCCCCTGAATACCTTACGTAGAAATCTAAGAATTTACATTTATGGTATAAAATAAAAACGCCTTAACCGTAAAGTTTACAGCCCTCTCCCCTAACCCTTGTACCTATGACGACCCCTATCCTCCAATCATGAGAATATATCAGTATGGGGGAGGGTACAGCCACCAATTGCAAATGATTCCTCCTAACCCACTTTCATAAAAGATCCAGTTCACTTTCGAGCTACAGATTTATAATCTCATATAAGCAGAGCAAACGGCATTTAGGGGCCAAGCCCTTTCTAAAAACCCGGTATTCAGGTTTCTGTCTGGCATTTTAGCCAATCCTCGCTGAATTATGAAATCATTGACCAAAATATTCCCACAAAGATAATGTCCACTTTCCAATTACCTGACAAATACACCTAAGTTCAAAAAACCGCGCAGGACAAAGACTGTCTTGTACACACATCATATGCACAAAGTGTCTTTATGATTTTAGACACTTACTATATTATCTATCTGTAGTGAGTATTAGAAAGGGGGAAAAAAAAAGCCACCTCATTAAGATGGTTGGATAAATTCAAGTAGAAATGTAACAGTAATCCACATGAATCTCATGTGACTATTCCAGTTTGGCTCATGGTTCTAGCTAATTCTGATACACGTTAAGTACCTCCTGCTTATTGGCAGATCCTGTCCATCTAAACATCCCAAGCCACAAAGGCTTTTACATTTCATTAGGTCTGCAGCAACCCAGAGGAGTGCATTCCTGGACACACATTGTGCACAATTTAGTGTTTTGGGTTTTTTTTAAACCATTTTGGGGAAAAAAACAAAAAATGTAAACAAAATTCTTAAAGCCTGTTTTGTACTTCCAGTCAGCCAAATTCTTCAAAAGATGCAGTGATAACAATTCTTCCATTTGTGTACATTTAAGCTATGCTTTGCTACTTGAAAGTAGTATGGGAATAATTCGGGAAAAATAAAATTACATAACATACCTTCCCCACTGGGGAAGTGGAAGTACCCATAATGCATCTTGCCTGCTCTGCAGCAATTGAAGAGATTTATCAATACAGCTGCTGGCGTTTGCAGTAATCCCCTCTGAGGTCAGGGGTGCTGTGTGGGGGAACTGAACCCTCTAAATTTAGAGGCTGCACCCATCAGTCACTAACTTATTACAACGCTGTGCTCTTAAGAACAGAACAGGAGTAAACCAGGTAGCCTTCCAGCTGCTGCGAGCTAATAATCCTCCACAGCAGCTGGCGATTTGACAGTCTTTCCTGATCTAGAACTAGTGACTTAACAGCTGCAGAACTCCAACATCTGTGAATACTCTGTCAGCATCTGTAGTTGTAGCTCAGCAGCAGATCACCGTGTTGGTTATGCTGGCACAGTTGTAACAAGTACCAATACAGAGTGATACGGTATACGTATAAAGTGCCAAAAAAGAGTGGACTTCGAAGCATCATGCTTTTTTTTCTGGCACGCAAAAGTGAATTTGCACCAAAATGGTACTACCCCATTGTGAGACTGCAAATGCTGCTAGTCTGGGGGGGGGAGGGGAAGGAAATCACCTCACTGAGGCTGCACAAGAGACTGGCGCAAGTGCAATTAGCCACCCATATGCCAACCTGCATTCCATCAATCAAAACTCCTTTTACACCACTAACATGGACATAACATTGATTCCAATATATTTACAAAAATATTAAAAAGTTAGTTTATCACCTACACCCCCCCAACCCCCTTTCCCAGCAGAGCAGCCTCTTGCAGATTTGGGTTACGCGCTTGAGACAGCAGAAGCATTAGCACTTTCCCTGCCAGAAGAACCTTCCCCCTTGGACAGGGAATGGGGTTCTCGATTGGCATATTGCCAATATGTTTGACATGCACTAATTAAAAAAAAAAAAAAAAAAAGAAAATCACCAGTCTACTTGGAGTCCATGTGCCCCCTCATCAACCCAAAATTTTTGCAATGTTCCAGAAGAGAAATATGGAATGATAAAACCAGGTCCTAAAGCAGCGTTGTCTCCACTGGTGGAGTGAACGTGGAAAGGGAAGTGCAGAATGGACCAAACACTAAAGTAAAAATAATGACCCCAGCCACTGGGAGGGCAGAGGAGCGGGCACAAACAGATCCACTGTTGGAATTAGCATCTGGAATGACTTTTACACGCTGGGCCAGCTGGAGGATGGAGCGGTGATGACTTAGTGATGGCTGCAGGGAATCAGTAAGTGAGAGTGGAGTCATCCCACTCAAGCTGTTGCTGTCTGTTAACGTTCTGCTGGTCTTCTTCCTGTTCCCCATCCTCCTCCTCGCTGCTTTCTGAATCTGCACTGGTGATATCATCTTCCTCACCATCTTCACTCTCTTCATCATCCTCCTCCTCTTCCTCCTCCTCACTGCTATGCTGGTCTTCATACGTCTAAAACAGAATTAGAAGATGCAGACAGTTAAGCTGTTATTTTTGTAATAATGCATTTGACTGAAAAAATCTAAAGTAGATCAAAGTCTGAAAGCATGTTTTCTGAATTCTCCAAAGCTGAGAACACTCAGTGGTCAAACAGCTGGTTAAACTGCACTTCTGTTTGTATTCTCAGTAAATCCTTTTAATAAACAGATAGTGCAATAGAAAAAATAAATGGTATGGACCCCAATCAATCCCTCCTCTCTCCCCCCAAAAAAAGTGTTTCATAAAGAGATATTTCACTGAAATTTCAACAGTCACTGTGACTAACGCCGACAAGACTGGGCAGACTAGATGGGCCAAATGGTTCTTATCTGCAGTCACATTCTATGTTTCTAAGCGATCATATATAATAAATAAAAAGTTTGTATATTTCCTTGATAAAATGTGACAAAAGGCAGAGCTACTACTGTCAAGTTGTGTCATTTCCCAGAGTCGTCATTAGTGGTGGCTGTAGGGAAAAAAAACTTTGTCCATGGGGGTTCCTTTTCCCTGCACCCCGCAGCCTCTGGGCACCAAGCAGAGCAGTCAACGTCAGGGGTCTTTGCAAATATGCAGTCTACATGGAGTCACAGTGCTAGTTATCAGAAAGTAGACATTACCTCCATGGGGTTGACAGTGATGGTTAGAGCAGAGTCATCCCAGTCCATTTCGTTCTCTTTGCCTCCTTCTTGGTCTCTTATTGTGCGATGGTGTGCGGCACGGATACGGAACACCCCCAAGATTATCATGAAGACTAGGAAACTGACGCAAACAACAATAACAATCGTGGCCGCACTGGGGACAACTGTGGAACAGAACACTGGATTAGCAGCAGGTAAAAGACAAAAATTCATTTTAATTGAAATCATCCCCTTGCTCTGAATAAATTGCTAAAACACCACTAGCAAACTAATTTCCTCAGCATAAACATTGACGAGTTGCTTATTTTGCAGCAAAAATCATAAATTAATGTATCATAACTTTCACCCCAGCAGAGGGCTCTAGCTAGCTTTAAATAATCCTTAAAGAGATGCTTAAGTGGCCAAGTGACAATGCACTCTAAAATGACACCTGTCAGACAAATCCATGGCTCCTATTACCATTATCTAGTACATTTGGGCTGTAAGCTCTTTAGAGCCTTTGTATCAGTTTGGCCATCTATATCTGTAGTACATGTAATTACTGTGCCATCCCATGGGTTAGGGATAGAATATTCCAGGGATCAACTGATTATCGGCCTTGCCGATATTCTGTATTTTCAGCAATATCTGTTTCTGCCAATAAAGATACCGATAATGCAGACCAGACATGCCATCAGGGTCCTGGGGGTCCCAGCACACACTTACCTTCTCAGCAGCTCTCCTGTCTAAATCTCGCTAGTCCTGCTGCTGTCAGTGCGTTGCCAATGGTTACAATGGCACTGCTCCGCACGGCATACAGGCTGCGAGAGTTAGACAGGGGAGCTGCTGGAAAGGGAAGTAAGAGTGTGCCGTGCGCCCCAGGTAATGTCATAAGAAAAGGGGGGGGAATAAAACAAAATCTTTAAAAAAAATGTATAATAATAAAAAAATAAAAAAAGTTACTAAAATACTCTCACTGCATCCACTACACACACACACATATGTGTGTGTGTGTGTATATATATATATATTCTGACTGGCATATGTATTTTGTGCCTTTACCTTAATGAAGAAAAAAAAAAATGATTTGCAAAAAATAAATAATAAACATGTTCAGTTAACGGTAGATTTGTGTAGAAATTATTTATTTTTTTAAAATGGTAAATGTACAGAATATCGGTAAGTTATCATCTATTGGCCTGAAAGTTCACAGATTAATCGGCTCTAAAAAATAAATATCGGTCGATCTCTAGAATATTTAACTGGAGTGAAATCACATTTTAAATCCCAAAGTACCAGGCAATAACGTCACATCACAGGAGACGCTGCAATGTGCCATCTTTACTCACTACAACCTAATCAGTGCAATTTCACCCCCTTTAATTCCCAGACGGAGAGGACAGACATTTAAGGTGACTGAACCTCATCGAACATACCGGATGTTGTGTGAGGATTCGCCAGGTTGTGTCCAGATAGATCCACGAATGAGTGATGTACAGGATTGACAAACTGCGGCTGTGCCACGATATGATTGGGGGCTTCAGCTATGCTGGCAGTGTGGATGACATTGACCTGGAGTGAGAACAACACACAAACATTGAGGATGTAAATTATAAAACCCACAGCACGTTCTATCCCATCAGACAGACTTTCCAACAATACCTGGTTACAGTTTGTTTTTTGTTGTTGTGCAATGCATGTTACAAGCATGCCCGTGTCGCCACAATAGCAGTAACAGGCATATTTACGCAAACAATATCATGACATAGCTGGACAAATGCACATTTATAGATATACAAGATAATACTACGTGTGACAGAAGATTAATGACTAAGGGAGTGTGAACTGGCATTTCTCTTAGACACACTGTCAAGATAAGAAAAAAGGAAAGAAAAAAAAATTATGGCAATAAAAAGGAGCATATTGTTCGCTGGTACTATATGAGCTATGAACACATTAATGCTTAATGAAGTATACATGTAGCCCTTGTCTGGTTATGTATTCTTGTCTATATGTTGAACAGGACAGATGTAGCCTATAGATAAATGCTTTAAACATACGCAGGTTTAAACATACCCCCGTTTAACCCACCACCGGCCAGATGGAAGTCAGTGGCTGTGTGCCATGAGGCTGGTCTGTGTAATATAGCGGAGTATGGTGGCAGCATAGGCACCAAAGCTTTGGTACTGTCCAGGCCAGTGACGGAGCAACAGACCCCTCGTGGTTTACTTGCGGTATAGTTCAGTGCCTGCCTCTGGTGGGGGCTGGATCCCCGCCGCTGTGCTGTGTCCGAATACACTTCGCATCTGCAGGCCGTTGGTTCTTGTGAGTTGGCATCTTCGCGGTGCTTTGAGAATAATAGTGTGCGGGGCTTCGTCGCTGGGGCACGGCCTCTCCCCCCGGTGGCACATTGCTGGTGTCGGCCTCTGCCGCTTGCTCGTGCTACTGCTCGGCATGGTCCTGGCTTCTCCGCCGCCGTTTGGCTTAACCTGGAATGTGTCTCAGCAGGTACTCGCCGGTTTCCTCTTGCCACCAGTGTGAGGTGGGTACATCCAACTTCCTGCTTACTCGGTTTCCGCCCTCCTAGTCTTGGTTCTCCGTCACAGCCTGGGGTGCAGGTGTTGCTGCACGCTGGTGGGCCCAGGGTGGGGACCGGGATCACCCCCCCGGTCCAGAAGAAGGGGGGGGGGAAGGGGGGAACCAGGACCGGATCCGCAGATAGCACGCGTGTGTCGGGGCTCCTTCGGGCAGGATAGGGGAGCAGCGTCCCCTCTACTCTGAAGGACTATAACTCCGGGAGCAAGCCTCTCCCCAGCTCAGGCAGCCCGGTTACTTCGAGGGTTGCAGGTATTGGTGGGTTATTTCCATCATAATCATGATATACGAGCTTTATGTGCCTCTTTTTGCAGGAGCCGAGCTGTCCTGCGACCGCTCAGCTCAGCGGCCCCGCCCCCCAGTTTTATTTAAAAAAAAAATCATAATTAGCATTTTAAAGCTTTACATTTTGCTATTTGCATATTGTGACCCCACTTTCTGAATTCCTGCCAATGTCCACTCAGTTTCCAGTGCCGAATAACTGCACCCCCAAAGCTTTGTATTCCTAAACACTAGTTTGCTTTTAGTCTATAAACTCAAAAAGTTGGCAAAAACTCACCTCTACTTGGAACTCATTACTGTTGTAGCGTCCATTCAGCTCTGAGCACACAAGTTTAAATTTCCTGTCAAAGAGGGATGCAGAATTCCAGTTCCTGTATCGTATCAGGTGAAGAACCTCTTCATAGTTAGCCATTGTATCAACACCTAAAAGACACACTGTTTATTTACAGAATCAAAAAAGATAAAATCTAAATAGCACTGACATTATACTTTACCAAGATAACCCAAAACAAAGACTTAAAAAAAAAATAAAAAAAAAAGTTTTTTAGATGTTTCCCCAAGTAATAGACACAGATTTCCCTGAAAACTCCGAGACTGGTGGCTAACCTGTGATGATCATGCCAAGGTTGGAGTTGCTTATCTCCAGTCCCTTTTGCTGTAGGTGGGTGATGTCCACTTGCAGACTCTCCTGGTTGGGATTCAGTTCCTCTCCCAAAACTCCAACTTCACAGCTGTCCAAGTTGTGCATAATTTCTTCAGACACAAGTGACTCTTGCACTAGAACAAAAAAATTAAGATTATGGATTTGTCCTTCTGGATGACGGTAAGGAGGTGACAATCAATGCAAGCCTTAAAAATGTCAACATAGACAACCTAGAAAAAAGAAAACCAAAAACATACAAGAACAGAAATAAAATTGCCTTTGAAAAGCAGCATAAACAAGCTTTAGATGAGAATGACAGGGCTTGCTCACTATGATTTAATCTGGGGTTTCAGCTGTATGGTCAAAAAGCAGGGTGACAAGCCACGCAATCATTAATCTACATACTCACAACCACTTCAATAATGGAGCACAGATCGAGTAAGACAAAAGCATCCACTATGGGGGCAGGGCCTGACTGCCAAGATGACTGGACGTGCCATCTTACAGCTCCGACATTAATGCACAAACAACAAGCCTGAACCGTTAACCCCCGCCTTGGTTTTACCACGGAGGGACCAGAGGACTGACCTGAGTGCACACACAGGGATACTCGTCTCTTGCTGTTCCTCTGGGAATTCGACCATGCGGCCTAGCCCGACACATGGCCTGTAGTCTGGGAGAGACTATCGATCCCCCTGCTCAGGTCCTGCGGTTACCTCTATTCCTCTGACAGCCCCACAACCCACCTCTGGACCGGTGGGGGATATCCCGGTCCCCGCTGGAGAAACTTACCTCCTCACCGCAGCAGAGAGTCCTGCAGCAGCATTTTGCGCTGGGTTTGGCGGTCCATTCAAAGCCTCCACGACTTGGGGGAGCCCTAAGTGTCTCTCGCCCTGCATCACAGAACGGGCCGACTTGGGCACCAAGCTGGACGCAATATTCGCAGCCTTCTGGCAAAAACTGGCCCAGCGAATGCAGCAGCACACACAGAAGAAACACCATGCTGCACCAACCCAGAGTCAGCAACACGTTGCCCATATCGCATGCTAACCCTGGGACCCAAGTTTCTACTAGAACTGCATTCTCTTCTTCCGGGCTGGGGGCCCGAGTAGGCCTACCACCCATCGCCCATACACCCAAGGGGGTCCCCAAAATTCGGAGGACCTTAGGGCCCAAGATCCTATCACATGTAGCCGGGGTACCCACGGACACAGGGCAATGGCCCCCCACACACCCAGGGAACGAAGACCTTCACGAGCACGGAAAGGTCTCACACGGCATGCTGGATGCCTGGACAGACATCTCCTCTTGTTGGATATCTTTGGCTCGGAGAAGGACTCTTAGTGGAGTGGACTGACAATCGGGAGAGGACATTCCCAATCCCTGTCACTCAGTGCTGACAAGTCTTACTACTCTTTCTTTCTTAGTACCCAGCGGTACACACCATCTAGCATGTTACATAACCATATATTTCCATTTATACTAGTCACAGTCAGCCGGTATAGTCTGATTATTGTAATATGTGTTGTCTCACCACTGACTATTTCTCCTTCTACTAGAATATAAAATTGTGCAGTATACCTAAAAGCCATGTCAATGTTTCTACTGCCTGTTTTCACTACGCTTGTCATTATTGTTGTGGCATGTCAAGATTTTTGTTATCCCGTGCACAACATAACTAAAGATTTAAAAAAAAAAAAAAAAAAACCCATCCACTATGACATATCTACAAACCTGTTGGATCCTCATATTCTTCTCCTTCAGGCTCCACTTCCCGTGTGATTGTGCTGATGATGTGGAGCTCGGGGAACAAGGTGACCCCCTCACCGCTCTCAAACTCGGAAGCTGAACGAGCAAAGTGGTCAATGCCACTCAAACTGATTTTGGGTTCCTCTGGTTGCAGCACCATGACGTACCCATCAACATCTGGGATTGTGATACAGGTCTCCTCGTTAAAACATCTGCAAAGCACAGGGTTGTTATAGGTTCATTGTGATAAATGCCATGATCATTTTGATGATTGTCAACATGAGAATTTTGTTTCAAAGACAAAGGGCAGAAGTGTAGCATGAAATAAAGTGTTGAAGTTCAAACCATGTACAACACAACACCGAAGACGGCTGGAGGATTAGGGAATTTGTGAGTCATTAACTGCAAGAAAGTTGCAGACTAAGAAAAAATTAATTGCACTTTCACAAAGATTGTATGTAATATTTTACTTCAGGTACCCGGTTAGTGAAGAATTCGTAATGTCAATAATCACTAGTCGTCTGCGATTCCCTTCTCATTGGTGCCAACAAGCATCTACTGGTTTGCCTCTATCCTGCCATTATGTTATTGGTTTCAATCATTTACAGTCAAACCGGTTTATTCACTAAAGTAGGAAAACTGTAATTTTGGGTTCAAGTAGCCAAATAGAAAATACTGAAGTTTCAGTTTGGCTTATTATCGCCTAAAGTTTGAAATTAATTATGAATTCCCAGCTACTCGCACTTTACAAATACCAGCCAGCCTACTTTGCATGCACTTATCCTAAACAGCCCAGTCATAAATATCATCCAACGTAAACACATACACTACATCGGACACACCTGAAATATACAACACAGAAAATCAGCTCGAAACAGACTAAAAGCCACTAATCACTATTCACGCCGTTTTCTGCAGGTGATGGTATTACCAGGTAACAGTTCTTAAATACAATTATTCGGCCTTTCTCCATGTACCCGGAGCTCATAGTTTCGTATTTTATTTAAAACGAGATTTATTTTTGTGCTTCGTTGCATAAAACGTTTAGGTTATAAAATATAGAATGGCCTTTACTTTGCCTTCCTGATTACTTTATTACAGGGCAGTTTATTAGAATCTTACATTGCAGACTAAACTCTCATTCGCTCCACCATCCACCTTTCCTAAATGTTGATAATGTTAGTAAATTCATGCAATAAAAACAGGTTATATAAAAAATAAAAATACTAAAATATAAAATATGCAGATATCCGGGGGCGGAGTCTGACCGCCTAGCTGTACAGAAGCAGGGGACAAGAGCTCCGGCAAAGCGGGGAAAATACAGGGCAAAATCGGTGGCTACACAGCCCAAGGACCCACTGGGGTGCACTACCCATGCTGGGGGTGCACTCCTGAACCGAACAATACCTCTCTGGGACCTGTCGGAACCAGGGAAGCAAAATGCCGGGTGCGGCCTACTGAAGCTGGAGCCGGGGAGAGGCAGCCGCTCTCTCCGACACCGGATCCCCCCAGCGAGTTTGCTGGTCTGCTATCCCCCCCTCCCCCTCTGGACCGGTGGGGGTTATCCCGGTCCACAGTGTGATTTTTGGATATGTTGTTCACCCAGATCAGGGCTACCAGGGGATGCATAATTTAAAGTGGTACTCCTAGGTTTAGGGGTACATCCAGAAATGGGGGGGGGAATTGCTGTACTGGATAAGGGGATTATGATGCCGGCTGAGGGGAGGAGATGTGTGGGAGGTTACCAGGACAGGATTGGCTATTGTGTTAATGAATGTAATCCCTCCCTTGCATGGGAGCATGCTATATAAGGCACTGTGGAATAAAGGTTGTCAGTTCTGCTCCTGATGCTGTGTGTCGTCCAGTCATTGGGATTGCTGTGGGGATACTATTGGATTATTTTACCTGTTGGAAACCTCGCCTGTGGATTTATTATTTACTTGTTCCTGAGTCTCACTGGAATCTTAAGCGGAGATAATCTGTGGGATATTGTACCTCCGCTACAAAGATACGCTTTTACTATATTTAAGGGGACAAGGAGGCTAGATGGTGATTTTAACACTAGGGTCAGGAATGCAGGTTTGTGTTCCTGACCTTATAGTGTTCTGTAACGGATCACCTGGCACCCTGACTGGGTACCTCCGTTGATGGATGCTCCTAGCGCTTCCTGAGGGCTCCAAGCGCTCCGCCAGACACCATAACCACCATTGACTCCTTCAGAGAGCAAGACAGGAACAAGCTCTTACAAGAGCTTAGTAGTGATATAGCAAGAGAGTATGCAGAGCATAGCAATCCCTTGTAGCAGATTCACCCCAATAAGAGACGGCACTCCAAATGGAGGCTGAAGTAGAACTGAAGTTTTTAATGAAACATACTGCTTTTATGCACATTTTACACACATAGTACCGCTCACAAGGTTTTTAAGAACAGCCAATCAAACATGTAAAATATATAGTAAAACACTCCCATTGATTCCCACAAAATCCTCCCCTCTGCCTATGATATAATTACTGTACACAATGGGTTAATGTTACCACAGGCAGGAAAAATATACTTTTTACACATGTACTGTAACTTTAAAACTATACATTCAATCTTCACAAAACATATTAATAATCAGCATACTTTAAATATAAACACACTCAAAAATCATAAAAATCCCTCCAGCGGTTAAAAAGTTAACTGGAAGTCCTTTCTGACCAACCGCAAGCACATTTTCCGGCCCAAAACAGTTCCATAGATTTGGGCTGTGCGGTCGGTCTATTTCAGGCAGAAAAAATTACTAAGTCCCATTCGAATGCACGCACAAGGCACCATTCGTGCAATTGGCTTAGGATAGCAGTACATTCAAATTGCCAAACGGGATTTAGTTTCCAGCCGCAGAGTCTAAGTGTAGGAGAAGGTAAGTGTAGCGGAGATCTAGTATTCCACAGGTTATCTCCGCTTAAGATCCCAGTGAGGCTCAGGAACAAGTAATTATAAATCCATAAAGCAAGGTTTCCAGCAGGTAAATCAATAAAGCAATATCCCAACAGCAATCCCAATAACTGGACGATACACAGCATCAGGAGCAGAACTAAAACCTTTATTTCCACAGTGGCCTTATAAAGCATGCTCCCATGCAAGGGAGGGATTTCCATTAATTTGTACAGTATCCAATCCTGTTCTGGTAACCTCCCACACATCTCCTCCCCTCAGCCTGACTCATAATCCCCTTATACAGTACACAAATTCTCCCAGTTTCTGGATGTACCCCTAAACCTAGGCGCATCCCCTGGTAGCCCTGATCTGGGTGAGCAACATATCCAAAAATCACCCAGATCGGACCAGGGGTTCGGGAAATTTGTGGAGGTAATGAAAAGACTGACTGCGCTGGAGAGAACAGCCGAATTGGGTTCCATGCGATGGTGCCCTGCGGTCGGTCACAGTATAAGGGAACAAACTGCGCGAAAGGCTAATGTTACAGAGATCAGGGAGGGTTCGCATAAATCCCCTCGTTCGGTTGTTTCTTTCTACCGAACGAGTTGCCGTTCGGTAGCGAACGTATCGTGCGTATGGAGGTCTCAGCGGTGTTTGCCTAGTCGAGTGTCCGATTTGGGTTCCAGACTCTCAACGGCAAAACACCGCTGTTCGGGAGTTTTAAAATGGCCGGCGCCACGTGTTTGTATCCCGAATGGCGGCCACCCCGCGAACAAAGGACCTACTGCACAGCTTGTCAATTACCCATTCGCAACATTGTTGCAACGGGTAATTGAAGGCACACTTCACACAGGGGAGGTCTGACTGTTCGGTAGTTTCATTCCCTTAGTTGTTCGAATGATTCTACCGAACAATCAGACGAATACAAGTTATTTATACACATATAATCCTGCAATTTACACGAATACATTCACACAATTTCAAGGACAGCCCAGTGCCATCTGCTACAGTAAGGGTCAGTGGTGTTCGTTGAAATGTGTAGCCGATTTCAGTTCCATGAATTTGGCTGCACATACCGCTGACTGCGTTCGTTTGTACGAACGGCGCCCCCCCAGCGGTCAGCAATTTACCTACAGCAGGCTCCCAGCCTGGGAGGTAAATTGCCTGCACGCTTCCACTTCTGGGTGGTCCGCCTGTGTAGCACTTGGTTCAGTACGCTCCATTAACTGAACCAAGTGGGAGAAAGCCATAGACAAAAGATTTTAAAGGTCTGGGGACATAGTCTTAAAGAGGCATTGTCACACAGTCTCAATATGTCCCTAGACGGTTTTTAAAGGGCCAGCAGCAGCACAATAGAAATCCATTAGCCCCAATACTGTTTTTAAAGTGCCCAATACCCCAGGGGCCATAGTCCCACGGCTGGCAATCAGTCCCCTCCAAAAACCAGTGGCGAGGCCGCTTTCACCACATGTTCCTCTAGGGGTGGCACAGCATCATAGGAGTAGTACATTCACCAAGAGACAAAAAAAAATGGGTCGCAAGAGTATACTGAGAACGGGCAGCAGCTGAAGTAGCCGGCCTTTCGGTGGGTCCCCGCTTGGATCTCAAGCTGGTTTTTGCTCATCTTGTGCCATTACAGAAGAACATACCTGAAGCACATCAGACTAGTCCCACCCATACGGGCAGTCCAGATCCGAAATGCCAGCAAGTTCTCTCTGCACGAGAGACACAGCAACCCCAGACGATCGTTTCAGCCTTGTTAGGCATCATCAGTGAGGCACAGCTGATATCTCCCTAGGCACCGTGAGCAAGGGGTCCACATCTGGATTATCCCTTTAAACTTCTGGAGAACAAAAAAAATGGGTCGCAAGAGTATACTGAGAAAAAGAGACAGATCTACCTTTTACATGAAAACAGCTGGATAAGTAACTAACGGGGTCAGGCGCACTCGCTATCAAAGTATTGATATTATAGTGCTCAGAAAGGTCTTTTAAACGTTTTTCTGGATTTTTTTATTCTTTTCACAACTGTAGCAGCTTCCAAATATGAAGTGTTGTCACAATTAAAAAAATAAATAAAAAATAATAATAAAAGAAACTTTGAGGATAATTTTAAGAACATCTTTAAGATATGATTGGTACTGGCAACATCTCATCATTAACCAAATCCCTCTCTGTAAAGGATCCTTCTATTCGTGCAGCGATGATCCTTGCAGCTTCTCCCGAAATCCAGCTGAAACGAAGTGATTATAACTCCCAATCCCCCAAACATGAGTTGAGACTTCATGAAGGGGTAAAACGATCTGATTTACTGTGGGCTACCCGCCCGGTATTTATGCAGGTCTCCCACCTGGTGGACACTCCCCTAGGGGACCAGATGGAAGACTGGGACAAAAGTAACACAATAGCCAATCACAGTGGCTATAGCATAAGCACTCCCCTTTTACATAAATCACTCCCTCTTTTCCATCCTGGAGATAATTAACTTAAGGTAGCAAAGAGAGCCTTAATTATCTCCAGGAAGAAAGAAACATGGCTTTTCTTATTTCAGCAAAACAGAATAAAAATATATAACTTTCTTTTTACACAACATAAACTTTAAGTTCCACATATCCCCAGATAGCTTAGATCTGAGTGCATATTCTAGGCGAATAGCGCTCAGATCCCACGAACACAGTTCTCAGAATCGTCGACTGAAGTTTGACTTTCACCGGCCGTTCGTGTGTTTGTAGCCGACTGCAAGTTCCATACTATAGCTATATGGGGTCGGTCACTTTCGCATACTTTCAGCGCACGAATGAAGTAGTAACCCCTTCATTTGTGTTTTTCCACCGTACGAACGAGGATGGGAGAAGGTAGCAGCGGTGTTCGACAAAATAAGTAGCCGAAATCAGTTCCAGGGAATCCTCGCCATTTACCGCTGAGCGTTCGACAATACAAAATGGCGATTGCCACGTGTTCGGTAAACAAACGCGGACCACCAGCTATTCCCCAATTAGTCTGTGGTTAACCGCAACAGTCAGGGTGGTCAATAGGCGCCACACGACCTCAGTGGGAGGTCGGTGGTTCGGTAGTTTATTCGCTTTTATTGCTATTTCCACGAAATCCCGCTGTAATCCTCCAAATAACCGAACAGGCTGGTTCGTATGGTCTGTAAATAGGGGATTTCGTTACACTCTCTAAGGAGGAGGAGGATCTAGGAGAAATAAAGTGTCACAAATAATGAACTGCTTCTATATAGAGCCTGTGTCTGAATCTCTATTTTATTCCGCGTTTCACAAAATATTTTCTCACTAAAGCAGTCGGTATAAAAAAAAAAAAAAAAAAAATTTAAATCAAATAAAAAAAATGGCAAAGGGGCAGATCTTAAGCAAGATTCTGTTTCAGTTGCCAATCAAATTTAACCACAACCCATCATTCAAAACAATCCCAAGAAGGGCAAACTGCAGACATCATGGACAGAGGAGAACAAAATGGCCGCATCCAGATGTTGACATTTCTGCTTTAAGTTGATAGTTTTTTTTTTGTGTTAAAGAAAACAGTTCTCCATCCATGGGAAAAAAAATTGGAGACTTAACAGGCAACAGTAATGGTACTTACTTCACCGTGGTAGTGATCTTAAACCGTCGGATTCCAGGAGTGGGAAACTGACGGGAATTAAGGTAGGAGACATGCTGCATTGCTTGGTCAAAGCGATCGATGTCATCTCCTTCCATGGTCAGCCCAGACTGGCTGGGGCTCAGGGTGATCTAAGACACAAACAGATCAAGCTGAATTAAACTGCAGGACTCTAAGTTTCAATAAATCAAACCAAGTAGGCAGTTCCTGCCATGCCATTTTCAGCAGCCTGCGACATACAATACGTGACAAGGTTATAATTCCAATAGAATTCTCAGCTAACTGATACTCGCCTAAAATAGATCTACAAATGCAATTCCAAATACTGACCAATAGCAGGAATTTAACATTTCCTCAAAAATGTTGCCCATTGTACCCAAACAAGGCAGCAATTAGCTGTGAGCCAAAGCCGGATTAATATCTCACAGGACCCCTAGGCAGATTACTAGTTTGGACCCCCATCACAATTTAACCCCGTAAAGACCAAACTTCAGGAATAAAAGGGAATTATGACATGTCACACGTGTCATGTGTCCTTAAGGGGTTAAACATTACGGTTTTTGAGAAACTGCAATAATTACCTTGCCGGACTATGGCTGCCTCCAGTGGGTGGCACTTCCTGGATGCTAGCGGACTAAGTTCACCAAATGACGCTGGACGTCCTCACACTCTAATTTGTATTCCTAACACTATAGTATCTCTCTCTCTAAGTTTATTGCTAGTGGGCCCTCCATACTAATATCTGACAAACGGTCCTATAAGGCTGCTATGAATTCCACGCAATTTAAACAAATATATAACCAAATGCAAATAAATAAAACAGGAAATATGGTTTTAAACTGGAACACTAGTGTCACAAAGAGTTTTGTTACCAACAAACATCACACAGTGACTCCGTGTCCAGTAACAGGGCGAAGCGAGGAGCAAAAAGTAAAAATCCCTCAACAAAGCGTTATTTTAAATTGCTATATTGGAGGTGGATACAACTGGCAAAGCGAATATTACTGCAAGTAAATCTGTAGACACCTTTTTATAGGATATGTTGCCATCAATCTGCGACAGTGAGATTTTAGCAATGCCTACGACATCTCACCTATTGTGATCCTGCAAAGGGATCGAGATGTAACCTCTCTGCTCGGGGAGATTTAGGGCCAAATACTTTATTTAGCTGGTTCTGGGTCTACAGACACAATCAGCTTCATAGCTACAACTAGCTAAATGCTTTGAACTAACTTAATAATAATAAAATACAAAATGAACAAATGGTTTGTTTAATGGGAAATATTTACATGGTAAAACCTTCGATTAAATGGATTAATGAAAGATGTTCTCATGAAGGCTTATTTTACTAAGGTGACATGTAAAACCTCACTGATTTGAAAGATTCAATAAATAGTCTGTTTCAGGCATTTACTCCCTATCACTACATCTACAAGAAGGCACACCAGCTACAAAATAGATTGATTTCCAAATATAGATTTTTACCACTTCAAGGCTGTACTTTCCACTCTTTTTGTATCATTACAGCACTCACTCATCCACCCCAAATTTAAAATAAATCTCTCTTACTCTGTAACTTTCTATGCACCGCTCGGTTTCATTTATTTTACGAGGATTTAAATAGAGCAAGCTGCTTGTTTGAACGCACCAATAAGCAACTCTCTGCTTGCACTATGACCTGCATTCTGTCTTACCGTCATGCCTTTCCCAATGTTTTCCACTGGCTGGAACTCTAGACCTTCCTTGCAGGTGTATAAACAGTCAATCACTTTCTTGTTCTCTAATTTTCCAGAACGGATCATGAGCCCTGCCAGGTTGCCACGGAAGAATTGAGCCATGTGTGCCTCCCCACCTGCCAAACGAAAAAAGGGCAAGCAGACAGTCAGTCTCCTCCAGATACGTTTGGGGGCGCCGTGGAGTAGTGAGACGTTATTGTTCAATAGATGGCTAGTGTTTGGCATGCAGGTTAGTACATTCAGTGCTGAGAGTTAGCCTGGTCCCATTCAAGAGCAATGAGGGAGCATTACATGCAGATGGATCTTTGGGGGGGCCGGAACAACTGAAAATAATGAAATACTCGATAAAGTACTATATTCTAACGGATTACCATGAGCTTTGAGTTTGTATATGCCATTTGTATAGTTACTGGGAATTACAGGCAAGAAAATAAAAAAACTGAATTAAAACAATTGCGAATTACGAGTTTGCTTTATTTAATTGTTTTTGGGTTACTACACTATTTTCTGTAAAATCTCTCCAAATGGATACAGATTTTAATAGTTCCATATCTGTTAGTTTGATTACACAGGAACCTTTTAATATTCTGTTTACTCTATTTAACAAACATGTATAAGTGAAGTATAAAAATAAAATTAATAGTCGAAATCCACACATTATGGAACCTAGCGTCTCCATCTTGGCTCCCTGTCAATGGTTATAAACACTACCGTTTTCATTCAGTGATCATGGTATGTAGAAGCAGAGAGGCTGCATTGTACAAGGAGAAAATAATTCAGGCTGTGCCAGGAATGAACTCGACTGTGATGTCATCTGCCAAATCATTAATATATGTTGAGAATAAAATGGAGCATCACAGTGAAAACGTTTAACGCAAGTTGTAGGTTATTTTCAATGGTTCATTTCCAGAGAAGTGATGGTCCCATTTTAAGAGGTTTCTGGTTGACACTAGGAATAAAACAGGCTTCCCCAAACTCCAGCCCTCCAGATGTTGCTGAACTACAACTCCCATGATTCTCAACCTATTTCATTCATAGAATCATTGGAGTTGTAGTTCAGCAACATCTAGAGGGCCGGAGTTTGAGAAAGCCTTGTATAAAACATTAAACTGACAGCTAAGTTCCAGAGCAGCCTGAGCATACATCCAGACACGTATCCGGCATATTGCTTCCCTGCGCAGACAGTTTATTCCTGCAATAAGCCCACCAATGTTACACAGCTATTGCAGATGGAAAGCATAAAGGTTAGCAGTGTCCCTGGAGGTCATGAGTTGAAATAAAACCTTAGAGATTCTACAAAGAAAAATAATAACTGACAGATGGAGGCTGAAAATATGAAAATGAAAAAAATAAATAAAAAATATATATATATGTGTGTGTGCAGAGAGCCATTTAGATTTCATGCAGAGGAGATGGATGGGGAGGATAGGAATTGTACAAAACCGCAGCCACCTGCATCACTCTCTGGCATTGGGTCAGTGACATTTCCACTTCCTGAATACTCTGTAGAAAAGCAAGAAAAGGGACAAACAAGGGAAGTGACCACAGGATCAGGGACATTGCTTCATCGACAGACCATGGCACAAAAAAACAAGTGCATCAGTACAAGAAGGCACAGACAGCAGTGGAAGCACGGTCTCTTCTATCAAGAATTCCACACCAGAGGGGCAATTAAAGGCACACATTTCTTATACACATAGACCGTTTATGAACGTGTTTGGGTTCACTTATCAGTGAAAACATCAAAGTCTCATTCAGGATTATTCTTCCGATCCGCAACACAAAAAAAATCCCATGACTAGTGGAAAAAAGTTAAACAAGGCATTATATGTGGACCTCAGAATTAGTACATGGATTTTGTTGCATGCAATAAAACACTAGAGTTGTCTGAAAGACTTTCATGAGATAAAATGATGAACTAACCCAGTCTCTGCAGAGTAAGATGGTGAATATGACATACCTTGCCAACAGGCGCCAACCACCAGCTGGGTATCGATCTGTGTTGGATGCAGAGGGTAATCTTCAGTAACTGTGATAGGATCGTAAGAAACTCCATCCACATAAAGGGTAACAGTGGGAAAGTCTACTGTCAGGACATAGTGGTGCCACTCCTTGTCACAGGCCTGAAAGGAAACAGCAGCAACAATTAATACAAAATTCCAAGGCAGGTATTTGAGATTAAATGCTAACACTCAATCTGAGCTAAACCAGGAAATTCCCAGTTCAAGTGCTGGAGGGGAGCAATGTTGTGTAAAGTTATGTGATTGTAGTTTTTGGCCAGCGGAAGACATATTACATACAATAAGAGAGAGAGACACATAGCATACAAAGAAACTGTTAGTAAGGCAATAAAGAAAAACAGAAAGGTTGTATTTACAATGATCCCAGCAATTAATCTGTGTACTGAACAATATTGGGATTCCCAATCAAAGCAAGTCCCATTAGGATTGAAGGGTTACGTTAACCACCACGACCAATTAAGAGATTTGAAGTGGTGTTAGTAGGAGTCTGATTGAACAGCGTTTCAACTTTAAACACTAACTGCACATTCAGAGATAAAATCAATTCCCCAGCACGTGATACAGGCAGCCCAATATTAAGTCTGTGGTCAGCGCACTGGTGACACGTTATATTCTCCCTGGAAGGCAGTGCACCTGCATGGGGAAGCTCGTTTTCACCTCTGTGCACATCCTACTGCCTTACTCCATAGCAGTCATTTTGTTTATTTAATCTAACTGGTTTTAGATATACTCCCAGTGGAAACAAAACCGTATAATTAAATGCATGGCAGATTTCATTGGGAAATCTCTACTAAATAGTGATTGGGGCAGTGGAGTGTCCCATCAAGGAGAAGGAGTTTTAGAGGGACACTATAGTCACCTGAACAACTTTAGCTTAATGAAGCAGTTTTGGTGTATAGAACATGCCCCTGCAGCCTCACTGCTCAATCCTCTGCCATTTAGGAGTTAAATCCCTTTGTTTATGAACCCTAGTCACACCTCCCTACATGTGACTTGCACAGCCTTCCATAAACACTTCCTGTAAAGAGAGCCCTATTTAGGCTTTCTTTACTGCAAGTTCTGTTTAATTAAGATTTTCTTATCCCCTGCTATGTTAATAGCTTGCTAGACCCTGCAAGAGCCTCCTGTATGTGATTAAAGTTCAATTTAGAGATTGAGATACAATTATTTAAGGTAAATTACATCTGTTTGAAAGTGAAACCAGTTTTTTTTTTCCATGCAGGCTCTGTCAATCATAGCCAGGGGAGGTGTGGCTAGGGCTGCATAAACAGAAACAAAGTGATTTAACTCCTAAATGACAGTGAATTGAGCAGTGAAATTGCAGGGGAATGATCTATACACTAAAACTGCTTTATTTAGCTAAAGTAATTTAGGTGACTATAGTGTCCCTTTAAGGCTAGCGGTTTTAATGAAATAATAAGTTTAAAAAAAAAAAAAAAAAGCGCTATATCTAATCATAGCTAGTTTTAGCCAGGCCAACCAATTGGCTCCACCTGGACTAGAAATTTCATCAACCCTCGACAGCTCCTCTGAGACGGTGCTGAAGGCACTGCATAAGAGAAGAGAAGGACATTTAATGATCATACAAAATTCTACTAAAATTAGTAAAAAAAAAACAAAAAATGTACGTGTCTAGGACAGGATTCAAAGCGTTGAGCTGCCTCGGTTAGCTGGGTCTTTGTAAGAAAATCCCTGATAATTCAACGAATAAACGCGGCTTTAATTTCTAGGTCCAATGTGTAACATATTCCCCAATCTGTAAGTGTTTTTGCTTGTTCTCTGGCTCCCTGAATTCTCCTTCCCACACCTCCCCCCCAGCAATCTGCTACACAGGCAGCCATGGCTTGCTGGCAACGCTACATGAGTAACGAGCTCCCAGTGCACTATGGGTAAAGTCATGCTCGCTGCCTCCAGTTCCAGCAGAATGAGAGCAGCATGGATCTCTATGGTAGGTGTAGCAACAAAAAAATGTCTACAGACCAGCTATTTTAACGTTAACTCTGAAACTCTCACTGTAGTGAATGTCCCGATATAACTGGTTTCTCAGCCTCCTGCCTCATTTAGAGGGCATTACCTGGTCCAGTTTCCAGTGGAACTCAGCCGGTTTGTAGCTTTTCTCTTCAGATGGCTCTTGGCGGAACAGAAAGCCCACCTTGCAGTTGTGGATGTAGAGTGAGGAATGGTGCCGGTTCATTTCTGCGAACAGACGAGTAGCAAACATTCAGACAACAAAAATCACAATTCATTCAAATATTATTATTTAAAAAGCACCAATAAATATTGTAGCGCTGTGCAATAGGTGTTGTGTACGTACAACAATACAGTAACAGAAGTACAATGGGTATTTCTGAATACAAAAAACAAGGTGCTTTATTCACTCACTTGATTCACTGGGAATTGTGGAGAACAAAGGAAGTGGACATTTAAGACCATTAATAATATATATACACACACACACATATACATGCGAGTTTGGCCCAATATGTGCAATTCTTGTATTAATTCTGCACAATTTGCAGTTTAGTAAATAAAGCCCAGCTCTGAGTTTTAAAGAATGCAGGTATTATGTGAATATGGCCCAACGTCCATTAACACCAACAGAAAATACACTGGGATTTATTCCCTATACCAGCATCTGCAGAGAGCTGAGAAGGGAATTGAAAAAATAAGATTAAAAAAAAAAAAAAAAAAGCAGATTTGACTAAATTCGCACAATTGCCAGTTTAGTGAATAAACCATTTTATTTGCATTGCCCTTTAACCGATGACTAGGTTACTGCATGTTTACCAGGAATCTGTTGGCTACATTCACTTTACTCTTTCAAAGAATGATGTGGAGATCGCGTTTCGCTTCTCAGTTCCATTCTCAGATTCCCTGCTAATGGAAGAATTGATCGCTGCGGCTAAATATTTTCATCGAATAGTTTGCCGTTTGTTGTTACATGGAAGCACCTCACAACCCATCATTTAAACGGATCTGTCATTTATGCCGAGGAATCATGTATGAACCTTTTGTGCCTTTTGTCTATTATTTTAAATTAATATTTATTTCTTTGCAATTTACACATTACAATGTAAGAACAGAGCATGCAAATTAATCTAACCCCTATGGTGTTGTTCACATCCTGCAGCAGGAGGATGATCTGGAGCACCACTGCTTAATATTAGGCACTATGCTAAATTTCTATGAGGGAGCCTGTTTCCCTCCTGATCACGGCAGGTACAACTCGTCTAAAGAAAATGCACAGAAGCAGCAATAACTACTGCTGAGAGCTATACTATATATCCCACAATCCTCTCCAATGCTTTGTACATAATAGACGGCTTGGATATGCTCCGAATCAAAGCGGTATTTCCCCACCTACAAAGTACACACCAAAATCTGCAACTACAGGACATTTGCAAAAACACAATCTTTAACGCGGTAAACCCAATTGTAATATTTATTTGCACTTCTTGCATTATAAACTGGGGTCAACAGCCGAATGTGCACATTTATTGTATACCTGTTAAGAGGGGTGCATTGCTCTCTACTAAGGACGGTTATTTTTATTCACTAAATTAGACTCACCGAGTCCCTCATACATAAATACAAGGATGAACATTGCAATTAGTGACAATGATTGTTACTCCCCATATGGCATCAAAAGGGTTAAAGAATGACAATTAATGCACAAGGTCACAGGATGAGCTAAGAATCCATTATGGGAATTGGAATATGAATCCACACAATTAAGTTCTGCTGGCAGCTTTAACGTCATCAGGATAATCTATATAGGTTACAATAGCTGAGTGCTCAGGGATAGAACATGACAAATAAAAATCTATAGAAGGCCTCGTCAATATTCATACATTACAAATGAATGCAAATCTACATAAAAATAGGAGAAATAAGCAAATTAACACTGACACACTGTGATAACGGACGCACAAGAAAATCAATAGATTGTGGGGGAAAATGGTGTCATTTCCGCTTTGTGACAGAATAATTCAGCTTTATCCAAAAGTAATTAACTCCAATGGACAATTGATTACCACGAAGCCTAGTATCGCGGTATAACAAAGGGGTCTGGGCAAGATCTGAATGCCTCTCATGATCAGAGTTAAAACTTACCAGAAATATCCGAAGACAGGCACTCACCACGGGAGTTACAAAAATATAGTTTATACACGGAATTCCTAACATCCACAGCTATAGAATCTGCAAGTCCATTTGTCTTTCAGAAAACCAAAGATAAATATGAAGAGGAGAGGGTACCTGTCTTGTCTGAATTACACAAAATGGTTTCCTTGTCTCTGCCACCAGGTCCGTGCCGCATCCAGACTGAAATCACAAACGGTTCTTTAAGGTCAACAGTGACAACGCCATCGGGGATCTTAACCGCCTGCGTGCCATTAAATTCAAACACTTGGTCGCTGTCATGTCCGTTATCGGTAGGAAGGCCTATGGTCCAGTTGGTGGCGCTGCTGGGTGGGGGGAGTAGTTCTGCGGTGTCTGAAGAGGCTCCTGCATAGATCAGGAAATAGGTTTTCATTGCAGACAGACAATAAGGAGGTCACCAGCATGCTGCACATGGACACACAGCTTTTAAAAAGGAACAGAAGCTTAGAACAATCCGAACAAGGCACTTACCACACAACCTGTGGATGGATTTCTCAGAGTACGTATCTCGGTCGCACCCTTTGCCGATGTGACTAGTTTCGAGTTGCACATTGGCTTGGATTGATGTAATTGGCTCGTCACAGGTTTCCAGATGAATGCCAGGGAAGAGAGCTAAAGATCCGGTACCTGGTTCATACTCTATTCTTTTACTCCAACCTACACAAAAATAAAGCAATTAAACCAACAAAAACAGGAGTCTGCTGCTGCCACTGGCACAAGCCAAGAAATGCAAGGAAACCGTCTCACCTTGCCAACTGGCTTTACATGTAGGCTTAATGCTGATTTTAACCAGTATGTCTTCCGCTGCCCTTTTTTTCCCGCAGTCATACGCGGTCACTGTAAGTTTATACTGACGCTCCTTTCCGTAGTTCAGTTTTTCAGTATTTTTTATGAAACCTGAAAGTTATAAAATCAGAGTTAGATACAGCATTATGTGTGGACGGAGGTCTGCTCCAGCCAGTAAATAAGTCATCTTCACAGTGTGCTAGTGAAACCTATCGCACATAGATTAAATGTTATACTTTCGGCACATCAAGGTTCCTGCTCTGGGGTGGATCTTTGTAGAAATCCCATAACTTTAAACAATCCGAGTGCACAAAGCATTCTGAGTGTGCACATCTCCACAGCGTGTGCACCTGGACTTCTTACATCTGCCCCCTGTACAATAACTGCATTGATACATAAAATAAAATAAAAAAATTGTACATTTTGTAGATCTATTTTCTAGGAATGACAAGTTGTGCTCTACAAAGCTAAACCATGGTTTATTTGTATGTTGAGCAGTTTGAAACACAATTACATTAAAATTCACATTAGACATAGCACTGAGAACGATACCCAGAGATTTGGGATGGGGATGAACCATAGATATAATTTTCCAGAACACAAGCCAAAACGCTACTTTTAAAAAGAGAAACAGATAGAAATCTGCCCAAATCAAGGAGGGGTGAACAAAAATGTATAAACAAACCTATCAAAAATTGCTTAGAAAATCTGGCATACTGGTAATAAGTACAGATTTAGTTTCCTTGAATAAGGAAGAGCCAAATAAAATATTTGCCAAAAGGCTTAACAGTGATCTATCAATATGTAAATGCAGCGCAAGGAACAGTCTGTAACGAGTTATACTATCAGGATGCAAACGCAGCACAGGATATTCATTCTAATAATAAATAGAATATATAGCCTGAGCCTTTCAGACTTTTAATTGCAAATAATGTAGCTTTTACTACAACACATGGACCAGCTCAGACCATTATCCCAGACTTGAGAATCTTACCATCTTTGTTAATAGTGAAGGGCACATCAGGTGTTATAATCTCGTAGCTGCAAATCTGGCTGAACTGAGGGGAGCAGTCCGCATCCACAGCTTCGATCTTTAAAATGCTGTCGTATTTCTTCCCTTCAATAACGGTGGCTTTGTACGATTTCTCTTTAAAGACTGGCGCATACTCATTTACGTCATTCACCTGGATGTGTACCGTGGCCCTGCAGCAAATCAATAATACTAGTTACCACTAAAGCATGACAGACCAGCAGCACAGATCTCTAATACATGGAAATAAGGCATGCTCTGCGCAAGTGGAACTATGCCTCCCATAATGCAGAGAATCATGTTGGACACCTTCTAAACTTGTGCAATATATTTCTGTACAAAACAGAATGACAAACACCAAGAACATTAAAGCAGGCTTGCACAACCTGCGCCCCCAGATGTTTTGAACTACAACTCAAATGATTCCCTGGCAGTTTCATCAAAACATCTGGGGGCACCACAGGTTGCTCAGGCCTGCATTAAAGGAACCCTCCAAATCTTTCTTGTAGACCGCTCACTTTTATAAAACACTTTATCAGCGGTCAGACACCTGGGCGGGTTACTGCCTCGCTGGCTTTGGCCTATGTTTCAAGACGGAAGTGAACGCTCTGCCATCTTGGCACTTGCCATTCACAAACTTCTCAGTGAATACATTTAATTTGTTTAAAAAAAAAATTACAAAAATAAAACAAACGAATGACCTATTTCATGAGTTAAGTCTCTCAGAGAAATAGGGGTGTCCTAGTTCTTGGTTTTCAGAGCAGGAACATCAGACTAACTGCACACGTGTCAAATATAGCTCCTGTTTCTCAGTCTGCCTGTCCTGTTTACACTCCATATATGTTTCTATGATAGTTTTTGTGCTGGAAAAGCAAATAGGATCCTCACTGAACCGAGAATATTACAACAGCTAATTGTGTTGCACGCAGAAAGGACATACTGTGCCGTTATTGTACGCAGTTTAACATGTCAGCCGAGTCTGCTGTATAGACGGAGATTATAGAAACGTCTCTTGAAGTCATTAAATAACTACCATTAGAGATTATACAGAAATATAAAGGTGAGCAGTGGGAACTGTGAAACAAAGCAAATCTGGTTTTAGCCATCTGATAGTTAGCCATAAACCGTAGCAAGTTAAACCATATTGAAGAAATGAAGGCTGTTATAGCAGCAGCACGCTGTTGGAAGCAGGTATACAGATATTTGTGGGCAGTATTTAGAGAAGCATAGAGCACCTGAATAGAAGGTTAATTGAACTTTTACAGCAAGCATCCAGAAAAGGGTTAAAGGAACACTATAGTCACCAGAACCACTACAACGCAGCGTACAGTATACAGCTCAGCGTACAGTATACAACGCAGCGTACAGTATACAGCTCAGCGTACAGTATACAGCTCAGCGTAGTGTCATGTTCCTGCAGTCTCAGCATTGTGAATGCTACCTTTTCATAGAAAAGGCAGTGTGGTTATATTGCTGCCTAATAACACCTCTAGATGCAGTCACTCAGACGGCCACTAGAGGTGCTTTTCAGCCCAGTGCAGTAAAGTTCAGCATCTCCAGCTCTGCAGGTTGCTGAATGTTCCCTACAGAGATGCATTGATTCAATGTATCTCTATAAAAAGGCATTTTGCCGCGCATGTTGAATAGCCTGCCAATGCTTTCCTATGGGAAAGCATTGGATTGGTTGAGATCATCAAGATTGATTATCTCAGCTATGGAGGCGGGTCCAGCGTGGGAGAAAAGGTGAGTAAACTCATCTGCAAATCCTCAAATATACACATGTACGCAGATGACACAGTAATCTATGCAAGCAAATCCAAACTACCGCAGCTTGAGGCTCCAAGACCAGTTTACAGAGGTAGAAAAGTGGATCGCAAGAAACAAACTCTCCCTAAACACTGACTAACTGTCACAATGATCTTTGGAACAGTACCTAAATTACACAATTCCCACCTATCCATCAAAACTAATTCAAAAGGCCAATCATTGATTATGGGGATGTAGTATATTCATCTGCACCGCAATCCCACATTAATAAACTCAACACATTGTATAACTCGTTCTGCCAATTTGTGCTACAATGTAATTACAGAACTCACTACTGAGACATGCTAAAAGACTGGCTGTCGCTGGAAACCAGACGTACCCTTCATCTTTCCAGCCTTGTGTTTAAAGGACCACTATAGTGCCAGGAAAACACACTTGTTTTCCTGGCACTACAGGGTCTCTAGGTCCTCCCCACCCTCTGGGTCCCCCTCCCGCCGGGCTCTAGGGGGTGGAAGGGGTTAATTCCTTAGCTCCCCTCCTCCCCCCCCCCCTCCGCCAGGCTCCCTCGGCACGGGGAACTCTCCTCCTCCTTTTTGCCGTCATTGGCTGAATGCGCATGCGCGGCAAGAGCCGCGCGCGCATTCAGCCAGTCCATAGGAAAGCATTCTCTGAGTTTCTCTGAAATTGCTATGTTTACAGCAAAACGGGTTAAACCTAGATGGACCTGGCACCCAGACCACTTCATTAAGCTGAAGTGGTCTGGGTGCCTATAGTGGTCCTTTAAGATCTTTTCTGGGAAGCTCCCACCCTACCTGAGCAGAATGCTCTCCCCGGCTGTTCCCACCTCCTATAACCTCTGATCCAGTACCAGCAATTTATTTAGTCTACCTCAATACAAAAAGAAATCAGCCTGATCCTCATTTTCCTACAGAGTGCCGCAATTATGGAACGACCTCCCGCACACTTTCAAATCTTCCCCAAGCCTAAAGTCCTTTAAGAGATCCCTCTCTACATACCTCAAAACAGAATGCACCTGCAATCATGGTTGATTATATATTTCCTACCTGTTCTACAATACATTTTGTATATGTTGTGTATTAATATTGTTTTTGTATTTTGTTGTACCCTAATGTATCAATGCAATGCTTTGTGGACCCAGGACATACTTGAAAACGAGAGAAATCTCAATGTATCTTTCCTGGTAAAATATTTTATAAATAAATTTAAAATAAATCTACACAGCCCCTTTAGGACTATATTGTCAGGCATATATGATTGCATTTCAGACGCTAAAGTGTTCCTTTAAGAGACTGAATGCTTTAGATTATGAAAGTCTAGCCGACAGTCTTGCAATCTCCGGACCAGATGTTCCTACCGAGTGGGAGATATTGATATTGTATCAAACACCAATAACTTACAGAGTCCTTTCCAAACTGGCACCGCTGGAGACACATTCAGAGATTTCTGTTCGATGCGCTTTGATTACCTTTAGTATCAAAGTATAATTCAGCCACATACATACATCTTGAGTCGGACAGGGTTTTAAAATGGACAGCTACGCTATGGCCATCCTCGCTTCACTCTCTGCACAGTAGTAGGGAAGAACAGAGAGGCTGTGTGTTTTCAAACACTGTCTGACCCCAAAAAATTGAAATAAATAGTTCTCACCTTCTGCAACGAGCAGGTTAAGATACTATTATGGAAACTAAAGTCGCATTTCCTTTTGGCTGCAAAGCCCAGAATACGGGTCAATAGTGGTGCTGTCAGAGTTGTGGGATATGTGCCTGGTAACTACACTCAGTCAAATGGGAGTCTTAGGTTTTAGATCATTTTAAAGCAAAATAAAAAATAAAAAAAAATGTTTTTACAATCTATTAAAGATCTTCAAAACGAACATGTTTAATGTAAACTATTACAAGCAATACAGGTAATGTGTCTGCAAATAACAGACCTCTTGCTTTTAGCCATAAAATACTGACAAGACCCACTGCTGCCCAAACCCACCAAGACCTTCAGGTCCATTATGGCTCCCATGATACAGTTGGTTTGTGAGCTTCATCAGTTACTTGTTCCCCAGGTGAATAGAACAACAGGAAAAGGCAAGAGGGGAAGACTTTTCACTGTGGATATGAGGAACACTCAAGAGTTGCTAAGTTCACAAAAATCCTGCCATTATTGACTTGCAAACTCAAACAGTTTTTTTAATTTTTAAGAGTAAAAACGGCTATTAAAGCCCTTAATATAGAACACCAGAGACACGTTTAGCAAGACAATACAAGCAAGATAAAGATAGTTCATAGCGAAGAACCGATACGCAGTGGAGACTGACTCCAACACCAAAAATGTATCTCTTACTTGTGAGATCTTTTCGTGTTCGAGGCATCCGGTCCATTCCCGCAGTCATAGGCCTGAATGGTGAACGTGTAGTCCTTCTGTAACTCACAGTCCAACTTTTCCGTAGAGCGTATCACTCCTTCGCCAGTGGATTTGTCTAGCACCACCGCCTCAAATGGGACATCCTGGTCGTGAATCTTAAATCCACAGATTTCACCTGAAGGTTTTCACAAGTAAATGAAAATGAAAAATTACAGTGCAGAACACTCTCGAGCTTAACCCTTTCACTGACAGAAGCCATGACTGCAAGCTTATTCTGGCAGAAAAGGGTTAATTGTTCCAACTCAAAAAAGTTTTAAAAACACAGAAATATACACAACCAAAAATAATATAAAATAATAATTGTAAAGAAACATACATGGACTATTTAGCAGCCAGGGGTGTGAGAGACTGTGGGGCAAGGCAATAAGCACTGTGTTCTAATTAATGGTGTATGGGAGGTGGGTGAAGTTCAGAATATTTTAACATAAAAGCAGATGTCTGCCTGTCAAGCGACTCCAAATTATCTTGCATCCATACATGCAGGTATTACAAATAGTAAAAAAACAAAAACTTAGACAGGCATTTCACAGGAGTACTTAAAGAGTATTAAAATAAAAATAAACTAAAAAAGAAAGCCAAATAAAGACAAGAAACAATGAGGAGGAAAAAACAAAAAAATAAATTTAAAAAAACGCATGCAGCAAAGGCCGCTGGTATATATAAATTAGGAAAATAGAGATTTGCCAAGCAACGAGGCAAGGTCAGCACTATTATCAGAAATTCTGTTTAAAACAAAATCTGATGGGGAGGAAAAATAATAAAAAAATAAAATAAAAAAAAACATGAAGTCTTCCTGTGCAATGAACCTGGCTAAAATTAGGGAATCAAATGCAAAAAAATTCTGGATCACATAGAAATATCAATAGTTGAGACATCCAATTCAATAGCGAACGCGAAATGTCCTGAAAGCCATACATCAGACCTGACAGACGTGTACAGTGTAGACAGTAAAGATCGCTTGCAGCTCACCAATACCAAGAATAGCCCTTTGCTAAACAACCGAGGCTGAGGATTATGAGATATGAGGTCTAAGTTACAGAGAGCATTTAGCTATTCCTCAATATACTTTGCTAACATCTGTTCAGCATAGTTATTGCTATTTACTAAATAAAGAATGCCTACATTTCAAAGATGCCCGGAACAGTTGACTATGGCATCCAAGATTACAGGACCAGGTTTAATTGCCTTGACTTCAATGCAGGACTATATGTTAACCTTGTGAAAATATACAAATCCTGCTGGCTGGATGGAATGCACACGATGACAACTCTATTCCTGCATTCCATCAAGGCTCCTACATTTTACTAAACAATCTGCCAAGCTTGGATAAAACCAGGTATTTATATTCTGACACTATAAGCGGTCACTAAACCAGGTTTTTATAAGCTGTCAAACGAAGATAAAATCAACTTCTACTTCTGTAAGCCTCAGCCAAGAACTGGGTAAATGAGTAGGATGATATACGCAAACTAGAAGCAAGCAGGGCATCGACAAATGAAAATAGGGGAGAATTAACAGATGGAACGCCCTGATCTGGACCCAGCCACTCAGCTGGTTATAAAGAGTGGTATGGCCCAGCTACTCAGCTGGTTACAGTGGTATGGCCCAGCTGGTTCACAAAATGTGATTTTGTATATTATGAGGCCTCTGCAGTAGTGTAGTTAACACCATATTCTTTGCTTAGAAGGCTGCAACCCATTTTACAATAAACTGCTTTTATATTTGGGGTTCTTGTCCACAATGTCCTAATCACGGCCCATATGGAACACTGAAGCACTAAACGCACCCTGGCTCCCATTCAATAATTTGCCATTACTGTGCACTGAACACTGCTCTATTTACCAAGAGCATGCGGCTCATGCCAAAGTACCTACTGAAATGGATGTCTTACCACCAGATATTTCTACCAAAAGGGGTTGTCACATAGCAAGTCAATTTTCACTTAGAGATACAAAATTAAAATATATATATAAACAAACCAATAAAGAAATAAAAGGGGATCAGAGCAGTACAGGATCTTCTGTTTAACCTCTTCAGAGCCCTTATATAAGCAGACTGAAGGAGTTAAGTGCTGATTCCCCATTTTCAGAACCAAAAAAAAATGTTAGTGGGTTAATAAAGTCATAAGAGGAGAAAGAACCCTTTATCACCTTCTTTGGTGACTGTCACCTCAAAACTCTCTAAAGGGAGAAAAGACAAACCTGTGTCAGTAAATACAGGAGAGACGAATACAGACAGACAGTAGGAAATCAGTTCAGGTTAGAGCAGTCCACAATCCCCCATTCCATCCCTGCGGCCATAACGCTGTCACCAGACACTAGGGGGCACTATTTAGAGGGACCTTCGATGCATAGTGATGTAGCGTGTCCAAACAGTCCCAGAAAGGAAGCAGCATTTACTCCACCATGCTTAAAGGACCTCCCGCATTTCATGAAACTGAACAACGTAAAGAAACTCATTGTGGCTTCTAAATAAGGAAAGATATACACAGGTAGGTTGCTGTACTGTAATGGAAGTATGGAAGAAACTGCCTCATTCAGCCAAATAAAAGTGCTTTTGATCTTTTAATTATTAGAAGATAACCTTTCATTAAGAGCTATGACAAAGTGTGGTTTCACCTTATATTTAGGAAAATACAGAATTCTCACAAATTAATGGAGAACATAACTTTTCAGGATTTTTACCAATTTACTTACTCCTTAGATTTAATAAATATGTATTTGCAAGGTCTGACAAGTAACATGTAGGAATGCACGCAGTTATACTTACCTCTATGCTGGAAATGCAGAGCCTCCATCATGGCTGCCCGTCAATCATTGTGATAAGCCCTGTCCTTTTCCGTCATTAAGGAAAAAGACAGGGCTTATCACAATGATTGACGGGCAGCCATGATTGAGGCTCTGGTTTATATATTGTAGAACGGTTTAAAAATTGCATGAAATTTGGAGAAAAAGCATGACTGACTTGGCACTCCATGGAAGATTTAGATACATAGCATGGTTGTACTTAACCCTGCGTGGTCGAGGGCACAACAGGACCGCCACAAAAAGCTGGAGTACCAATGGCTGGAAGATGTTAACCCCATTCATATTGACCTTGGCCAACCCTCCTCCCCTTCCCCACCATCACTAATCTGTATGTCAGGTCACTACAGCCCACAAGCAATCACACAGCTGCTCTTAAAAAGTACAGGAGATTTAACCCCAGAGGAACTACATGGCAATTTGCAGATAAAACACTACCTTTAACTAAAGGAATCATGTTCCATTCCACAATATTATTTATAAAAAATAAATAAAAAGACCAGTTTGCTATAAAATAAATAAATCACAAAAAATTAAGAGAGAGAGATTTGGAGATGTTTAATTTGCCCTGGGAAAAGAGAAACTGTTACACCAGTTCTTTTTAAAAATTTGTGGTAAAAAACACTCAGTACTTGAAACAAGTCAGAACGAATTACAATAAATAAGATCTGGACAGTCATTTGAGCTGCATTTTCTTTGTATCCATCATTTAGCTAGTACTCTGAATGCCAGCCCCCACTATACAGTGGGACCTCTGTTTACGAATTTAATGCGTTCTCCGGGACGTTTCTTATTGTGAAGAAATTGGAAACCAAAACGTGGCTTCCCATAGGAATGCATTAAAAACCAATTAATCCGTTCCAGAGGTCAGAAAAGTCAAAATGAGCTGGCATGGAAACCAACCCACAATGCAGAACACACAGTAAAAGGCATGCAAACGACGAAGCTCAGCTCCCTAACTTTCCACAGCTTGAGAAATGCACAAAAAAAAAAAAAAAAACTAACAATTTCCAGAATGGCTCCAAAACTCGATGCAAAAAACGCCTCAACACTCGACGCCACGTGCCACCCACAGGCTCCAGCATGCAGGGGACGGCAATATAAACCTCTCAAGCGCAATGCATCCTGGGGAAACTTGCTTTGTATTGCGAAAATCATTTCTAAACTGAGGCATTATTTTCAATGGATTTTCATTTGTAAACCGAGGCGTTTGTAAACAGAGGTACAACTGTATTTGTCCAGCTGTCCTCACAAAGCTAGCTGGCCTTAGCCCGGTCTATGCTGCCCCCTCCCCCCCAATCATACATGGTTGCACATCCTGGAAGTGGGAAGGTAAGCAAATTATATTTAAAAAGGCATAATGTTTAAAAAGGAAATCGAGGAATAATTTAAATAAAATATTTTACTGATTTATGCCACGCTACATACAACACCCAAATATTTTATTAATTACATGTCGGCTCTTTATAATAAAGCAGTGACACTAAATGGTGGGTGGTCTTCCCAGGCACTCTGTAATGGGTTAATGGGCGGTCTTCACCTGCCTGGTACAGCACACACCAGATGTTACTGTTAAAAGACAGTCTTCTTCTATGAAAGAAAATTGAATTGGTGTGACAATTACAAGATTTGCTTCCCCACTAAAAGGACAGTATGATGAAAGGTTAGAGAGGACCATGTATGGAAGGCACAGTCTGCTAAGATGTTTTATCGGGTCCCAGGAGAGTCCCTGAAATGTTAGAATAATACAGGCCTCCGTCTGATCAGTAAAACTGCATCAAAGGGGGCTGGCTGCATAGACAAGTCCATGGCCCCATTGTTCGTCAAAATCACTGATGGATGCGTGCAGAGAATTATACAGTGAAATAAACAGATCAAGGGGGTGGCTAAATGAGTTCCCATGAGACCTGAAAACAGGAGTTTGAAAGACTCAGTCTAAAAATGTCCACAAGCACGTACGGATATTGGGGTAACTTTGCAGAATTAGTGTTGAGAGGATGTAAAATGTACAGTAAATTCACAGTACTTTATGATGCCCACGTATTCTACAGGTCACGTTCGTTTGTGCCGTTTTACTGTACATATGTATTCAATAATTAGCTAGATGGAGAAATGTATAGATCGCTTTGGGGGCATTAGAGAAGGCCACATGAAGAAACATTTTATTTGATTTATTATATACAATTTATTATGTGAAGAAAAAAAATAAAATCAAATCCTGTTTTTTGGAAATTTAAAAAAAAACAAAACAACAAAAACAACAACGCAACCCCTCCCCCATCCGATAGTTGGTGCATAAATTGAAACGTAACAATTAAATTTGCAAGTGACCTTCACATGATCTGTAGTTCGGTCCCATTCATCCCACGGACACACGAACATGAAGTGGTTTTAAAAGCCTGAACAAGTTTTAACCAAAAACATCGCACCTGCTTATGTACTCCATTAACCAGTGTAGTCTGCGGCCAGGTCTCAGCCCAGGCACATGGGATCCTAATGTGGGTTTAATCCGTGGCCAGGTCTCGCTTGGACACATGGGATCCGAGCCTGGGTTTAAAGCGGCACTGTCATGCCGAATCCTGGGTTTTTTTGGGTTTTTTTTAACCGGCCTCCACTATCTCTGACACCCTAGTCACCCCCCAAATGCCCCTAAGCCCCCCACATGACCTATTTTTTATTCCTTATTTTCTGCCCCGATCTATATTCAGGGCGCCGCCATCTTTGTGTGGGTAGATAGATGAAGTCCCTGTGGGACACGTCATCTGCCCACACTAGATAGCCTGTGAGATTCCTGCACATGCGAACGGGAATTTCATCTATTCATTCATCAGACAGATGAATGAATGAATAGCATTTTCAGACGAACAAACTAACACTGTATTGGTGTATCAGTGTTCGTTCAGTTTATTACAAGGAGGGAGCTACCGGCATGCAGCTCCCTCCTTGTAATATGTAAAGATAGAAGCGGCAGGGAGCAGTGCTCCCCACCCCTTCATAAGCCCCCCAGAGCCCCCCTCACTCTATGGGGGTCAATATGACCCCCATAATAGCACAAGGGAGATTAAGATCTCCCCAATGCCCCTACTCGCTATACCGTGAGTAGGGGCATGTCCACTAAACAGTGAGCAGCCTGAGGCTGCTCACTAAAAAATAAAAACTATTGGCCCCCACCCCTAAACGACGGGTGGGGGCCCTAAATTAAAATAAGGGGGGAGACCTATTGTCCCCCCCGGTCCCCACCCCTGGGCGGCAGGTGGGAGCCATAATGATAATGAGGGGGGGGGACCTACTGTCCATCCCCACCTCCGGCCCCCGCTCCCGGGCGCCGGCCAAATGATAATGAGGGGGGGGACCTACTGTCCACCCCCCCTCCCTGGGCGGCGGGTGGGGGCCATAAAGATAATGAGGGCGGACAGGACCTACTGTCCCCCCCCCACCCCTGGGCGGCGGGTGGGGGCCCCAAGTCAAATTTCCCCCCCCCTCCCCCATCAAAGGTGACTAGGGGTCCCCAAGCCCCTAGTCACCCACCCCCCACCCAAATAAAAAGTTCCCTACCTACCCCCCTCACCCTAAAAAATAGTGAGGGGGGAATAAAATGTAGAGCCTAGGTATAATCCATGGCCAGGATTTGCACAGCCATGAGATCCCAGCCTGGGCTTAATCCGTGGCCAGGTCTCGCACAGACACTTGGGATCAAAGCCTAGGTTTAATCCGTGGCCAGGTCTCGCACAGACACTTGGGATCCAAGCCTGGGTTTGATTCCTAATCACAACCATTTGTATACAACTGCATCCCGTAACCTTGCTTTAACCAGGTCCCGGACCTATTGATTTGACATGCGCATCTTTAACTTAACAGGTCAATTTAGTGAACCCATGACAAAAAAATAAATTAAAAAAAATAAATAAAAACAAGGACACAAGTGCTGCACAGAAATACCAAAAGGAGTACATACATGACCGTGCCAAGAATTTGTGGGAGGCTGTAGAAAACACCAGAGAAAGGGCTATGGAAAATAGGAAATAACACCTGCTCAAAACGTTAGTGTACCTGGCTTTTTAACCAACAAAAAAATGGCTTAGTACCAGTGCTAAACATATATATATATATAAATTTCTAGATACACACACCCCTTTAGGTAAAAGATCTACAATGATGAGATTCCACGTGGCCTTCCTTCACTTGGCAGACGGCAGGTGACCGCCCATCAGAAACAAGATGACTTATTCGAAGTATTGAGCGCTGTGACAGGATGGCTCAGCGTCGCCTGTGGAGCCTGTATAGTGCTAAGAACCAACACGTTGAGGCCTGATGCTCACTTTTAGACCACGGCTCCCGAGAGAAACAAAGAGAAGAACGATAAGAATGCCAACCACCAGAAAGAGAGGCAGCGCCCTCAAGGAATATGGGAGCCTTTGATTGCCAAGTCACATGATCTATCCTGCAGCGAGGAAAGGCAATAATATGCGCTCATTGAAATTCCAAGCACACCACCTCCTTCAACTCTCAGCTTATTCTCTGCTTCTTTTCTTCCAGGGGGAGCAAATATTCACTCATTTAAACCTGCATGAGAGGCCGCTATACTGATCATACACCAAGTCCGGCGGAGTTAAAAGGCAGAGATGCTCTGTGACAGTCTGGCAATGGAGACTATTAATCACTTTACGGAGTGTGGCCATTACACCACCAAGCAGAATCGAAAACAATCATCTTCCAGAGTAACCTGCAGAGGTGCAGAAATACTCAATGAAAATTGCATTCTAAAAAGGAATGGGGCTGGATTATAATGTTATCCGATCTATGCCAAGCAAGGCAAGATTAAATCCCCTGCCTTAAGCCTGGATATTTACCACCTAAATTCATCTCCAGAAGGGCGGTGGTTAAAGAACCATTCCAGAAAGATCCTAGGTGTTCCTGATCGTGGCTAACATTCACCTTGCAGACACCAGTCATACCATAGCAGTACATACTGTGCGAGAAGGATTTAGTAATGAATACTGCAGTCGGCGAGAGTGAAATAAACACAGAAAAACACTGATCATTTCTCCAAAAATCTATTTCAATGAACAACCCTTCATATTCTGTTTAAAGTTTCTGTGCCATTCTCTGCAAAACAGATCTATGAATCTACCTCCTGGACAGGTAACAATGAGAGAACAGCGCAGGTAATCTAGAAAGGGGCTCAATAGGATAATCCAAATCTCAGCATCATACTTCCAGTCTATGGAAACACAGAGCAGGCAGTGAATGTGTTAAATGTTTAACTATTAAGAGCCCATTACAACCCATAAAGTATCATTCTGAATATCATCATAAAATACCAACAATTCATAAAATGTAGCATTTTATTTGCCAATGCTTACAGCAGATCAGGAGCATTTCATTATGTTGCTGTAGTCATAAGCACAGTCACAAATGTGTTACACTGCCTTAACGTCCTTTCCAAATGCAATCGAGTTCTCAAACTGTTGCTATGGTTCTGATAAATGGAATTTAAGTTGCATTACATTAGCACAATAATTGGTGTACACCATCATCTTTGTTTTGGGTTCCCCCGGCTGCAAATAGCCATAGTCCACTTTGTTTCAGCCCTGGAAATGTCAGATCTCTGAGTTGGAGTACAGCTGGCTGGAAGTCGGTCACATTCCACAACACATTCCAGCCTGCGCCGCAGATTACGTCAGCATCATTCCCAGCCAAATAGCTCAGCGCTGGAAGAGGAGATGGGAGCCTTCCACTTTTTATTTATACACACAGACACACACACACACACACACACACAAGCAGCTAGAAAATAATCAAAACTGCCCGATTCACATGTTTCAAATAAAATACTGTGGTTCAAACCACGTGATTTAAAAATAAATAAAAATGCTCAATAGAAAACAATGGTAAAACAAGCACGTAGCTTACATATTAGAACATAAGCTTGCCAGATCTGCCATGCAAACATGCATGCACCTTGGTGGCATAGACCATAAAAAAAAAATGCAACGCTGCAGCATGTAGCCTTCACATGGCGCAGCCAATGAACCAATCCAGGATATCTCATTCTGCAGGATAGCACTTTCCCGCGTCTTCCAACAGAATGTAAAATAAGAGATTGTGTCCTGGTAGCATGTTCTAGCTGGGACCCTTAAGGGCCTATTCACTAAATAGCAATTGGTAGTCAATGGACAACCAATTGCAAAGTTCAAACTAAAGCCATGTGACTATAGTGCAGCTGGAAAATATTAGTACTATTAATATTATACGTGTTTATTGCGGTTAAAGCTTGCAACGCGGTTTTCATTTTTGTTTTGCTGTTTAGTGAATAAGCCCCTTAGAGCATTTTTCACATAATAGTGCGTTGCAAAAAGTTGAGCAGTGACACAGTTTAGCCCAAAATAAAACTGGAGAATAATCATAATTTGCCAAACTGGAGATTTTTTCTCTCTGCCATTTTGCTACATCAAGCAACTTGGTTGTTAACTCACCTCAACTTACTGTCTGATGAATAACAAAAGGTGGAATAACGATTGTGAGGATAACCTACGATCTTTAAGAAGCTTAAGAAGTGCAGATATCAAGCAAACTGTGAAAGAGACTCCATGTTCCATGATACAGAGAGCAACAAATATAATAAAAATGAATAAATACAAAATTAAGTTATAGCACGAATATAGCACAAATACAGATAAGAGTTTTGCGCAAAAACACAGATAAAAGTAGTTATGCTAAATGATAGATGGAGTGAGAGTAGAGAAAAATAGATAGAGAACAGTAAAACCAAGTAGCTCTATAACTGGAAGGAGGGTCACCAGTCCTCTATAGGTACACAAAATAGATAAGATCACTTATTAAAAATGAAGTTAAAACCAGCAGTTTTGATCACAACCAGTGTAAGTGTGCAGGCGCTTAATATGTGATATTAGCTGCAAACACGTCACACTATGAGCAGAACTGACAAACAAACCAGAATTAGTGTTGTGCTAAAAAACCTTATAAAAAGGTGAATGAAGTTGAGATGAATTATTTTAAAATTGCAATATGTAAAGCGCAAAAAATGCTTGTAGTACCTTAATGCAAACATCGAGATTATAGCTTTTATCTGGAAATAAATATAATGTAACTAATTGGGTCCCCGTGGGTTTTCTCCTCTTATTTTCTCTGGTTTCTGCCGTTGCTATAGAAAGATATACACTAGAATGGTGTGTGGTTCACCCCGCTCCCTACAAATCGCTGGGCTATTTAGGCTCTGGGTTATGTGAGTGCGCTAGTTTGTGGAGGAGGGGAAGGGAGTGTTGACAGGGCAGTTCTTTTTAACATGTATATACAATGGATTTGTGTGTATATTCTTTTGTAGGATATATCGATAAGGAAATATATGTTTTTTTAGAACTTTATTGAATAAGACTCTTTGACCCGCCTCCAAGAACATATGCCATACTAAAACATAGAATGTGACGGCAGATAAGAACCAGTCGGCCCATCTAGTCTGCCCAATTTTCTAAATACTTTCATTAGTCCCTGGCCTTATCTTATATCTGGAAGAAAGCAGAAGAGAAAAGGGTGAGAGCACAAACTCTCAGTTATATATTTTAACTTTTTGTTAAGTATTCACATATGGATCCTATTCCCAGTAATAGTATTTAACTGTGGACCCTGTATACCGTGAACATAAAACACAACATAGTGTGTACTGTTGTGACAAAAATACAATGTAGTAAAAAGATAAAGCGCACTCACAATTTCTAGAGCCAGATAAGTTAGGCTCTGGACTATAGAGGCATTTCATCCACTCTTGAGATAGCAGGATCTGGTTGCTCCTTCTAGATATTCTCAGACTTGGGAGTCTTTATCAGGAACTCAGGAGCCATATGTAGTTCATTTTAAAAAAGAATTTATTACATCAAAGTATATAAAATAGCTAGCACAACGCGTTTCAACCTGCTTTGGTCTTCCTCAGGTGCAGTAAGTCTTACCTATAGCCAGCACACACACACACACATTATATAATATATATATATATATATATATATATATATATACACACACACACACACACACACACACACACATACATATCTCCATCCCCCTGCTAGGTATGAAAAACAGGAGTGGCTGCGGCAAGTTGATGTCCAAATATAGCCTTAGCCAGGAGTAGCCCGCCACCATGAAGATGGTGGTACTTCCGGTTTTGGCATTCTTCTAAATTACCACTCAATATGAATGACAAACTTCCTATTCATGATGTTACACATTGAGCATGAAGTCTTATTTCTGTCCTTGTAATAGATTCTTCCGGGTTACCAAGATGACGGTGCGTTAACTTCCGGTGACACACTGCCACTCCATTCCGGAGCAGTCATTCTTTCTTCTCCTCCGATTGGTCTAATGAACTCCGCCCACCTTCAGACATTAGTATTAATGTTCTAATAAGTGAAAGTCCCCATATTGTCCAGAAAGGGGCACATGGTATATCTGCATATGATCATCATTGTGTATCCCCAAAACTCCATTTTGGATGAGGGCAGAAAGTCCAAGTAAAAATATATTATAATATATATATATATATATTAGAAGATCGAGAATAAAATGAATGTTACAGATTCCATATCCATAAAACACTTCTATTATATAGAAAAAAACTGTTATAAAAACTATTGTAGTAAAAAAAAAATTAAAAATTTAAAAATATATTTAAAATACAAATATTTTTAAAAATAGGATTTTTGAAAAATAATTATATGTCTGTATTCACTATATGGGGTAGGATATTATAAGTGGATTTGAGGTCATAAAATCGAGTTAATTTCAAAATCAATATTAAGTCCTCTCGGTGTTAAAGTGCACATTTCAAAGATCCACTTCGTTTCCTGTAGACTTCATTTTTTGTCTAAATCTCCTCCTCTCCAGTGCATAGTGACTTTTTTGGGTCAAAGTTATGCTTTTCTAAAACCTCACTGTGGTTGGCAAAGCTTCTCTTAACCCCTTCAGGACCGGCCTGTTTTGGCCATGTTGTACGTTAAGGACCAGAGCAGTATAACACTTTTGTGGCGTTTGTGTTTAGCTGTAATTTTCCTCTTTCTCATTTACTGTTCCCATACAAGTTTTATATTTATTTTTTTCAGGACAAAAAGGGCTTTCTTTATATACCATTATTTGTATCATGTCATATAATTTACTTTTTTTTTTTTTTTAAAGGGTGAAAAATTTAAACAAAATAAAAAAAACATGTTTACTTACCTAGGGCTATAAGTACAAATAGGAAATTGCGGTAGATAGGGCTATAAGTTCAAATAGGAAATTGCGGTTTCAAAATATATATTTTTTAAATTTATCAATAGTGACATTGTCACACTTATCTGTCAAATATCTGAATCACACCCCACACGTACATATATTTTTTAAAGTAGACAACCCAAGGTATTCAATATGGGGTATGTCCAGTCTTTTTTAGTAGCCACTTAGTCACAAACACTGGCCAAACTTAGCATTTATATTTGTGTGTTAAAAATGCAAAAAACAATTATGAACGCTAACTTTGGCCAGTGTTTGTGACTAAGTGGCTACAAAAAAAAAAAAAAAAAAAAAAGACTGAGGGTTAGGGTTAGGGTTGAACCGATCCTGCAGTCTGGAGGTCACCGGTGTGGCCGACAAAATGGCGCACGACACACACGCCTCAGCCCTCTGCAAGGCCAGGAGAGACACGGCGCTCCGACTCACCTGCATATTCGACTCCTTTTGGGAGCTGGAAAAGCTTGAGTGGCCCCTGGAACCAGGGGCCCAGCCTGAAGGTACGCCACACGGCCCGTTACGAGAGGCTCAAGAGAGGGTCCCAGCACGCGCCGTTAGCTCCCTTCCCGGGCTCCATAGATGCTTGAGAAAGATCACCCCGATATCGGATGCCCGGAGCCACACTAAGGGCAAACACAACCAGGCACAGGCAAATACCAAGGGGACTCCTACAGCACAGAAAACCACCTCGCTTACCGGCAGTGACACAGCCTAAGAGGGGCAATGGCCAACACATCCACACAAGCAAGTGGCAGACCACGAGGCCTAAAAAGGCGGCAGCAGCAGCACGACTCCACAGTCACAGCTACAACCAATGATTACATCAACAGGTGGGAACCACAACTGGAGCCACACTATACTTACTGAAAAGGCCGCCTGCCCACACTGAGACACTCTTCTTCCACACTGCTGGACCAAGGGGACAGTGGCACGCACCATTGCGGCAACTAACAGCGCAGTGGGAGCACACCCAGCCCCAACAAGGCATCCCACAGGACTGGGACTCAATGTCAGGCAAAGTGCCCAATATCCCTTACATTGCAATGAACCCTCACGTCTGTATGCATGCAATTCAACATCCTTTTTTGCTCATGCCAGGGACTGCAGGGGGTATAGCTCGAGAACAAGCGATTACATGCTAAGCATATCTATGTATAGCCTCGCTATTCGGTTTTATTGGTTAGTTCAGCATGCTTACCTTTCACTAGATATAGCCTATCTCCTGTGTGTCTGGGAGTTCTCTAGTTACTTTTCAGCTTAATTCCTGTGTTTGTGTAGACATGTCAGCCTAGTTTGCTTCACTTTTATTACACCTCATGTCTAGACAGCACTCTTAGCTAGCTGAATATTGTGAAGAACGCTATTGTGGTCATGCTGGTTTACTATGATGTTACCATTTCATTTTCTCCTGACAAATAATTTTCAACTGTTTATTAAACATGTCCACTACATCTGTTTCTTCCTAGGCATTCAACAGTCATTACGCTCCACTACGCTCCTATTCATGTCTTGATAGATTGTTCATTTTGCTTATTATAATGTTACATTTATCTATATACAAAAAGATGCAACACACTCAGACATAAGCTGATCACCTTCAATGTCTATCTATGCATCTCAAAAAAAAAAAAAAGAAAAGAAAAGACTGGACATACCCCATTTGCAATACCTTGGGTTGTCTACTATTGCAAATGGTATGCCATCATCGGGGTAATTCTCATTCCTGGGCTACCATACGCTCTCAAAAGGCAACATAACCAACCTGGCAATTTTTACTGGAAAAATATTTGAATGGAAAACGTATCAACAATTATATCGTCAGTGTAAGTGTTGTTTGTGTGTGAAAAATGCAAAAAAACGTCACTTTCACTGACAATATCATTGCTGTGATATGTTTTACGGTTTTAAAACACTAATATCTGTGCTCAGCGAAGTCTATCGAGTAAAACAGTACCCCCCATGTACAGGTTTTAGGGTGTCATAGAAAGTTAAAGGGTTAAATTTAGTGCTAGCAAATTAAAATTATCTGGACTTTTGGCCTGGGTTGTCAGGCAGGTCCCGCAAATTGTAATCAATAAAACGACCCAATTATGTAAAAATATTACATAAATACGCACATAGAATTTAAATATATATACACATATTTATATATTTGAAGTCTACGTGTGTGTATATATATATATATATATATATATATATATATATATATATATATAAATAAAATAATTTATGTAATTATGTAATGTATATGGATATATATTTCGTATTTTGATTTATTTATATATACACATAGATGTATATATAATTTCATTCTAAGTGTATTTTGATATAATTATATTAATATCAAAATACAGTTAGAATAAAATTTCATATTTTTTATTATTTTTACGTTTAATTTACATGTGTGTGTGTGTGCGCGCGCATACAGAATTTAATAAAGATCCAGTAAATAGATAAAAAAGAAAAATATAAATTATTTTTAAAGACAGGAATTGAAACAAAAATATCAAATATGGGTGAATTTTCCTTTTTATTTTTGGAACATCAAAGGGTCCCTGTAATTTATGCCTTACCAAAACTTCCCAAACACCCGATTAACCCTCCATAGTGGCTCGGGGTCGCATGGCTCCGCGCAGGTCTGTAGGTCCGTAACACGCGCCTGCAGTTTGGGAGCAGCTGCTGTTGAGACATGTACTGAGTGAGGTCTGATTTATTTTAAATATAGATTTAATGATGCAATTTATTAAATAGTCAAAGTAAGGGATTCTGTTCCCATCCAAAATAAGAAAAAAAAAAAAAAAGCTTTCGGTGTCTGTGATCCAGCAGCTAATAGATCCAGCAGGCTTGGGGACACCTAGTCACCTTGGGGAAGGGGTACATTTTCATTTATGGCCCCCACCCACTGTTCAAGGGTAAGGGACGACAATAGGTGCCCCCCTCTCATTCTTCTTTAGGGCCCCTTTAGGGACCTATTGTCCTCCTCCCCCCCCCTCAGGGGTATGGGCAAGGGGGGGGAGGAGGACAATAGGTCCCCCACATTCTCAGTTAGGGCTTCCACCCACCATTCAGTGGTGGCTATAGGTCCCCCCCTCAGTTTAATAGCCCCACTCACGCAGCACAGGTGGGTGCTCGGGAGGGGGATACTAGGGTTTTGTTTTTTGTTTTTTTAACAGTGAGCAGCCACAGGCATAGCGAGTGGGGACATTCGGGAGATTTTAATCATATTGACCCCCATAGAGTGAGGGAGGACATGGGAGGGGGGGGGCTTAGGAAGTGGCGGAGGGGAGCACTGCTCCCTGCCACTTCTTTTTTTAAATTTTACAAGGAGGGAGCTGCGTGCCAGTAGCTCCCTCCTTGTAATAAACTGAATGAACACTGCTATTCGGTGTGTGTTTGTTCGTGACATTTCTATTCATTCGTCTTTCAACGAATGAATGGATGAAATTCCTGTTCTCCCGTTTAACTGGGCATGTGCGGGAAATTTATAGCGCTATATAATGTGGGCAGATGACACTTCCCCACACACACATGCCTGCCTCCGTACCACCACTACCCTCCGTGCCAGAGCCTGCCTCCATACCACCACTACCCTCAGTGCCTGAGCCTGCCTCCGTACCACCACTACCCTCAGTGCCGGTCTCCGTACCACCACTACCCTCAGTGTCGGGCTCCATAACACCACTACCCTCAGTACCTAAGCCTGCCTCCGTACCACCACTACCCTCAGTGCCGGGCTCCGTAACACCACTACTCTCAGTGCCGGGCTCCGTAACACCACTACCCTCAGTGCCGGGCTCCATAACACCACTACCCTCAGTGCCGGGCTCCATAACACCACTACCCTCAGTGCCGGGCTCCATAACACCACTACCCTCGGTGCCGGGCTCCATAACACCACTACCCTCGGTGCCGGGCTCCATAACACCACTACCCTCGGTGCTGGGCTCCATAACACCATTACACTCTGAAAGTGCTGAAAATGAATGATGTAGAACAGGGGTGTCCAGACTTTTTTCAAAGAGGGCCAGATTTGATGAAGTGAACATGCATGAGGGCCGACGATTTTGCCTGACATTCTTTGAACCATTAAAATGTTATGCAAATTAACTATTTTAGGCAAAAGACATACTTTTCATTTAATCTCTTTATTCCGCCCCTTCCCGCTTTCATTCTGCCCCTTCCTTCTCTGCCTCCAGGGAGTAGGAACCAAATCCTGCGACGTTGACGTTCAAGAGATCGCAAGAACGCAGACTGAGGACGAGCAGTGACTGCACTGCGTTCTCGCGATCTTTTGGCCCCCAGTGGATCCCCGTGCACCACTCAGGAAGGCAGCTTTCAAAGATCCAGGGATCCTGAGCAGCGCTCGGGGATTCACTGGGGGCCACAACAGATAGATTAGGCAACTTAGCTGTGGGGCTGTATTAAACCGGAACGCGGGCCGGCCTTTGGACATGACTGATGTAGAGCAACAGACTGTGCAATATGCCTTTTATCCACAACTCTAAGTCTACCAGATCCTACAGTTACTGCTGCTTATAACCACTTTAGGTTACATATTATAGTGAGCGCTTAAAACTCCTTTTTAAACATATGCAGCTTAACTTGTCCGTGCAGAAAACATTTAATCTGTGCTTAATGGGCTTCTCACAATTTACACGCCACAAAACACCTACTAAGCAATGGCAGGACAATGCCGCGGTTATTCACTCTCCTGGGGGAGGGAAGCAAAAAGAAACAATGTTTATGATTGTGAGAAGATCAATTTATCCGACTCAGGCCTCTGAGAACATGCCACGGCCAGATCTCTGTGGCATAACTCACAAGAGACAACGGCTAAAGAGAATTTATGCAAGCGCTGGGCCATGAATAGCCTGAATTATCCCGTATCAGGTTAGATATAGACTACAGATTTCAGACAAATGTTACGCCATGAATGTTCTTTAAATATTCTAGCAGGTCTTTCAATCTATGCTGGAACTTTACAAGAGAGCATTTTTTAAGGACAAGGAAAGTTAAGCTTGATCAAGTACATGACTTGCACAAATTACATAGACATGGCAACCTGCTCATGTGAAGCTTGTCCCTTATTTTTCAAATCTAGATTATGGGAACCCTTCATGACAAAGGATTTGGCAAATGCTCTCTAATATGGCAAACATGGCAAGTGATCTTTAACCCCTTAAGGACACACGACATGTATGACATGTCATGATTCCTTTTATTCCAGAAGTTTGGTCCTTAAGGGGGTTATGAAGGTGTTAAAGAGTAAAGCTTAATTCAAAAAAAAAAAAAAAAATATAGGAAAAAAGACATGGCACCAGCGTCTGAACCCCTTTTTAGAATCGGTGCGATTATCAGATTGTGTGCAGGGAAGTAAGGACGTAGACTCTGCTGGCAACATATGTTTATTTAATTCACTTTTTCTACGGATATAACCAAGTGCTTTTTAAAGGACCACTATAGGCACCCAGACCACTTCGGTTTAATGAAGTGGTCTGGGTGCCAGGTCTAGCTAGGGTTAACCTTTTTTTTTTATAAACATAGGAGTTTCAGAGAAACTGCTATGTTTATAAATAGGTTAATCCAGCCTCCAGTGGCTGTCTCTTGACAGCCGCTAGAGGTGCTTGCGTGCTTCTCACTGTGAAAATCATTATGAATGCTTTCCTACGAGACTGGCTGAATGCGCGCGCAGCTCCTGCCGCGCATGCACATTCAGCTGAAGAGGAGGAGAGGAGGAGGAAAGGAGGAGGAGAGCTCCCCGCCCGGCGCTAGAGAAGGAGGTAAGTTTAACCCCTTCCTCTCCCCAGAGCCCGGCGGGAGGGGCACCCTGAGGGTGGGGGCACTATAGTGCCAGGAAAACATACTTGTTTTCCTGGCACCATAGTGGTCCTTTAAGGAAAAAAGGGTAAAACGGCTCCAAATGATTTTGAAGACAGGACTAGAATGTTCTTAAGGACTCATGACGATCTGGGATTCCTGGATATAGACGAGAACAGACCCAATGTGTCAAAGCAGCAGAGCAGAGTTTCCTGAACGAACAGTAATGTCTAGCAAGCAGGGAACAAGTAGAGGCATGGCAAAAGATTAAAGTTTAGATAAAATAGTGAAGAGATCTTAAGTGAATACGTGCTGTGTTCTAAATCAGAAAAAAATACTCATGGAAAACAGGTCTCACGGAAAGGGAAATGTACACACTTTAAGGAAAAAACCCACAGCACTATGAAAAGATTGTAAGATAAGAATCGGCAGAGAAAAAAAAAGCGTGGGCAGCATCAATTCAACAAAGTTATGTTTCAGAGCTCCTTTTAAAAATCTCTTTACAATTAACCAGTCGTTCATAAACTGCAAAGCTTGGTACAAGCAAAGTTTAACATTTACTCCATAGGGTGTGCTAATGAAATGCTCAGTAGGCAAACAGATTCCATTTATATAGTTGGATCTTCGCTAGCCATCTGTTAATGCTAGTTACCAAAATACATGTAATGGGAAAGCAGCTTTGTTTGTCTTGATTTCTTTTGTAGGTGTAGCTCACATGTTTAGGATTTAACAGGTAAAGATCACGTATTTCAAGCATCATTTCATTGTTTCAACACTAAAACTTTTCAAAGTTCATATTGAGTTTGTAGGTTTAGTAGCAGTTTAACCAAAAATGACATTAACATTTGTAAAAACAAATGACATCAGGGTCATGACACATTTCATACAGACCTTCAGTAAAAATACTTCACATACATGATTTGTGGCGTACACCGAGTAAGCCTGAATTCTGCATACATGTAATATTCAGATATACCGTGCCCTCACTTACCCCAATACTGCCTCTTACTCACAATCATTGGTAATATGAATGAACTGGAATCCTAGGGGGACTCGCCATAACTGACCCTGGCCTCGTTCCAACAATCGCTGCAAGTGAACCATATTCCAAATAACTTCTTCACTCGGGAACAAAACGTGAATACCTGCGGCAACTGCTCCAGTCTCACACGAAAGCATTTTGGAATGATTTAAAGGAGAAAGGTAACATTTAACAGTTGTGCTTTAAGCAGCACTGGACACTATACACCCCTGCTGTTTGCCAACTGAGAGTCATATTCTATTGTGATTCAAGATCTCTAAACACTGGGTTGTTACAAGAGAAATATACAGCCATTGGTATTTAAAGGGTTAATACCACACCGGCACATTAGGCAATTCTCAATGTAACAACAAGCTATGCTGGGAACAAAGATAATGAACAATAAAGAAAGCAAGTACTTTGCAACGGCACAGAGCATTAAATCAGGAAACTATAACGTGAGCACGGTTGGAGCCAACTGTACCCGTTGCTTGCTTGGCAGAGTGCAGAGGCCCAGAACACGTCCCTTTCTGCCAGGGGTCTGCAATCCAGCGTAGGCTCGGTTTACGGCTATGTATTAGTAGAATGTATGGAGAAGCAGAAAAGAACATTTTATGAACAGTTTGTTGACACACAGAGTGGAACAATTTCAAAGTGCATCCCTGCTCTTCCAAGCAGCGCTGTCTTGGCAGGGTGGCTTGGGACTGCCGGGAGCGAGAAGCCCACTCAGGCAGAAAACCCACGGTCTAAATAGAATCCTTTTTTACTGAATAGAGGAGGACAGGGCCAACGAGCTGATGTGTTTGGATAGCAGATTAGCCATCACTGCCAATCTACCAAGTACTGCCTCAGAGCACTCTGACCTCCCAACCTAGCGACAAACATGTAGAGCCATTCATTCTTCATTAACAATCATATTGAACACAGGAACTTCAACCAACTAATAACGCAAAGAAATAGTTAAGGATGCAGCAGACCAAACAAGACAGAACAAGTTATGCTACAAGTGAATCAAACACAATTTATAAAATATATCTGATTTGTCAGTTTCACTGGTAAAGACCGCTAGAAAAGCCCCTAAAGTAAAACCAAAGACCAGAAATAAAAATGGAGGTGGGAGACTGTGTACCTGCGTAACGTAATGGAGCATCTTTATCCAATGCGATCAGAGGAGGGTCCAACAAAACTGCATTATCGTTTTCTGTTACGATCCCGTGGTAAGTGGATTCAATCCATGGCTTATGCTTGTTGACTGTAAGAAAGAAAAACAAGTTGTTAAAACGATTAATAGGCGTTATTTCAGTTAAATCCTGAACATTATGCTTTCCATTCATCTTAAACCACATCGATCCTCAGGGAAAGAATATCCACATCCAGAACGGCAGTGAATGAAAACAGAAACTGCACATTTTAGGCTGAAATATCCAATCTGGGACAATTTTTAGCTATGTATTGCAATTTAGTTTTCAATTCCCCTCCATGTGCTGTTTAGTAAATAATCCCTTATGACTCTGGTGGGGGTATCTAAATATTTCAAAATAGTAAAATAGTGCAGCGCTTTAAATCTATAATTATCTAAATATTTGTAAAGCTAATAAGGACGTGAGGCAGAGTGGGTGAGCTTAGGGTGCAAGGAATCCCCATTTTTAGTATGATGTTTTAAAATCTGAAGAAATTAGATTTGAGAGAACTGCCTACAGCCTCCCAGCACTGTAACCACTTTAATAAATTGCTGTAGTAGATGTAGTTAAAGGACCACTATAGGCACCCAGACCACTTCAGCTCAATAAAGTTTTAACCCTGCAGCTGTAAAGATAGTTTCAGAGAAACTGCTATGTTTACATTGAGGGTTAATCCAGCCTCTAGTGGCGGTCTCCCTAACAGTCACTAGAGGCAGCTTCCGCGATCCTTACTGTGGAAATCGCATTGAGGACACGCTGACGTCCATAGGAAAGCGTCGAGTAATGCTTTCCTGTGGGCGGTTTGAATGCGCGCATGCGCATTCAGAACTGACGTCGGCAGGGTGAGGAGAGGTCACCAGCGCGGAGGAAGCCCGGCGCTGGATTAAGGTAAGTGGCTGAAGGGATTTTAACCTCTTCACCTCAGCGGGAGGGGGGGGACCTATTAACCGTATAGTGCCAGGAAAGGAGATTGTTTTCTTGGCACTATAGTGCTCCTTTAACCTGCAACGGTGAGTGTTTTCACTGAACGGGAAAATAATTGTAGCCGTCTCGGTGTTGATTCTAGAACACAAAAAAGTTGTTTTTAATTCATGGCGAAACAAGGAAAGTCCTTTGGATGAGAGTATCTTCTCTCTTTATTTTAACAGAGGGTTGGCCAAAAGGAGGATTTTTCAACTGCTGCACAAGCCAGAGAACTAAAAATTCCCACAAAGCTTTAAGAGACTCGCAACACATAATGGTAGGTGTAGTTCTGCAACAGCTGGGGACCATTTCCCTCGCCGCCCGTTTTAGTGCATTTTTTTGAAGCATGAAGGTGGCATCAAACGCAGCCTGCAGTAACCTTTTACCTACCAGAGGAAAGCGCGGCCAAAACGAAGACAAGACAAGTTTAAGCTTTTAATCTGATTAAGCACGTTTACATTTATACAGCAATCAAAGGTAAAGCGATAACCCTGTGACCTTTCTGTCAAATAACATGGAAAAACAACAGCTTGATCTCTCGCTACCCAAAAATCTATAAAACTAAGAGACAAAAAAAAAATACAACCACAACATACTGTCACATGCAGGTATTCCCTGGATTACGGACTCCCTCTTCCAACACAAAGTTTAAAAGCCCTAAATGGTGGGTGATATTTTCTCGAACAATAAAAAATGGGGAGACCTATGCAGGCTGAGGAAAGGAGCAGAAGCGCATTCACAAACCCGAAATAAACAGGAAAAGCCATTAAACGTCTATTTGGCAGGAAGTAACAAAAAGACCACACGTGTGATGCAGTTGCTACGGAAGCTCCCGTCGGCACTCTTAGCACTGGTTAGGGAGTGAAGGAATGGAGTGATCCGACGTCACTTCGTTCCAATGCCAGCGTGCCTAAGTCACGGACGAGATGCGCCCCAGCAGGACAAAGCAAAGAAGAATAGAGGCGGAGCGCAGGACGGCCAAGAGTTGGGTGTTACATGAAGAGTAACGAAGCGGCACTGGAAGAAAAGAGAGTAAATCTTTTGATTTTACTTTGAGTACACCATGTATCTTTAGAATATAAGTTGTATTCAATGTATATGGAAGCACTTTAAGGGAAGCCATTTTTTTCCCATTACAGGTTCACTTTAAGCAAACATCCCTGGAATGCTCTTATGTTTGTCTACAGCCCTATGAAGTGTTAATTCCTTGCAATACAAAAACTGGGCCATCATTGACTCCAGGCATTCCTGGCGCTAGTTTCTAAACGTAATGAATCCATGATCCACTAGGTTATTTTTAATCTGTTCACAGGACGAGGTGTGCAGCAGAGGTAATGAAAAACACTTTGGGGGACATTACACTGAGGAATTCCTACCCGATCGGTAGCTTTTTCTGACTTTCCGCTCAATAGTTTTCAAAGCGATCATGTTCCGTATTTCATGGACCATTTTACTGCCAGCACTACGGTTGATACTGGAAATGTTAGTGATCAAAAGAGGAAATAAAAAAAATAAAAAACACAGGACTAACCTATGATTTACTAAAGAATTACTAAATGTAATGCTTGATAGCTCAGGTTAACAGGTTTAAAAAAGCGCATTTCATTGGACCAGTCTTCTGGCTCAGAGCACATGCGCGCACTCTGAACAGAGCTCCGGGCTTCCTAAGTCACGTGTGTCAAGGTGCAACCAGCCCCCAGCACAAATGTGCACATCTCTCTCTGAATGTACAGCTTTTCAAAGAGAAACGCTACACAAACATTCTTACCACCATGACCACTTCTAAAAACTGTACTTTCCTTAGGCATTATGTAAGGTTATTGAATTTGATCATTTGTCCTTTAATTGATGGAACCGGTTATCAAGAAATCTTTAGTAATCACTGGGAGCATGTGTCATCAAGGGACAGGAGGTATTTTTTGGGAGTATATTCTATGAGAAGTGGGAAACCCAGCTTGAATCGCAGTCAGACAACCTCACTAGTAAGTGACCTTGAGCAACACACATAATATAAATCCACATACCTGAAAATCCTATGTTTGAGCCTTCTTCACCACTAAATATTCGCTTTCTAGAATTGTACAGTGTTGCGGAATATGTTGGCGCCACATAAATGCTAATCATTTAAATTCTACTCATGCAGAAATAGGATTTTTTTGGTGGCATCCGTATTGTCAAGTCTTTTTAGGTGTTGAATTCACCAAGTGTCTGATGGTCCCATTACAGTGTTGAAAACTCCTCTTAGGCAGGATTAAGAAGACTGAAACTTGAGTATTGGAACAATTCGTTTATTAAAGATCGCATGTGACCATAATGCCATGCTCGCTGGGTGGCCATGCGATGATGCCAAGTTAGTTCACAGCTTCACAGGGCAGCTGGGATTTACATTGGATGCCATGCAGTGCCGGAATTACCAGATAAATTATCAAAACCAGTGCAGCCTTTAAGTCTGATTCAGCTTTGATTGACTCAGCAGTATGTGAGTGGAATACTGGTATATTATTTGTGGTTTTTTGACATTTTAGAATACTACAGTATTAGCTGTGATTTTATGTTTTTGCAGATTTTTTCTTTATATCCCAAGAAGGGTAATGTTTTTATTTAAAAGGACACTGTAGTCACCAAAACAACTTTATCTTAACCCCTTCAGGACCGAGGACGGTTCAGGACTGTCATCGGCATTTTCCATTGCCGACCGGAGACGGTCCTGAACCGTCCTAATGGGCCAATGTACTAACCAGATTGCCGTCGTTCCCCCGGCGGTGCTCCCATTGTGGGGAGACTGCCTGCAGCCCAGACAGTCTCCCCATGGCGGATTAGGACCCCTGTGGCCATGTGATCGCACAATAGGTGTCCATGTGTCTGCCTGCAGGGGGACTGTCTGTGCTGACAGGCAGTCTCCCTGCATGAGTAAAATCATTAAAAAAATAAATGTTAATATTAATAAAAAAGAATAAATATATATTATATATATATTCATACTAAGTGTATTTTTATTTTACTATGTACATATATTAATATAAAAATACACTTATTAAATTACACACATATATAACTATATATTGTATATAAATATTATAAAATACAAATAAGTAATTTAAATTAAATAAAAACATGTAAAAATAAAAAATGTAAATATATATCTATATGAAATTTTATTCTAACTATTTTGATAGTTATAAATATATATATATATATATATATATATATATATTTATATCAATACACTTAGAATGAAATTCTATATATAAATAAAAATAATACGAAATATACATATGTCCATATACAAAATTACATAATTATATATACACGTAGACTTCAAATATATAAATATGCATATATATTTAAATTCTACGTACGTATTTATGTAATATTTTTACATAATTAAGTAATTTTATTGATTGCAATTTGAGGGACCTGCCTGCCAACACAGGCCAAAAGTCCAGAGAGTTTAAATTTGCTAGCACTAAATTTTACCCTGTAACTTTCTATGGCACCCTAAAACCTGTACATGGGGGGGTACTGTTTTACTCGATAGACTTCGCTGAACACAAATATTAGTGATTCGAAACAGTAAAACATATCACAGCGATCTTGTCAGTGAAAGTGACTTTTTTTGCATTTTTCACACACAAACAGCACTTTTACTGATGATATAAATGTTGTGATACGTTTTCCTGTTTTGAAACACTAATATTTATGTTCAGCAAAGTCTCCCGAGTATAACAGTACCCCCCATGTACAGGTTTTATAGCGTTTTTGAAAGTTACAGGGTCAAATATTTTTACACTGAAAAAGGCCAGGTTGGTTATGTTGCCTTTGAGAGCATATGGTAGCCCAGGAATGAGAATTACCCCCATGATGGCATACCATTTGCAAAAGAAGACAACCCAAAGTATTGCAAATGGGGTGTGTCCAGTCATTTTTAGTAGCCACTTAGTCACAAACACTGGCCAAAATTAGCGTTCAATTTAGTTTTTTACTTTTTTCACACACAAACAAATATGAATGCTAACTTTGGCCAGTGTTTTCGACTAAGTGGCTACTAAAAAAGACTGGATATACCCCATATTAAATGCCCTGGGTTGTCTACTTATGTAATTAAAGTTCAATTTACAGAGCAGGAGATAAAAACTGTTAAAGTAAGATACATCTGATTGAAAATTAAACTATTTTGTTTCTATGCAGGCTGTGTCAGTCACAGCTAGAGGAGGTAAGGCTAGGGCTGGATAAACAGAAAAAGTGATTTAACTCTTACATGGCAGAGTATAGAGCGGTGAAAAAAAAAAAGTATAATCTATAAACTAAAACTGCTTAATTAAGCTAAAGTTGTTTTGGTGACTGTAGTGTCCATTTAAGTTTGTGAGTGTAAACAACAAAAAGACATTAACCACAGACTCACACGCTCAGTCCATCACCTACTTAGGAAAAAAATAAAAAATTGAAATGGATCCCAGGAAATTCCCAGAATAAGACACACAAAAAGTACAGACACAAGGAGCCTTGTACAAATAAACAGTACGATTGCAAAAATGTTAAGCCGGGGGCCAAGGTTAACGTGTCCTATTCTAACGCACTTTTCTGTTGTGGCAGAAAAAAAAAATATATAATAAATATATATATATATATATATATATATATATATATATATATAACCCTACAACGATCAGTTTTCTCGTTGTGAAACATTCTGAAGGAATTTCAGATCCAGCATTGAAACAAGTTCTGCTAATGACTCCAAGGAACCTGTGGCCACTTACAATGACATCTCCCAGTAACAAAAACGGAAACTGTGCTTAGGTCCCGCCTATTGCCAAAATTATGCTCCCCATAAGAAAAAGTAGGTCATACTCTCGCTTATGTAAAAACATGGTGAATCAAAGAAGGATAGCGAAAAAAAGAAAAAAAAAAAAAGAAGAGAGAAATGGGGGGGTAGGGGAAAAAAAAAAATAATATATATATATATATATATATATATATATATATATATATATATATATATATACACACACACACACACACACACATACATACACATACATACACACACATACATACACACGTTTTAAGTTTAAATTTCATTCCACAGCAGTGGCATACAAAAATTTCAATCCTGAGTGTTTTTGCTGAAAATAAAATTAATAAGCCTCTTACCAGTGATGAGTGAGGAGGGTGGAATATTTGCGTAATGTCAAAGTGTTAAAAAATAATTTAAAAAAAAAAAAATCTGGATGTTCACACACTAATCCCAATACCGCAGTGCCTGGAGTGATGCTGCACACCCAAGAAAGTAAAAGCCAATTTGCAATTTTGGTCTCTGTGAATTTATATATAAAGAATGCTCACTACATTTGTCAACCTTGTGTCAAAGAAGGCTTGTAGCTGTAAGTGATTCACAAACTGTCATTTTTGTGTTTATTTAAAATAAGGCATGGAGTCTGATTTGGGGATATCAGCAACCAAAATATATAATATATATATATATAAATAACAAAAATATATTTTAAACCCTTAGTGTTAGAATAAAAGCAACAGCTACGGTTTATAAATCAGGTCTGTTTGGATTGTTAAGCCACTTCTTGACAGAAGCTTCAGAGACATTTTTTTTTTTAAACTTTTAAAGGACAAAATCTTGATACCAGAAGTATTTAAAGGACACGTTAGTAAATCAAAGATAAGAAACCTAACCACAAATCAAATAATGCAGCTGGCAGACGTGCATGAATTATATAGCAGCTCTGTGACTGCAGTAAATAAACTGACTCACTGCAGTTTGGCTCTGAACAAGGGCATGTGAAGTGTATCCAGACGGACTAAACGGGCACATTCAACGGATCAAAAACAAGGGTCAAAGCCACTGCAAAGCTCACAGATTAAAGAAGGGGACTGATGAAAACAATAGAAAATCCTGCAATATAAAACATGTTGCATGATAAGAAATCTAGAAAAAGCTAAATTTGCAGCTGTCAGAGCTGGGTTTGCCAGATACATAAGGTTTAAATGCTGCCCTGTGCCAATTGGCATCTTATTGCGCTGCTGGAGTTAAAGGACCACTATAGGCACCCAGCCCACTTCAGCTCAATGAAGTGGTCTGGGTGCCAGGTCCATCCAGGGTTAACCCTGCCAGCTTCAGAGAAATGGCTATGTTTAGCTATGGGTTAATCCAGCCTCTAGCGTCGGTCTCAATGACAACCGCTAGAGACGCTTCTCACTGTGATTTTCAGTGAGAAGACGCCAGCGTCCATAGGATAACATTGAGAATGCTTTCCCATGGACTGACTGAATGCGCACGCGGCTCTTGCCGCGCATGCGCATTTAGCCAATGACGTCGTAAGGAGGAGGAGAGTCCCCAGTGCCGAGGGAGCCCAGCGATGGGAAAAGGTAAGAATTTAACCCCTTCCTCCCCCTAGAGCCCAGTGGGAAGGGGACCTATTAACTCTATAGTGCCAGGAAAACAAGTGTGTTTTCCTGGCACTATAGTGGTCCTTTAACACAGTTTACGAATCACGGTAGTCTAAAATCCAATCTTGCTAAATGAATTCAATTTCTTCCTGTCCAACTTAATTCCACATTCTTTAAGGAAGCACTTTTCATGTACTACACATCAGCAAGAAGAATTGACATTTGTCAAGAACCGGATGGATACAGCAACCAGAAAATATTTAATAAATCTTCCCATAATCAAAGCAACACTCTCAAGCTATCACTGCCTTTGCTTGTACGGCATGGTAAGGCTAATATGGAGTAACACTCTGCCTTATCCTTACTTCCAGCACAGGAGCATTGTGCTCGGTGACCCTCATTCATTGCCAAATCCATACGCAATACCTGGGTGGCAAGCAAGACCCCAAGCCTAGGCAGTACTGCGCTGCTTAGGTCACCACATGCCTACACTGGAGTGGAAAAATTAACGTAACAAAAAACACAGCTCACTACTTGGAGAGTTATTCCAACTGAAATAATTTGGCCTAGATTTTTAAAATTCTGGAAAAAATTTCATTTGTGTGAATAACCTTGTATTTATAGCAGAACTTTGTGATCCAAAAGCAACAGAGGGATGCAGCTCCCTAAATATACCTGTGGTGGAATGGGTACAAATCACACACTGTAGCATGACTAATATTGGCCCTTTTAAAAAATTGGAATTGTGGAAATTTTATCTGCAACGAATCGACATTCATAAAGTGCTGCCGGGAAATCTATGCACGACTAGAAGGCTGAAAATCAATTAATCACTGCGGTTTCTCAACAATCCTCTCGAGTAGAATTGATTTCCTTCTGTGAACACATGGAGTTAAAGGACCACTATAGTGCCAGGAAAACATCCTCGTTTTCCTGGCACTATAGTGCCCTGAGGGTGCCCCCACCCTCAGGGTCCCCCTCCCGCCCGGCTCTGGAAAGGGGAAAAGGGGTAAAACTTACCTTTTTCCAGTGCTGGGCGGAGAGCTCTCTGCCTCCTCTCCTACTCCGATCCGCCCCGTCGGCTGAATGCGCACGCGCGGCAAGAGCTGCGCGCACCTTCAGCCGGTCGCATAGGAAAGCATCCTCAATGCTTTCCTATGGACGCTGGCGTGCTCTCACTGTAAAAAAATCACAGTGAGAAGCACGCAAGCGCCTCTAGTGGCTGTCAATGAGACAGCCACTAGAGGAAATAGGGGAAGGCTTAACCCATTCATAAACATAGCAGTTTCTCTGAAACTGCTATGTTTATGAAAAAATGGGTTAACCCTAGAAGGACCTGGCACCCAGACCACTTCATTAAGATGAAGTGGTCTGGGTGCCTAGAGTGGTCCTTTAATACAATGCTGGGGATGAGGAAAACATGTACTGAGGTAAAAAAGGCCAATGAACCCCCTATGAACAGCCAAACTATTAGCTGCCGTTTGTGTTCTTTCCTTAGTTTCTGTGATACTTTAAATCCTATCCCCGCGGTCGTGACGGCATGGACGAGATGTGTTCTAATCCGATTTACTGACAATATGTTGAGCTTCGGTTTCACTTTAGTTGCAGGTCGTGTTTCATTATGGTGGTTATACAGTTGTAGATGAAATGACAAACAAAGTAAAATTAAAAATATATTATATACCCCCAGAACTAAGTGAAGGAATATATAAAAGAAAGCTCTGTAAACCAAGTAAGATCAATTACGAATATTAGATATCCAACCCCCTAGGATATAGATAATAAGATGTCAATGAATAGCAGGCATGTCTCCCCTCAGAGGTATAACTCAAATTTAAAGTCTGGTTCCAATAGTACTTTAGTAGTAAGATGAAGTCACACAGAAAAGCTGAGCATGTCTCCACAATAAGTGGACCTCAGGAACTGAAGATTCTTGTATAGTTCCACCTCGTAAAAAAAAAAAAAAAGCGAACATGCAAATCACTAAAAGAAATTAGAAAAGTCCAACATCCAATGCGTTTCATCCCTCCTCGGGGACCTCTTCTGCTTTTCTTTTATATATTCCTTTACTTAGTTGTGGATAGAGATATAAATATATATAGATACACACACACACACACTTTATTTTTCTGTTATACGTTTATCGGGTGTGAGATAGACACCTCCGGTTAGCTCGTTTTATACCAAGTGATTTTCTTTATATGGTTTTAATAAAATGGTTGGTTTTGTACAATGATCTAGCTATGCAACACCAGCACTACTATGTAGGCTAGTCCACAAGGGCATGGGAGTTTAAAGATCACGTATGGACTAGCCTACATAGGAAAAACAGAGACACCCTTGTGAGAACGGATTAGGGGACATCAGTGCAGCATACAGGTAGCTTACAGGGATGGACACTGATCAATCAGTTGCAAAGTACCGTATTTTTCGCTCCATAAGACGCACCTCACCATAAGACGCACCTAGTTTTTAGAGGAGGAAACCCAGAAAAAAAAATATTCTGAACAAACTGTTCCATAGTGTTTCTTACCATGGGACAGTTTGTTCAGAATATTTTTTTTTCTCCCCTGTCCCATAATGATCTTTGACCCCCCTTTCCTCTGTCCCATAGTGATTGTTAACCCCCCTTTCCTCTGTCCCATAGTGATTGTTAACCCCTCCTACCCTGTCCCATAGTGATTGTTAACCCCTCCTACCCTGTCCCATAGTGTTCTTTAACCCCTCCTCCCCTTGTCCATTAGTGTTCTGATCCCATAGTGTCCCCCCCTCACATTGTCCCATAGTGCACTTTCCCTCCCATAGTGTCCCCCCCTGCCCTTGTCCCATAGTGTCTCCTCCCCTCCCCTTGTCCCATAGTGTCTCCTCCCCTCGTCCCATAGTGTCTCCTCCCCTCCCCTTCTCCCATAGTGTCTCCCCTCCCTTTCTCCCATAGTGTCTCCTCCTCTCCCCTTGTCCCATAGTGTCTCCTCCCCTCCCCTTGTCCCATAGTGTCTCCCCCTCCCCTTGTCCCATAATTACTTACCTGTCTTGGAGCGTGGGCCGGCTTCACAGCGCGCTCTGCGGTCCAGGAACTTCTATTTCAGGTTCCGGTTTCCGGCGGGACTGAAAGGAAGTGTGCACACTTCCTTTCAGTCCCGCCGGAAACCGGAACCTGAAATAGAAGTTCCTGGACCGCGGAGCGCGCTGTGAAGCCGGCCCATGCTCCAAGACAGGTAAGTAATTCTTCACATTCGCTCCATAAGACGCACAGACATTTCCCCTCACTTTTGAGGGGGAAAAAAGTGCGTCTTATGGAGCGAAAAATACGGTACTTTTTGGACCAACACCACCCACAAACATCCTTTAAGTTTGTTGGTCCAGACCACATTCCACTACTCAAGCGTGGCAGAGACCGTGGGAAATTGTTACTTAATAGAAAACAATTTGGATTTTTGAGTTGAATACAGTTCATCTCATGCTTTTCTGTGATCTAAAAAAAAAGTGCAAAAGTTAGGTGCTCACTAGATACAATAGAAAGGCAGCAAGTCTTACATGGATTCCCCAACCTTGTGAAAACATTTAAAATAAACAAATAGGCTGCGCCTAAAGAGAATCAGTAACGTCACGGCAATAAAAAAAATATATATATACACGTACACTATTTTCCAAAAATTGTGAAAAACGTTTTAACAATAGGCTAAAATATAATCGTGTAACAAGGATACACTCACACTTTGTAGAGCTACTGAGAGCTCTGCTGTTTTCAGTGTGGACGGTATTATCCCCGTCTAAGGATATAATGCAGCATTGGTAGTATTACCTACCTGCTGGAGTAATGTGGAAATATCCAATGGTACAATACAGCAGCAGAAAATATTATAGATTTAAAAAGTAGCCATCATCCCACTCACATTTTCCAGAGCATGGACCTGCTCTGGTGTTTAGAACATTGGTGGTATAATCCCCACCTGGGATTTGCAGGACCAGGAAGCCAGTAACAGAGTTAAAAAAACAAAATAAAGTTAATCCTTTTAAATTTAATTACAATATAAAAAGCAAGAAATAGTACAGAAAATATAAATATACTATAAAACCACACTTTACATGTTTCACCTTGGGGTTTCATAAGAAGTGTGGAGGTTCTGTTCACAAAGTCAGTTTATATAGGTTAAATAATTATACATTAATTACATCAGCTGTTGCTTCAAGTTCCTGGTTGGCTTCATTTCACTAATTACTTCCGGTTCAGGTTGTCCATAATACATACTCTTTATTCATTGGTGTTCTAGTGTATTAAAATATTTAAACATATAGAATGTGTGCGAGCGTCACTGGAAGTGACGTATCGCGCGTGTCCACAAGTCAGACTGACTCTTTTCATTGGTGGTACAGTAATAGCGGTATAGACTGCATCAATGAAAAGAGTCACGCCGAAGACAGCAGAGCTTATTCAGTATCACTGCACTTTATTGTTTCACTACCTTATCGATTTTAACATTTTGTATATGGATTACATATATTTAAACTGTAAGACCTACACCTAGTTGTATCCATCGCTAAGGTTACACAACCGCATCATTACGGTACTTGGGGGCGGAGCACATGTGGGCAGTGGGACGCGGCTGGCAATTCTTATTTTATGGGCATAAATAGGTTTGTTTTTCTGTGTTAATTTATTTCTGAGCCTGATGAAAGTCCCAGACGAGGACTGAAACGATCTACATTTTGTTTTCTAATAAAGTATGGTATTTTAACGTATAAAACGTCTGAGTGGTTTGAGTGCAGATTACCTTCATATCTTTGTTGTACACATTGGCCTTTGCTTACAGCACGCGACAATATTCCCAGTTGTTTGGCCTGAGTGCAAGGATCTACTGTAACATTTAACACAGTACTTACAGGACACTTTATATGAATTTAGATTGTATACACATAATAGGATCGAGCACTTTATTTTTGTTGTGCGGTAGTAACAAACAAGAGTATAGGGACATGAATTTTGTCATACAAGAAAAGTGGCGTGCATATGGTATGTTATGAGAGTCACACATTTTATTAAAAAAAAAAACACACACATTTAGCCTGCAGGTGCGGCACTGTAGAACAATATATCCAAAGCTGAGCCAAATGCTGGTGTTGTTATGAACAGAGAAGAGACAGAACACATTAACTGCCTACTAGAGTGAGCATGGAAAGTGATGCGAGCAAGTATGACCGTAATTCCTAGGCTGATGAAGTAAGCACGGCCCTACAAATGGAGATGTGGAAGGTTATATCACCAAGCGCTCGCCAGCATATGATTGGGAATAGGAAGGCTTATAACAGAACACATTGCAGGAGGAAAGATGAACCGTAAAGATAAGATCCACCAGATATATAGCAGATTAGAGCAGTAGGCAATGAAAAAAATGGTACACCTATAAACAGGTAGAGCAATAGGGGATCACAGCATATAGCCAAAGTGAGACTATGAAGGTCCCTGCTAAAACCGAAGCCACAGTTAGATGGCAAGTGGGAGCCGGTTCCACCGTCATTCACCAGATGTAAAGTGAATCCTCCGCTGCCTCCACGCCGCATAGAGGGATCCTCCAAGTTGCAAAATGCAATATGCACCAGCTTCTTTGCTCCCCAAGCCCAGGCCGGTGTACGAGCCAGTGCCTGCTCTTCACCAAGCCCTCCAGTTACAGTGTTAGGGCTAAATGCTTCCAAGACTCCTGGTGCAACAGTCTCACAGGGTAGTGGCTGGCTGATGGTTGGATAATAAGTCTTGGCTCTCGGCCGGGAAGAAGAACGGAGCTTTGGAAAGTAGCTGGAAATCTCTGAGGTCAAAGCTGAGAAATGTTTGCCGCTATTGGCGGGACTCAATCCGGGTCAAAAGCCGGAGCTGAACCTGGATTCCCACTGAGATAATGGATGCTCAGTTGACATGGCAGCCATCTTGGATTTGATACAAGGGCTCTGCTTGTGAAGAGGTGCAAGTTTCTTTGACTCTGTTTATCAGTAGCTCTAACAGAAGGAGACTGTGATAGCCCCCACCAGTCCAGAGGAGGGGTAACGGGGCTGTGAAGAGGCTGCAATGAGCAGCGTTTCCTGGTTTGAAAGATCGTCCGCCTCCCCAATCACCGGATCCACTAGGCCGCAGAATCAGGTCGATATAAAAGCTTGTCTGACTGGAACAAATCAGATGTGTAGCAATGCTGGCAACGACATTGTCAGATATCCTCCTGCTTCAGCTGCAGACTGAGTTACTTTAAGGTGATTTGGACACAGTTTAGGTTAAAGTGAGCTGGAGCCATGCAAAAACACGTCCAGCCATCTTAACCGTCAGGCCACGTCCCCTGGATCGAGTACATATCTATTTTTTTGTATAAAGAATATTTTTGTTAAGAAATGAATCACCTCAGATAGGAGTATTTCGATATGTATTTATTGATTAGTATACATTATCTCACTGATATCCATGTTCACTTTCTTTTGTTTATTTTTTTATTTCTTGTGTATGGGATTCTATTATGTATTGTATTTTCTGCCAAGTTCAGGAACCAGTTCCGCTATCTGGTCCAACTAACATCACTGTGTGGTTGAAGGCACAATTAGGATGTGTTCTGAAAGGAACACACAACAGCATTAACTGGAATGCATACATAAGGATTCTGGACATAGGAGGAGTCACGATTGGACGCAAACAAAACACACGTGAAGATAAGAAAAAGATTAAGTAGAGTTAATATGCACCTTGTGGGGCGAGGAAGAACAGATACAACTGATGGTTCTGCAATTCTGTTTTTACTTTTCATCGCAGAACATTGGTCCCCAAGAATCTACACTACGTGGACGAAACGCATAGGACTGATTGTACAGCATTTCATTTTTATTCTTCATGAATAATAAAACTTTTACTAAATGCCAATCCTGGCTGAGGCTGTTGGAAGGATCAGGTGATGCAGTTCTCGGAGGGTGTGAACTGCTTTGCCTCCCAACGACACATGGTGAGGCACCTTGATGTTCTCTTTCGTACCTGCTGCTTGTGAGTGCAACTCATCTTGAGGGGGGGTTTAGTTAATAGTTTCACACTATGGTGTTGAATATTCTTTTTTTTCCCCTAGATCTTATGCCGGTTACCCTTTGTATATGTTGTATAAATCAGCATCTCCTTAATACGGGTTAATCAAATGCTTTGTTCTGAGGATGCTTTGCCCGGTTTCTGCTTCATATCACAGGGTTTTACAGAGAGGACCGAATAGTAATGCCCAACGTAAAAAACAAACAAACCCGTTAAACACTTTTCTTTTCGTTTATACACACTCAGATATAGACGATGAGGGCTTTCTACACAGTCCAAGTATTCTGCAGGTAAAACACACTGAATACTATAAACACTGATACACATTTCTTAAAGGCAAGAAATGTGATTTTGGTGATGAATTCGGAATGGTTACTAGCCAAAGGAAATCCTGCCGGCAGCAACGAGACATAAAATGCAACTTATGCTGTCTCGTGGCAGATTTCGAGTCTGTGAGGCATTTAAAACACGATATATTGACTAGACTTGCCCACGACTTGCCTTTACATTCATTGTGTTTTATTATTGGGAGCAAGGTGCTTTTATAGCTAAACAATAAGACCTGATGCTGAACATTACACACACCTTCCAGTTCAAAGACGCCTTCTCTGAGCAGAGAATTAAGGTAATTTGCGAAGAATGGCAGGCATTCAATGGATGACTAATGGCTGTTTGCAATCAGCCCAAATGCTGTACACATTGAAAGCCTCGAGGTACAAAAAGAATTTAACAACATTGTCATCACAAAGCACCTCTTTTGAAGTACAACCTCGGGGCAAACATATCTACAATTATTTAGGGTAATTGTATTGTCAGTGATGGCCAACTCTAACAAAACAGATGTTTGTAAACTGCATCTCTCATGATGCTTTGCCAGACTGGAAATCCTGGATAATTAATTAGCAGATATCTGCCTTGCCATGATTGACAGCCCAGGTCCTATACAGTGACTAAAGTGATGTTATTTTACCTTGTCTGATTAACGTTTAATCATAAATGGTTACTCTAGGCACCATAACCACTTTCAAGGCAACTATATTCTCCAGCCTGTTCAAGACATACTGGCCTATAAATCGCGTTCCAGAAAAATAAAGAGCCAACCACAGGAGACAGATTTAGCCAAGAAAGGAGGACTAGTCCCAATCATTTTATAGGAGCCAGAAGGTAGAGCAAGTAAATGTATTTGTGTGGCCTTCTTAAATGCTCACTTTAATATCAAGTCTAAAAATGGACTGTATCTGTAAAATGATAAAAGGACCATTAAATTATTCTCCTCCTTAAAAGGAAGTTTGAACAGCCCTGGGGGAGAGAAAGAGGAGGTAAGAATGCCAAAACATTCAGTGTTGAATAATCTTTACTAATCTTTTGAATTTTATTTTATTTTTTTAAGAAAGAAAAGCAAACTTATAGACAGGATCTATTAATTGTAACCAGATAACATTATCTCAAAATAAACAAGTTCCCTTTAACATGCAAAGTGACCATATCTGCCCCCTGATAGCATGTAAAGTGGCTATATTTGGAGACAAGCTTGAAAGGCCACTGGGACAATTTAACTACATTTACTTTTTACAGACGAATACACTCTCACAGCCGATTATCTTTAAAGAACCATAACCAATACAGCAAACTAGAGAGACTTTATTGCCAGGAGTCCACAAGCGATGTCCAACCTTTGTGTGTCTGGAGCTGCAGTCCTTTCAGTCGGAGTTGCCTTGATAAAGCAGACGTTAATACTTGTGCATAAATCGTATCAGGCTAAAACAGTCTTAATTGGCCAGGAGCTGTAAGCTGACACTTTCGTCCAATGAATACGGCGGTCCTGACTTGGTATGATTTATGCGCAAGAATGATCATCTTTATCACTCCATCTCAGACTGGAAGGACTGTGGATTCCTGACACACTGTAGTAGTTATGCTGCGTTGTGTCCCTTTAAACCAGAAGTTCTGATCCTTTTTTTTTTTTTTTTTTACATGAAAATTATAGTTAAAAATGCAAAATAACTAAATGGGTGCTGGATTGTGTCTGTTGTGTAAAATTGTAATCTACACTCACACTGCGCATCTCCAATCAGCGCTAAACAGAGCTGGTATCAAGCAGAGTGTGTTAAATGAAGCATTAACTATGTAAACGTGCAAAAAATAAATAAAATAATGGATAGAAGATCATTTTTGTTCTGAAATGAAAAATTCTATGGATCAAAGATTATGTTCTAAGCAGTGTTTCACATAGAAATGGGAGCAGGGCACTTTACTTTATCATACAAGGTAATTTAAAAATACCTTTTCATGGCAGATAAAAGCCAATTAGCCTATCAGGCCTACAAATTCCCAATCTAAAATCTAAGAAAAGAAAAAATCCTTACTCACTGGCACAAATGACCTCCTAATGCAATCCCTATGACAGGCTTACGGTGGGATATGCTATCTTACGACCTCTGTGGAGCAGAGACAGAGACTATGTGGTGACCCACACACCCATTAAAAATTACAGTTAAGGGGGCGGGGCCTGGCGGCCATGCCAGCAGGCTGCGTATCACAAGGGCTCCCCGAGGAATCGAAGAAACTCGGGGTATATACCCACCTTATACTGACCCGGGGGTCCATGGCAAGAAGCTCTGGAGTGTCCCGGTGTAGCTGGGGTGCCCGTAGCAGGGTGGCCCTAGGTCCTGGTGAGAGACTCTGGGGCTCGGAGATTGAGGCCTACCCGGGAAGGGAGTGAGGCGGACGACCGCTGCCTCGCTCTCCGCTCCGACAGCAACTATCATTTAGCTGGCGCACTCCTGGTCCCGTCACCCACCCTGTGGGCTGGGGGTGGTCACCCCGGCGCCCACCGGGCGGGCTACAACTTTTGCATCTCACCTGGGCGGCCCGAAGCAGTAGGAGAAAGGCTACCACGCGGTCTCATCAAAATGGCCGACTGCTGCACAGCAACTTCGCTGACTGGGACGGTAATCCCTCCGAGACACACACACACACACACAACCTGAGCTGTTATCACAGGAGGTCCTTACGGGCTCTTGAGCCCCCACACAGCGACACTGGCACATGCATGCTGACAGACGAAAACCACCACAGCCAGCACTTCTTCCACGTACCTGTGTCAAACGGCAATACCCGAAGCGCACTCCGGGCCACATCAGACCGAGCAAGTGCTGAAAGAATAAACGGAAAGCAGCCACAACCATTGACCGCACGGTGCTACAGCCCTTGACGGCACACCAAGGCTTACAAGGCACGGCACTCAAACATGCCCATCAACTGGGAAGCTCTCCCCACACCTAGGCATGGACTATGACCCCGCTGTTTCACTCTTTGCGCTCAGTTGGAGCTGGCGGTGACCCCAGCCGTTCACAATATGAAGCATAATGTACAGTATGCGTTGACTAACATACACAACCTCTGCATATAACCTTGTATATAGTAAATTTTTGTTTAAGCTTAATACGTACTGAGGGAGATAGCGGAATGTGTGATGCTCTGCCTGGTGGCAGCCTGCTTTAAATGATAATATTAGCTAAGCTGGAAACCGAAATAGAAATGCATACTTCTCTTTAGTCAGCACTGCGTAATCTATCATAACCTGAACGTTAATTTAATGTCTTACCTACTGCGTGTTATGCTGTTACTGAACAAAATGTATGTCCTTTGCTTAAGCATAGTCATGCATAACCATATCAATGACACTAAAGCGGTGACACTTAACAAAAGTCAACCTTAAGCTACTGTTATTAATCAACAAATAATTCACAATGACAGACGTAGTTACCCAGCTTGTATCTAGCTTGCATTATTAACCAAAAAAATTGGGCGTTTTCTCTGATGCTGTTCAGCAGTTAGCGAATAAGTGCTTGTAAACCGTTTGAGAATGCTGTTGTGGCATTACTGATATATGAATTGAAAAAAAAAAAAAATAGTACAGTTAAAGCATTTTTAACTAGAGAATACAAAACTTAATTTCCAATCAGATATAAAGCAACTGTAGATCTTTTTTTCAAATAAAACAAATACCAATAGGACCAATTATAGGAGACACTGTATTTACTGACACAGACAGTAAGGACATTATTATTATTACTCCTACAAGAGACATTAAGGATGCCTCGGCTGGCTGAGATTTATAGGAATATTTAGAAATCTAGATTTGTAGCCTACACCAGGCCTCGATAACTTATTGGTTAAAAAATGTTAAGAAGAACTGACAATCCCTCCTGAGATTTTCACTAAAGTGTGGTGTATTTACTATTAATTCAATGATAATTTCTAGAATTGTCATCCTGACTGCGTGCGTTTGCGAGGAATTAAACTCTGCACCCAAGATGCACCTGGAGCCGATGATAGGGGACCAGTCATGGTGAAATAATCCCTAAATTCTAACCAGCCAGAGCAACTTCTCTCACCCGGCCCCTGTAATTGAGGCATTCAGAGCTGCAAACAAATGGTTTGGCTGAAACAGCATTCCTTGTTTGGCTTTTTCAAAGCAGTGATGAATCCTGGGAAAGAAACCCCTTGCGCCATCACTTGGAGCAGCACAATGCTGCAGGGTAAGGAATGCACACAATATGCTGGAGGGTGCAATGACATGCACTTGTGTCATGTTATATTTGCACAATGCAGTGTCAATCGCTGCCTAAGAATGGCCAGCCCTCTCCTCATCAAGAGGTTCTTACTGCATGCTGGGAGTTTTAATCTAACCCCGCAGTACTAAAACTGTTACTCATAATTCCGGGGTTAAGGAGTCAAAATACACATTATCCCATTCAGAGCCAGTAATGATGTAAATGGTCATTCCAACACAATATGTCAGCATTAAATATCCTGTTAGCTAAATAATTTAATAACCAGTCGTGTACTACATGTGAAATGAGAATTAAAAAAAAATTATATATGTATTTTTTTTTTTTTTTGTAGTTCAGCTCTCCCACTCGTCACACACACAGACCCCCACTTTGTATGATTTTGTGAACGTGTCACAGCTTGATAACCCCCATCATCAAACTTCACAGGAGGATATGAATTTAAAAACAAACATTCACGCTTTGCCCTTCACAGAAATGTGGCAAACAGTGTGTGTGCCTATATATTAGCTTTACACATTGATGAATTTACTTTGTTAATTTTATACACAACCAAATCATAGCCATTAAAATAGGAATGTCAAATTGTACATCATCACTAGCAATTAAACCACAAAAAAAAGTGTTTTAAATTAAATTATACTCATTACAGAATCTCAGCATTTTGTATGAAGACAGCTCATTAGGGTTTAAGCACTAATCCACTTTATTATTATTGCCATTTATATAGCGCCAACAGATACCGTAGCGATTTACAATATTATGAGTGGGTAGATTTAACTATAAATATAACAATTACAAGAAAATGATAGGTTGAAGAGGACCCTGCTCAAACGAACTTACAGTCCACTGTATTGTAGTGATTTAAAAAGAGATGTAGAATAGAGTCTGAAATAGCCCCACTGTGACTTAAGGAGGGGGGCACAAAATGTCAGCACTAACTATTTTTACTTTAAAAAATAAAAATAAAAAAAATTCCAGTTTGTGTTTCCAAATCACTACAGCACAGTGTGTAGGGAATAAACCCCCACTAGTGTCACTAACTGTACACTTAGCAGTCATACGTGTTCAATTCAAAAATACCTACTCTTCAATTTCAAAGGATGCCCTCCCCCCTCTCAGCAACGGAACAGTTAAATAAAAAATATATGCAAGTTTGCAATAAACAGCGTGCCTTCCAATAATGGCGGCATACTTTGTCATTAGACTATCTCTATAAATGTCTCCAAGCGATGCGCGCAGTCCAAAAATAAAGGATTTTTCCAGTGGTATTATTTTACCATGGCTCCAGGGCAAGAATACTTACAGAATATATATATATATATCTATCTATCTCTTAAATACCACAGATCTCACAAATTTAGCCACACACTTGCGGTGAGTTAAAAATGAACTAAAGCAACATATCGATACAGTATTACCAAGTTCTGAATTGAAGTGACAGATAGCAGTTAAAAACATTAAATAGTGTCCAAAACATAAGTGAGTGATGGCTATGGTTGGCAACCTCCCCCAAATAAATCATTCTTACCAATGATGCTCACCCAGCAAAAAGGCTGGCTTAGCATAATGAGACATGTAGTTCACAAACAGCTGAGTCCTCACAATAACCATAACTGAGAAGAGTTAGACCGTTTTATTTATTTTTTAGACATGCACTAATGGAGGACAGAAAACAGGCCAAGAATTTGTCAAATCAATCATTTACTACAAATCAGATCTATGCTTCAAATCGTTAATTATACCTTTCTATCATTTTTAGAACCCAAGCACAAAATTAATGGGAAAGGCTTGAAGCAGACGTTGTACCCTGAGCAATTTTTCTCACGAGCCAAGAGGACAAACCCCACCTTTTCACATCAATCTTTAGCTCAGCCATAGAAAAAGCATATTGTTAAATGCAAACTGTGCAGAAAGAGAGACGTACAATAGAAGAATATTAACATCTATGGAAAATGCAGTCATTTAAAAGCAAAGGAACCGATGCCCCTATAACCATTGTTTAATGATGCTTTATTGCCACATGAGAAAGGGCTGATCCTTTCAAGGTAGTGTGTGGTCTACAGCCCTTCTGGAAAAGGCTCAGCTGAAAGCTATTATAGGGGAGATCTGCATTGCGCATACCTACAGACTAGAGGCTCAATCACTATACAAAAAGCACTGGCCAACCCAGTCTGATTTGACATTCTCCTGAGAAAATACACCCAGGATGGTGCTTATCCCTGCAAGCCACAATTAATGCACTGAATGCTGCTTGTCGGTCCCAGGAGCAGTTCTTAATGAAGCGATATGCATCTTACAGATGAGCTCTTGCTTGATTATAGATAAATATCTAAACCAGCACAAATGGGGGTTTAAAGCATCTAATCCATAACTGAACTGAGCTTTAAAGAAGTAAATCTGCGCACGTTACCGAGCAGTTTACTGAAACCCAAATGGGTGGTTGATGATAGAGGTTTACCATGGGGCCTGCCTTAAATTGCCCCACAAGCTGGCACAGTTATACAGACTATCAGTCCAATCGGATCAACACAGCACTGCTACCCATCAGCTGCCTCAGAACATCTTGAAATCCAACACTGCTGATCACCCCTGCATAATATGCGCATAGCCCAAATCCAGGCAAACATGAGTATAGGGAAGGGCAGCTCTGAGTGCAAGAGGTGATGTAGGAGCTGAGGAAACAGGTAAATAAGGAGTTGCCATCCGTTAGATGGAGCCTTGGTTTACACAGTACCTGCTGGCATTGACAGGGTGACAAATTAGGGTACTGTGGGGCTTGAACTGCTTCCTGAGAGGTGAATATGGGGTATTATTGGGATGTGCCGGGGCCCAAACATGCAGAGAATAAGGACTGAAGGGGCTCTTATAAGGGACCCCCCCCAAAACACAGCCACTGCAATGGACTACAGATCCCATGTTGCTCACTCAGCCACTGCCCTGCAACCCTAAAGATCCCTGCCATGATAACCCCCCAAGTTACCTGCTGATGCCCTTCAAAATAGAAACCACTGGTGCCCCTTCCAGTTACCCCTAGCTCATTGCTGCCGCTCACGGTTACCCCTGGTCTGTCTTATACCCCACCCACTTACCCCAGCTCTGTGCTAAGCCCCGCCCAGTTACCCCAGCTCTGTGCTAAGCCCATCCCAGTTACCCCAGCTCTGTGCTAAGCCCATCCCAGTTACCCCAGCTCTGTGCTAAGCCCATCCCAGTTACCCCAGCTCTGTGCTAAGCCCATCCCACTTGCCCCAGCTCTGTGCTAAGCCCATCCCACTTGCCCCAGCTCTGTGCTAAGCCCATCCCACTTACCCCAGCTCTGTGCTAAGCCCCTCCCACTTACCCCAGCTCTGTGCTAAGCCCCTCCCACTTACCCCAGCTCTGTGCTAAGCCCCTCCCACTTACCCCAGCTCTGTGCTAAGCCCCGCCCACTTACCCCAGCTCTGTGCTAAGCCCCGCCCAGTTACCCCAGCTCTGTGCTAAGCCCATCCCAGTTACCCCAGCTCTGTGCTAAGCCCATCCCACTTGCCCAAGCTCTGTGCTAAGCCCATCCCACTTGCCCCAGCTCTGTGCTAAGCCCCTCCCACTTACCCCAGCTCTGTGCTAAGCCCCGCCCACTTACCCCAGCTCTGTGCTAAGCCCCGCCCAGTTACCCCAGCTCTGTGCTAAGCCCATCCCAGTTACCCCAGCTCTGTGCTAAGCCCATCCCACTTGCCCAAGCTCTGTGCTAAGCCCATCCCACTTGCCCCAGCTCTGTGCTAAGCCCCTCCCACTTACCCCAGCTCTGTGCTAAGCCCCGCCCACTTACCCCAGCTCTGTGCTAAGCCCCGCCCAGTTACCCCAGCTCTGTGCTAAGCCCATCCCAGTTACCCCAGCTCTGTGCTAAGCCCATCCCACTTGCCCAAGCTCTGTGCTAAGCCCATCCCACTTGCCCCAGCTCTGTGCTAAGCCCCTCCCACTTACCCCAGCTCTGTGCTAAGCCCCGCCCACTTACCCCAGCTCTGTGCTAAGCCCCATGGTGCCCCAGGTCAGGTTAAGCCCCATGATTTGCCCCCGGTCCAGGTTAAGCCCCGCCCAGTTGCCCCCGGTCCAGGTTAAGCCCCGCCCAGTTGCCCCCGGTCCAGGTTAAGCCCCGCCCAGTTGCCCCGCAGTCTCACCTCTGGCGGCCCACACATCGCACAGCAGCCCCGCGAGGAGCAGCAGGGAGGCCGGGGACAGCCGCCACACTCCGGCCATGTTCTCCGCCCGCCCGCCCGTCCTCCCTCTCTCGGTCCGGCTGCCGCTATGTCTCTCCGGGTGCTGAGCTAAGATGGCGGCGGGCGATGCTGCTGCGGAGACGGTATCTGTGTGTGTGAGAGGACCGCAGCTACAAACCCCACCCCCTCTGTGCCCCGCCCACATTCTGCGCTCTGTCGCCGTCTGATTGGCTGTCACTGGAACGCATGTAACCCCGCCCCCTGAGTGTGTCCCGCCCCCTGCCAGAGGGAGAAAGAGAGAATATTAACCCATTAATGGCGGGAACTGAGTAACCCAGACACAGAGAGAGAGAATATTAACCCATTAATGGCGGGAACTGAATAACCCAGACACAGAGAGAGAATATTAACCCATTAATGGGGGGAACTGAGTAACCCAGAAACAGAAAGAGAGAATATTAACCCATTAATGGCGGGAACTGAATAACCCAGACACAGAGAGAATATTAACCCATTAATGGCGGGAACTGAGTAACCCAGACACAGAGAGAGAATATTAACCCATTAATGGCGGGAACTGAGTAACCCAGACACAGAAAGAGAATATTAACCCATTAATAGCGGGAACTGAGTAACCCAGACACAGAAAGAGAGAATATTAACCCATTAATGGCGGGAACTGAATAACCCAGACACACAGAGAGAGAATATTAACCCATTAATGGCGGGAACTGAGTAACCCAGACACAGAGAGAGAATATTAACCCATTAATGGCGGGAACTGAGTAACCCAGACACAGAGAGAGAATATTAACCCATTAATGGCGGGAACTGAGTAACCCAGACACAGAGAGAGAATATTAACCCATTAATGGCGGGAACTGAGTAACCCAGACACAGAGAGAGAATATTAACCCATTAATGGCGGGAACTGAGTAACCCAGACACAGAGAGAGAGAATATTAACCCATTAATGGCGGGAACTGAGTAACCCAGACACAGAGAGAGAATATTAACCCATTAATGGCGGGAACTGAGTAACCCAGACACAGAGAGAGAATATTAACCCATTAATGGCGGGAACTGAATAACCCAGACACAGAGAGAGAATATTAACCCATTAATGGCGGGAACTGAGTAACCCAGACACAGAGAGAGAGAATATTAACCCATTAATGGCGGGAACTGAGTAACCCAGACACAGAGAGAGAATATTAACCCATTAATGGCGGGAACTGAGTAACCCAGACACAGAGAGAGAATATTAACCCATTAATGGCGGGAACTGAGTAACCCAGACACAGAGAGAGAATATTAACCCATTAATGGCGGGAACTGAGTAACCCAGACACAGAGAGAGAATATTAACCCATTAATGGCGGGAACTGAGTAACCCAGACAGAGAGAGAGAATATTAACCCATTAATGGCGGGAACTGAGTAACCCAGACACAGAGAGAGAATATTAACCCATTAATGGCGGGAACTGAGTAACCCAGACACAGAGAGAGAATATTAACCCATTAATGGCGGGAACTGAGTAACCCAGACACAGAGAGAGAATATTAACCCATTAATGGCGGGAACTGAGTAACCCAGACACAGAGAGAGAATATTAACCCATTAATGGCGGGAACTGAGTAACCCAGACACAGAGAGAGAGAATATTAACCCATTAATGGCGGGAACTGAGTAACCCAGACACAGAGAGAGAATATTAACCCATTAATGGCGGGAACTGAGTAACCCAGACACAGAGAGAGAGAATATTAACCCATTAATGGCGGGAACTGAGTAACCCAGACACAGAGAGAGAATATTAACCCATTAATGGCGGGAACTGAGTAACCCAGACACAGAGAGAGAATATTAACCCATTAATGGCGGGAACTGAGTAACCCAGACACAGAGAGAGAGAATATTAACCCATTAATGGCGGGAACTGAGTAACCCAGACACAGAGAGAGAATATTAACCCATTAATGGCGGGAACTGAGTAACCCAGACACAGAGAGAGAGAATATTAACCCATTAATGGCGGGAACTGAGTAACCCAGACACAGAGAGAGAATATTAACCCATTAATGGCGGGAACTGAGTAACCCAGACACAGAGAGAGAATATTAACCCATTAATGGCGGGAACTGAGTAACCCAGACACAGAGAGAGAGAATATTAACCCATTAATGGCGGGAACTGAGTAACCCAGACACAGAGAGAGAATATTAACCCATTAATGGCGGGAACTGAGTAACCCAGACACAGAGAGAGAGAATATTAACCCATTAATGGCGGGAACTGAGTAACCCAGACACAGAGAGAGAATATTAACCCATTAATGGCGGGAACTGAGTAACCCAGACACAGAGAGAGAATATTAACCCATTAATGGCGGGAACTGAGTAACCCAGACACAGAGAGAGAGAATATTAACCCATTAATGGCGGGAACTGAGTAACCCAGACACAGAGAGAGAATATTAACCCATTAATGGCGGGAACTGAGTAACCCAGACACAGAGAGAGAATATTAACCCATTAATGGCGGGAACTGAGTAACCCAGACACAGAGAGAGAATATTAACCCATTAATGGCGGGAACTGAGTAACCCAGACACAGAGAGAGAATATTAACCCATTAATGGCGGGAACTGAGTAACCCAGACACAGAGAGAGAATATTAACCCATTAATGGCGGGAACTGAGTAACCCAGACACAGAGAGAGAGAATATTAACCCATTAATGGCGGGAACTGAGTAACCCAGACACAGAGAGAGAATATTAACCCATTAATGGCGGGAACTGAGTAACCCAGACACAGAGAGAGAGAATATTAACCCATTAATGGCAGGAACTGAGTAACCCAGACACAGAGAGAGAAAATAATAACCCATTAATGGGGAAACTGAGCAACCCAGACACAGAGAGAGAATACAACCTAATAATGGCGGAACTGCAACCCAGACACAGAGAGAGAATACAACCCATTAATGGCGGAACTGAGTTAAACCTGGTGACACAGAGAGAGAATATTAAACAATTAATGGCAGGAACTGAGTAACCCAGACACAGAGAGAGAGAATATTAACCCATTAATGGCGGGAACTGAGTAACCCAGACACAGAGAGAGAGAATATTAACCCATTAATGGCGGGAACTGAGTAACCCAGACACAGAGAGAGAACATTAACCCATTAATGGCGGGAACTGAGTAACCCAGACACAGAGAGAGAGAATATTAAC